CCAATCAGGCCCGTCACCCAAACCCAAGCCCCCCACCCAACCCTTGCTTGCCCCCGGAGACCCGATCCGAACGACTCAGGTGGAGCTCGCCAAGTATCCAACAGTCCACTGGCCATCACTGGTCCGTCGGACCAGGCCGTCAACCCGTCCCTCTTCTTCAGGCGCCCAGGCCCTCACTACTGGTCATATCGAGGCTCGAGTCGCGAGTCGATCCGCACCAACCCAACTCGCCAGAAGGAAGCATACGCCGCTTGTCAACTACACTGTTCTCGCCGTCCTCGTCGCCTGCACACCTGATCGCCCAAGTTCCCGCCAATCTCACCCGCTGCGCAAGACCTTTCTAGGTGGCGCCAGAGCAAAGCGTTGCGGGAATCACCAAGGGGTTGGCAGTGCGCGTGGATCGACCGTCGTCCAGGTTCCTTGAATATACCGCGCGACCTCGTGGGTACCTCGAGAACCCACAGGCCACCAAAGACGTTTACCACGCGGTACACCTTGAACACCGACGTTGTCAGTGGCCAACCATCCAACCGCATCTCTTCGCTCCATCTTGTTTCTACTACTCCTCGTCAATCATCGACTCGTCGTCGTCTTCATCCTCCGCTTCGCCGCCACGCCTTGATCCGACTCGACCATCTCTGTGCCCTTCGTCTCCAACTTCATTTCTGTCTCATTTTCCCTCTCCCTCGACTCGACTCGACGAGTTTCAACCTTCGACAACACCAACACATCACCCACACATTCACTCAAACAACCACGATTTCCACTATTCAACGCACACAATCTGACTGTTAGCGACTCGCTGGCACGCACGTCTATCCGATCAGCACAATCGCTCACCTCGGAGCCAGCCAACTCGTCGACTCCACCCTGCAACAACAGCACCCGCCTGCGCCCATAAGCACGCCATAGTGTCCGGCGTAGTGCACTCGGCCTCCGCTTTGCGCAGGCCGCTCACCCTCCTCTTCACCAACGCCTGGCCTCAAGACGACAGCCTGCTGTCCCCCGCGACAGTGGGCCTTCCACTCTCCCTCCTACCCCTCTGACTCGTCACATTCCCTCCTCGCACTCCGGCGTAGCCCCTCCGCCGCCGCCGCCGTCGCCGCTACCACCACACACAACACCCTTGCCAAATTCTCTGTCGTCGCCGCCGGAGCCGCCCCCGCCCCCGCCGACCCCCGCCACTGCCAACAATGATGCGGCCAAACGGTTATGAGTCTCCCAAGACACCAGCAGCCATGTCGCCCCCAAACCGCTCCGTTCTGCTCGGTCGTTCACCCTCCCCACGGGCTCATATGGGGCAGTTGTCCACTCCTCCACGACTGCCCAGCATCACCGCTCAGCAACCCTTCGACTTTGATGATCCTAGCCACTCTCACACAACCGTTTTTGGCTTCAGCCCGCCACGTTCTCAGCCGCCACTACTACCATCAAGCTCTCCAATCACCTCTCACTTCTTCCTCCCCAAGGCCGGGGCCGCTGTGCCCATTCTCTCCCCCTCTCTAGGGGCAGGGGAACATGGTCTACAAGGGCCACTACTTCCGGGGTTGGAGCCCTCCAGTCCGCGCTTCACTGACTCGCCCTATGTCCTAGCAGGAGAGTTCCCTCCCCGATCTCGTCGCAACTCGGCTGCGGTCGTTTCGATCTCTCTCTCCTCGCGTTCCCGGTCAAGAACGCCCCATGGGCGAAAAGCCACCCTTCCGGCAGAGCACTCGGGCTCTGGGACGCCCAGCAAGGCGGCTACGCCTCGCGTCAACCCAGGCGAGGACTGGGCCCCCGGGGCACCGGGGCTGGACAGCATGGACGGGGGGGATGAAGATTGGCGCGCCCCCACGGGTGGCATCATGCTCGACGCAGACGAGTCCGCCGACCACTTCTCATTGCCGGACGACGACGACGACGACGACCATGGCCGCAGCTGGACCGCCGAGTCCGAGGTTGGCGTTACTGACGTCCTTCGCCCTGGCGCCATTTTCGGTGAGGGCCTCGAGTTTGAAGGGGACATAATCAAGCCTGCGACAGGTCGTCTAGACATTGCCGGAAGCAACGACGCCGGAGTGCCCCTCCGTCGCGACGGTAGCAAGATCGGCGTCCCACGCAAGCAGACCAGTACTTCGAAGCGTTCCTATGAGGTCATCCGCCGTCTCGGCTCCGGATCGTACGCTGTCGTGTACCTCGTTCGCGAACAGGGTGGGCGCAAGCGCGAGTTTGCCTTGAAGTGCCTGTCCAAGCACGACCTCGAGGAAGAGCAGCTCGAAACCCAATTGTTTGAGGCAACCATTCACCTGTCGCTCCCGATCCATCCCAACATTGTCACACTTCACGAGACGCTGCAGACAAAGAACTGGCTGTTCCTTATGCTCGAGCTCTGCCCAGGGGAAGATTTGTAAGTTGCGCCCCCCCCCGCAAAATGAGCATTGAGCCGGCAGCTGACCGTAGATTCTACTGGTTGGAACGTTCGCGGGACGCCTCGCCACCGCCCGCCCACTCGCGGTTGATGGGAGGGCAACATCTCGACAACGGGATGGACATCATGTCCTCCTCGCGACTATCATCCTCAACCATTCCGTTCTCATCCTCGCAGCTCTTCTCTGGCTTTGGGAACTCGTACAACTCGCCAAACGCATTCTCACCTGCCGCTGGCTTTGGCTCCCAGTTCAGTGGATCACCGGCATCGCTCCTCTTCGCCCACCACAATGGTATGGCGCAGTCGATTGGGTCCTCCCACGCTGCAACACCCCCGACGCCTTCCCTGCTCTCGTCGTTCTCGGCCAACACCCTTCTCACTTCGCGCCGTCTTCGTCTCATCGCGTCCATGTTCTCGCAAATGTGTGAGGCGGTCGCCGTCTGCCACGATGCGGGTGTCTCACACCGCGACATCAAGCCCGAGAACTTTATCTGCTGTGACTCGGTGGAGCTCGAAACGGTCGCGGAAGGTGACGATAAACCGGACTTTGGGCCACAGGCCAAGCGCAAGGTCGTGGTCAAGCTGACCGACTTTGGCCTCGCGACTACGGACGAGGACTCTGGCGACGTCGAGTGCGGATCCAAGCCTTATATGGCTTACGAGTGCCGCAACAATCTCGGCCCATCGTACCGTCCCGCTCCGGCTGACGTGTGGTCGCTTGGCATTGTCCTTATCAACATGTTGTTCCACCGCAACCCGTGGAAGGACCCCATCGAGGGCGATCCCAACTTTGACGCGTACTATGATGACCCTGTGGGCTTCTTGCAGACAAAGTTCACGGGCATCGGCAAGGAGGTCGCGACGTATATTGCCGAGCACGTTCTGTGCATCGAAGTCGAGGACCGCGTGAGCGCGCGTGAGCTTGGACAGTGGATCCGTAATCTCCCGGAAATGATTGGTGGGCGCCGCGCAATCCACCGACTCAAGATGGACCGACTCGAGAGTCGCAGCAAGGCTGTCGCCACCGACAAGGGATTGTTTGTCAAGTCGCCCATCATGGCCGAGCCAAAGCAGAAGAGCGCTCTGGCCTCTGCGTTGGCTTCTTCGGCCCTGGCGTCCTCGGCTCCGATCTCTGTTCCCAGACCCCCCCCGACGGGCCCGTTGCCTCCTCCTCCAGTCATGCCCTTCAATCAGCCTATACCCGCTGCTGTCCCACAGTCTATCGCTGCTACAATCCAGGAGGTGCCCAGTCTCTCGTCGTTACCTCCGCACCAGGAACTCGTGGAACAACCCGGACCAACACCAGAGTTGGAGCCTGACGAGATACGTTCAGCCACCACAGTCGACGACAACCCGACGCCTACCGACATGAGCACTGTCGTCTCCCCCGAGCCCACCGAGGGAGGGGATGAAGATGCCGATCTAGGCGATCTCGACAACAACGACGGCTCAGGGGCCAATCAGAAGCGCCGAAAGCGCGGCGTCCGCAAGGGCAAGGCAGCTCAGGCAGCTCTTGCCGCGGCCAAGGAGGATCCAGAGGACAAGACGCGGCGCGACGCCCTTCTGGCTGAGCTCGTTACTGCCTCTCAGGACTTGGCGCGTGATCTGTCCAAGAAGAAGCCGTTTGACCCCACTCGCATCGAAGACTTCCCGCCGCTCGGTATGGACCCCAGGGAGGCTGCCGCTGGACGCAAGTCCAAGTGGAAGGACTTCCTCGCTGCATCCAAAGGCAACCCGCAGCTCGAGGCTTTGGCCCGTCGGGTGGCCGAGCGGGATGACGGTGGCTGGTCCGCTCCAGCCAAGTTGCAGCAGAGCAAGGACAAGGACGTGCTTTCTCGTCCCAGCATCAATCGCCAAACTGCCACGACGACGAGTTCAGTCGTCTCCGCGAACACCGCGACATCAAGCGCCGCAAACACCGCGACATCGAGCGCAACAAGCTCCAGCGGTGGCGGTCCTGAGGATGACGACTGGCGCCGCCGTGCGCGCGAGCGTGAGCGTCGCGACAAAGACAAGGGTATGGACTCGCGCCCCTCTACGTCATCGTCCCGCCGGGGCACGACGGAGGACTCGAGCCGTCATCGACAGGCTACTATTGCCGCGGCGGCATTAGCAAATGGTCTCGACCCTATGGGCTCGTTTGGTCGCCCTAGCCATCTTCGCAATCACTCGGTTAATCGCGGCGGCTCGCCCCTTGCAGGACCACCTCGTCACCCTCGACTAGAGCGTGACAACGCGGACCGCAATGATGGTCGGTGGGCGCCGTCAACGAGCTCAATCCCCATGCCCCTTGGGGGTCGCAAAGACGACAAAGTGAAGCATGTGACCCACGAGGTGCGCGATCGCACCGACCGTCCGTGGCGCGAGACGCGTCCGCGTGGCGAGTTCAACCCGACCAAATCCGCGCCAGCACCCATGGCTGAGTCCAACTGGGCCACTTCCTCTTTCACCCCTCCAGCCTCAACCGCCGCCTTCGGAGGCTCGAACGCCTCCACTCCCACTCCGACCGCTGCCAAGCCCACCTTCCCGTCGCAGTCTTCGGCGACTTCACTGACCACAATTAATGGCAACGCCACCGCCAACGGCGCGGCCGTATCCCCAGAGATGCCTAACAAGCCCAAACTAAAGGGCCAGATAAGCACTCTTTCCAACATGCTCAGCCGGCTCAAGACCAAAGGTCGCGACTAGCTAGCTTCCTCGGCCCAATTTGTCCTGTATCTCCACTACCATTTCACAAACAACTCCAAACCCAAACGCACAGAAGGTCATCACAATTTTGCATGTGGAACTCCATCATAAGACGAAAAGAACTGTAGGATTAGTGGTGCATGCATGGACGATGGTGAAATCGAGATTGGGGTGGACCTTGGGCTGCAGGGGAGGAACGAGTTGTGCCTGAATTGGAAGCAACCAGCCATCGGCATGCTGCACGCGAATGACTTTGCGGGATCAAATGAGCGGCTTCTCCCTGGAGTCGAGCGACCACAACACACAGCTCTGCTGTCTTGATTGCCGCCCATCCTCGATCCATCTTTCAATACTACTCCTCTTAGTAGCCCTGTTTATCAATAACACCAACACTGCCATCGTCAACGACATCACACCCATTCAATCTCCACCACGACCCTCAAGAGCTACAGCGAGCTACCCAGCCATCTACTGCCTGCGTCCGCTACGCCCGTCACAATGGGCATCGACTACCTGCGAGCTCGCATCACACCACTCTTGGCCACGTCCACCAACACACCCCTCCCAAGCACCCATCCCTCCGTCCCCTTCCCCAAAGAGCGCCAAGGCTCACCAATGGTCAAGAAGCACGAGCACATGTACGGGCGTGACGACCCGTACCGCGAGCACGACATGCCCTCCAAACCAGTGCGCGAGCGGGACATCATGCGGGAGCGCGAGCGGGACGCCATCAAAGAGCGCGAGCGGGAGGCGCGAGACCGCGAGAGGCGACAGCGCGAGCGCGACGCCCAGCGCGAGCGCGACGCCCAGCGCGAGCAGGAGCGGCGCGAGGCCGAGGCAAAGGCTAAGGCGGAGCAGGAGCGGGCGGCGCGCGACAAAGACCCAGAACCAAAGAAGCGCGAGCACACACGTCCGCCCACTGTCATCGTCGACCGCGAGAAGGGCGCTTCGTACCGCCGCATCGGCTTTCTCGGCGAGGTGAGTACCGGAGTGAGATGCGGAGACATGGGGAGTCAGCGGAGCGATGTTTACGATCCGCACGGACGCTGATGGCAGGGCGGGTTTGCGCGGGTATACGAGGTTGTCGATGACGCACACGACCGCAAGGCTGTCAAGGTCGTCAATAAGAGCAATATCAAGACGAAGCGCAACAAGACCAAGGTGTGTTGACAGAGGCAGCAATTCAATTCAAGTGAGACAGAGCTGACCCAACTCAATTGTTGACTCGACATCCTCGACCACAACAACGCCCATTCACTCCATCGCAAACAACATATAAACTGCGATCGTCTGCTTTCTCCATCCATCCATCTTTCATCTCTCATCCTCATCCATCGCGAATCCTCACCTTCGCCATCCACCCATGCCGCGCTATCGCAACACTGGCCGCCGCCGCTTCAAAATCCCTGTCCCCGTGCCCCGTCGTATTCTTGGTGGCATCGGTCGCACGATTGGCATGGCTTTTGTCGGCCTCATCCTTGGCCCCATCCTCGTTAACAAACCTGCTCGTGGACGTCCGGCCGCTTACCGCGCTCACTCCCCCCACCCCTCTTTCTCCTCGGACGACGACTGATCGTCCGACTCCGTTTGTGATTGCCCCAACAGCTCTGGGCCGAGATCAAGCTTCACCAGATGCTCAAGCATCCCAACATTGTGCGATTTGACGAGTGCTTCGAAGACAGCGACAACGTATACATGGTACTGGAGTTGTGCGACCACGGGTCGATGATGGACCTGCTGCGTAGACGCAAGCGCTACACCGAGCCCGAGGCACGTTTCTACCTCGTCCAGCTCATCGGCGCCTGTCAATACATGCAGGACATGAACGTCATCCACCGTGACCTCAAGCTCGGCAACCTATTCCTCGACAAGAACATGAACGTCAAGGTCGGCGACTTTGGCCTCGCCGCCCTTATTGAAAACCCAGGGGACCGCAAGAAGTGAGCGAGATGGCAGAGTTGCGACTAACAGCAGGACTATTTGCGGGACGCCCAACTACATCGCCCCCGAGGTATTGTTTGACACGGCCAACGGCCACTCATTCGAGGTCGACGTGTGGTCTGTGGGAGTGATTCTGTGAGTGGTGGCGCCGGTGGCGCGAGTGTAGTCCGCTCTGACGATAGTTACACGCTTCTCATCGGCAAGCCCCCATTCCAGACAAAGGAAGTCAAGGCCATCTACCGCCGTATTCGCGAGAACAGATATGAGTTCCCCGAGGACAAGGAGATCTCAGCTTCCGCTCAGAATCTGATCATGTCCATTCTCAACAGGGATCCATTGGAGCGTCCGACGCTCGACGAGATCCTTGAACACTCGTGGTTCCACGACGGTCCCTTCCCCTCCCACGTGCCGGTGTCTGCGAATGATGGGCCTCCCGACTTCTTCAATCTCAACGCCGCGCAGAGCCGCCGCAACTTCGACAACGTGCATCGCCGCGCGGCGGGCCAGACAGAGACCGCCACTCCCCCTCAACCCCCACGCGTCGAGGCGCTCGGTACATCCATCCTCGCTCAGCAGCGCGACTTCAAGGCTGCCGTCGAGCCAGGGAGCCCCATTTCCGCTCTACTCAACTCGGCACGCCAGCCGCTCGTCCAAGCGCCTGCAGGAACGAAGAACAGCGCGCTGCTGCGCAAGCTCAACGAAGCCGGGGCGGCGAGCACCCTCAGTCCCGGGCGCCGCGGGACAGGCCAGCGCGTCCCAGCCTCCGTATCTGGCCCTGCGCCTTCTTCCCGACCACCAGCGATGGACAACGTCGCCGAAGATGCCGAGGAGGAGGAAGACGAGGGCGTCGACCCCGGACCGGAGACACCCGAGCGGCCAGGAAGTGGCCGCGAGCTCGCGCAGCAGAAGGCGCGCATCGTGTCCGAGATGGCGCAGATGCGCATCACCGACTCGGACAGGGGTTCCGACAAGGAGCCACCACGAAAGGTGCTGAGCGAGGCGTCGGTGCAGCCCTCATCGTCTCTTCCCGTGATCAGGGTCGCGACGAGCGGGGACGGGTACGACCGTGCGGAGCACAACCTCGCGGAGGCGTTGGCGGCGTATAAGAGCCACGGCGGATGCCGGGTCCCAGGTGAGCTGGACAGTACGGACTGTCAACTGATGTCAGACGGCACAAACTTGGAGGCGCCAAAGGTGTTTGTCGTATCGTGGCTCGACTACTGTGCCAAGTATGGGATGGGCTTTGCGATGTGCGACGGGACGGTGTCGGTGCACTTCAACGACTCGTCGTCGCTTGCGCTCGCGCCGTCGAAGAAGCACATCGAGTACGTGGACGAGCGGCGGCGGAGCGCGTTCGCGCTCGCGTCAGCCCCCGACTCGCTGGCCAACAAGCTCTACCTCCTGCGCAAGTTCGAGGGATACATGCTCTCGCGGCTGTGCGGGAACTACGAGTACACATGGGAAGACGTGGGGCGCACACGCGACCTGGTCTACGTCGAGAAATACCTACGCACAAAGAACGTCATCCTCTTCCGCCTCTCGAACGGCATCCTCCAGTTCAACTTCTATGACCACACCAAGGTCATCCTCGCCGCCGACGGCCTCTTCGTCACCATCATCGACAAGCACTACGCGATGCACCGCTGGCCGCTGGCCGACATGCTGCGCCCACAGGGCGCCACCGAGCGCGAGCGTGCCAAGCACGAGCGCTTCATCTCCAAGCTCGAATACGCGCGGTCCGTGCTCACGCGCATGCGCGCGCACGGGGGCATGGACGACGACGGCGAGCGGAAGAGCAAGGACAAGGGGAGGGAGAGGGAGAAGGCGCGCGAGCGCGACGCACGCCCCATCCGTGGATAACGGTTCATTGTACATTAGGCCATGCATTCTTAGACGCTCCGGATGCGCGGGACAGAAGGCGTCATTTCGTGGGGGGGAGTACGGTGTTCTTGAGGGGAAGCTGTAACGCACCCGCAGTCGTGGGTTTGGGGTGTGGAACCTCGGTTATGACGCGGATGTGGCACTGTGGCGGGGCGCGCCGCAGCGGTTGTATTACGATATGTTATGTGGCACATCTGAGTAACTGGTTGGAGGAATTGCAAGCGAGAGGCTGGATGTCGAAACTCGGGGGGTGCAAGAAGCTGGAGCGCATCATCGACCGTCATGGCCTGAGTGCGCTGAGCTGCACGGAACTTGGCACGACTGCCACACGAGCGAGCATCAACAGGCGCGTAACGAGTCGGTTTTCTTGCCGTGTGGTATTAACGCTTTATACAGTCTCGTTGTCTATGTTCCGCCGCGTACCACGCACCACAGCCTCTCCAGGACTCAAGTATCAGAAGCATGCGGACGTGCCGGATGCATCGGATGCAGCCTCTGAAACGGCCCGCACCGGGTGCCTCTTCCAACCATATCTTACGGCACTGCATATCTCGACCTCGGCACATTCCTACATCACGTACAAGATATCGGCGCCGCCGGGACACAGCCCGGTCTTGGTCCACCGGCAGCCGCCGAGGTTGGGGATCCAGACGTAGTCGTACGGGCCGTCGCACTTGCCCGTGTTGCGCTGGATGCGGTGGCAGCCTGTGAGGGACGGGCGCACGATCTGGCGCCCGCCGAGCTTGCACGGTCCGCGGCACCTCGAAGCACCCCGCGCGCGACGGCACGTACTTGATTGCGTTGGAGCCGGGGCACCACCCGTCCAGCACGCCGTAGCATTTGCCGCCGATCTGACGCGTGTCGGGCTCGTCGATCGAGATGGGGGTGGCGGCGGCTGGGGTTAGGGGAGGAGGAGTGGACGTAGGCTTACCTAGAGTTACGAGGAGGGCGAGGAGCTTCATGGTGGTGGATGGTGATGGTAGGGGATCGGAAGGGACCTCTTATATGTTGCTCCGAGTCCCCCTAGATGCGACCAGCCTTGTCTGGCAGTATCTTGCGATTCCCAGGCGACAGCCTGGAGTCTCGTCACGAGAGTCTCTTCGCAGCTGGCATCGAGATGGTTTGCCTCCTCGTTGATCACCGATTTCCAACACACCGCTTTCATGTGACCGCGGATAGCACAAGGTAAGCGAGGTGGGAAGGGACCACACCGCGGAAGAACGTGGGGGACCGTGGTGAGCAGAGGGGCAGTGGTGTTTCTTGCTGCACTGCATAGAGAGACGAACGTGGCGACGTAGCGACACTTACCTTGCAGATCGCCAAGTCAGATGAGGCATCCTAACGGTGATTGCAAACTTAGGCAAGGATCCGGCAAGCATATCGTTTCTACAAATCGATTGCAGCGCACCCGAGAGTTTCTGGTGAAGAAGAGCAGCAGCCCCAGCCCGTAGGGCCTGCGGCTTCTTGGCGGTTAGTCTGAAACTGGGATGTAAGAGTTATCCGGCGTCTGCGCCTCTGAGAGATGCCGGAGGTCACCCATCGCGGGTAGGCAGCGGCCGCACCGCTATCTGGATGTGGGCATCGCACTGGGATAACGGTCATCCGCGCCGCACAGTCGACGTTGATGATTCTGTTCAAGGTTGGTGGGGTCCCGCGTGGTCAAATGTCTCTGCACCCAACCCACTGACTTTCGCCAGCGTAGCAGTTCTTTGACGCTGAGGACCAACGCGAGAGGTGCTTTGGCTGGCTTTCCTGGCAAACAGCCGCACCACGATTGTAAGCGGCACCGATGACCAAGTAAGGCCCACCCAGGTACCTGAACCCGAGCGAAGGCAGCCACTCTACAGCATTTTAGGCATATGGGTGGCTCCTGTCAACGAACGGAAGCTGTAAACCGTACACGACATCAGTGCCACCGGGGGGCACCAGGCCCCCTCGTGTGACTTCACATCAACTCTCCGATTGGCATCACCTCATGGTGTCTCGTCAATTCCAGTCGAGCTTGTTAGTACCGTCCAAGTGGCGTCAGCCCCACACCATTACCGTCAGAATCCATTCCACCACCCGCGAGCCAGCCACCCGCCTCTTGATGTCGAATGGTGCATGCTCAGTCATTGCCAATGGTGTTGTTTCTCTCCTACTTCTTGGCCCGCTCAGCGGCCGCCGCGACTGCCGCCTTGTCCTCGCGCGCGCGCGCCATGACCTCGGTGTTGTTGTTCCGCATCTCCTCGTCGGCAGCATACTGCTCCTCGGCGGCACGCAGGCGGCGTGTGAAGTCGGACACCTTCGTCTTCTGGCGGGTCGGGTACAAGTGGTCGTACGCCGCATCGGTGTCCTCTGGCCGCCGCTCCTTGATTGCGGTGACAACGGCTGGTTCTACGCCGCGGGCGCCAGCGTCAGGTGGAAGTTGGCCTGGTGTGAGCAGAAGTACAGGGTCGGCTTGATCAGAGGAGACGAGGTGCGCTGAAGGGAGAGAGAGACGACAGCCGGACAAGAGGGGAGAATGGCTGGCCGAGAGGAGAGATAGAGAGATCCAACAGACGAGTGACACCGGAGGAGGAAGGTGCTGACGCCTTTTAACTCACCAGTCAAAGCCCGCTCGCGGTTCATCTTGGCCTCCTCAGCCTTGTTGCTGATCATGTAGGCACCGACCACCATCGCGACGACGGTGAGACCCTGTGCGCTGGGGTTAGCGCGCTCGCTGAGCGGACGGGCGGATGTATGAAGGCCGCGAGAAGGCAGAAGGAGAGCTGCGTCGCAAGCGCCGGCGCGAGGAAGGTTGCCACCCACCCCACCCCACACTGTCACTTGTTGCTCTCCGTTGCACTCTGCGGCTAGCCCCGCTGCACCCACAGCACAGCGTACTCACGCAACACGCAGCCGCAGGAAGTGCTGGAACTGTTTCCGGTTGCCACTGCGCAGGCTGGCCGTGGCGCCCAGCAGGGCGAAGGTCGTCGCCGCGACGCCTATTGGGACCATGGGCTGTTCCTTGCACTTCTGCCACCCGTGCTGGAGGTAGGTCATGCCCTTGGGCTCGTCGTTCTCTGCGGGCATTGGGGTCGTCATGGTGCGATGTGAAGTGGCGCAAGTGAGCGAGTGAGAAAAGGAGAGCGGAAGGACGGCGAGAGTAAAGACGAAGAAGAGAATGCGAGGTGACGGTGCTGCCGAAGTGGAGGAAAACGGACACGCGGCGTGCCTGACTCCACACGTCCCCTGGCCCGACCTCGCCGTTCGGAATCGCGGCGGAATCACGGCGTCTGACTTTGTGTTGTACTCTGCGTCCGCATTCGTAACGGCACAAGGCAGACTCGTCTGTGCATTGCCAGCGCCCCGTTCATGCGGAGCGTCCCGACTGCACGATAACTGCGGGGGCTGATGGCCGACGGGCTCCGCATGGGTATGTCAGCCTCCGCTCACGCCTCATTCGCGATTGCCACAGGGCGTACCTAGGCGCAGCCATGACGACGAGATCGAAAGCATGCAATGCTATGGAAACAATCTATCCCTTCCCAGATCCAGTCTATCTCCTGCTACGGCTTACGCGCTCTTCTCCATCACGTGGCTGGCCGCGCCACTCGACATCTCGGTCTCCTCGGCTTCCAGATCAGGCTCGGCAACCACCGCCCTTTCGGGTGTGAGGATGGCGGGCGGCCAGAAGTAGCAGTATACTGCGATACCGAGGAGGAGGGGGAGCGCGTCCAGCGACGCCCAGTACTCCTCGTGGATTGTGAGGTGGCCGGCGTATCTGTCGTCAGTCACGGTCGGGCACAACTAGCTTACCCCTCGCTGAGTTCGATCGTGCGGAAGATCGACCGCGTGAGGAACATGATACACGTAAAGCCGAGGGCGAAGTATAGCGGCTTCCACCCTGGGTGGTTCCAGACCTTTGTGTCTTTTCGGCTATCGTTAGCGCAGCCGGGTGAACTTGACATACACTCGGTTCCAGAAGATAATGTAGAGCACTGTAAACAGGGCAAAGCTGATGAGCTGGAGGATGAGACCGGCGAGGAAGATGTCTGTGCCAGTCTCCTGCATGCCGTCGGCAGTTGACATGCCTCCCCCCGTCGCCTGGATGCAGAAGGTGATGACTTGGGTGAGTAAATCTCATGTGTGAGCGCAGCGTCCACTCACTGTCGGAAATCACAAAGATCCACGACACCTTGTCTGGGTTAAGGTACAGGTAGCGCGCAGCCTTGAGGTGCTTGACAATGCGGCCGAGGAGGATGTAGTCGGCCGCAAGGAAGGCGCATGGCTGGAGTTAGCAAGCCGCGCGGATCTCACCCCCCTCAGCCCTCCTACTCGGCACTCACTGAGAGAACAACAAACATGTACATGGCAATGTACAGGCCAAGGGAATGTGGGTCTTTGCGGAGCGCGATGCGGAGGGCAAGGCCAATCGCTTCGCACCATGTACCGATCGTAAGGCAGAGGAAGTATTTGCCACGGTAGCGGAACTCGTCTGGTGTCAGCTAGGTACGCAAACAAGCGACGCACAGAAAGTAAACACCGTCGCGCACGCCGCATACAGCGCGACAGCGACGGCGTTCAGCGGGAGGTTTGGAATGTATCGTAGGGGGTTGCATCTGGGGTCAGCGGGGCCACGAAATGCACGGGGTGGGGCACAGACGGCGGGCGGAGCCGAGCAGTGGCGGTGCCTACCGGCCGCAGTCTGTGCGACATTGCCATCTCATCGCGTCCATTGCACGCCGCTGCAGGCTCTTATGCAACGACGAGTGATGCGAGATGGGCCAAACACGTACAAGTCGTTTGCGGGGTCAAGCTGTGGTTAGCGCTGACAGTTCGAACACACACAAATGGGTCCATTTTACAATATGGATTGTCGGAACGCTTGGCCGCGGCGATAGCCGCGACTGCCAGCGCAGCCGCAACGACGGCGAGGCGGGGCATCGTCGGAAAGGAGAGTGGGAGGCGAGGCGATGGGCAAGCTTGGGAGCAAGAGACGAAGGAAGGGGAACAGAAACGGTGGGCGGAAGTCGAGGGGCTTTAAACAAACGGGCCGAGCAGTCTGCAGTCAGCGCGTGCCCGTCGGGCTCAGCCACGCATGCTTGCTACGCACCGAGAGGACGCCGAGTGAGTTCTGCAGCGGACCGCACGGCCGCACGGCCATTATGGTGGTGAAGACGGACAAGTTGTCCTGAGGTGTGCTTGGCTCCGGGATTGCCGGTCGGAAAGACCGAGCCGAGATTCCGGCATGCTTGCCTTGCGTGCGCGGAGGTTGTTGTTGGTGAGTACAGTCAGATCGTCAGTGAGCGACGGTGCGGCGATGACGAGGAAGCGATGATGAGCAGATGCAAGATGTGCGAAGGGAGGCGAGGAAGGTGTCAGACACTTGTGTGTCGCAACCACTTCGGTCAATTCTTGGCCTACGGCATCTCACGAGCTAGCTAATTGTGTCTCGCCCATGCCGCCCTCCCGCGAAATGCCGCCCTTCAGCGGAATAGTGTACATCTAATCTCTATCAAGGGCGTGCGACGCACAACGCATCAATGCCCGCTACGCTCTCCCGGGCTCCCGACCGGATAAAGTGGCCCTGCAAGCTGGCCATGCTGACGGACCGTCCCTCCCTCCTGGCGCGGTCCACGATCTGGCCGACCTGCTCTCCCAACGCCCGCACTTCGTCCTCGCTGAGGTGCTCGGACCGGAGGAGGGGATCGGGGCTCTCGCCGTCCTCGGGCGCGCTGTCCCCCGCCCGGTGCCCGTAGAACTTTGTGTACAACCTGCACGCCTGCTCGCCGTGCGCGTCGTCGAGCAGCTCCTTCATGTCCACGCGGCCGGGCCTGATGAGTGCTGGGTCGAGGCGCTCGGCGTGGTTGGTCGTCATGAAGATAATGCGCTCTTCGCTGCTCGCGACGCCGTCGAGCGCGTTCAGGAGGCCCGAGAATGTCACTGCGCTGTTGTATCCGTCCTCGGTCGTTTGGGTGCGGCGGTTGAACGCACTGTCCACGTCCTCGAGCAGGATGATGGAGCGGTCTGGTACGAGGCCGAGGAGGTGGTTCAACTTGTCGTCGGTGAGACCGCGTTCAGCCAGGTTCATCAGGCAGATGTTGTAGCCTATGCTGCCTGCCAACGCCTGGATGAAGGACGTCTTGCCTGAGCCGGGAGGGCCGTAGAGCATATATCCGCGGCGGTACGGGATACCTTGCTGTCAGTGACACGGTGGGACAACGACAACGACTCACCTCGCTCAGCATACCACTTCCCTCGACCGAGGAACGCGCGAATATCACGCTCGATGCGCTCCGCCACACCCTCAGCGAGGACGACGCTCCCCATTTCGCGGCGCGAGCGTGGCTTGCCGAACGGCCGCCAATCCACGCCCCATGCGGTGTACACGACAGTCTTGCCGACGCTGCCCTGCTCCGCGAGCGCGCGCGCTTCGTCCAACAATGAGGGGAGAACGGCGCGCGACGCGCTCAACCCCGTGAGCGTGAGCGTCTCCCACGGCGTCCCGGAGTGCAGGTCCATAAGCTTGGAGTCGCGCTCGCGGCGGACCTGGCGTGAGTGCTGACACGGCCTTCGTGGCGACAAGGCCAGGGAAACTCACCTGGAACCAGTGACCCTGGTAAGAGAAGTAGTGGGTACCAGGACCCGGGACGAGGTTGAACACCGCATCCGAAGATCCGTTCTCGTGCTGCTTGACGCTCGTTTCGACGGCGAGCTCGTGCGACGGCAGCTGGGTCACGCGCCCCCGGATGGCGCCGAGGAGGCCGCGGTCGGCGGGCGGGACGGCGCGCGAGTGCGCGGCTTGCGCGGCCATCCACTCCAGGAACCACGGGTACGAGCGGTCCTTGGACGTCATCTCGAGAGTGATGAGGAGGCGGCGGCGCGCGGCCGTCGCGCCGAGCTTGGAGGCGGTGCGGAGGCCTGTGAGAACCACGCCAAGGCCCTGGTGTGAGTGGGAGCAGAGGGGAGGGAGGGAGGGAAGAGGAAAAAGGAGGGAAGGGGAGGACATGGGGTAGAAGAGCGTACCATCAACCCAGCACCCGCGGAGAAGTAGGGGTTCTGCTCCATGATCTTGTCGAGCAACGACTGCTCCGCGGGAGGGACCGGGGCTGGCGCCGGCACGGGCACGGACTGCATGTCGGAGCCTTCGGCAACTTGCACGACGGACGTATCTGGCGGCGGTGGCGCTTGCGCGCGCGGCGCGGGCTTTGGCATCGCGCCGAGCATGGTGATGTGGATAGTGTGACGGTAATTTCCGCTCAACCAAAAAGAAAGTGGAGGTGGAGGTGGGATCGGCGGTGCTCGGCGCCGGACGCGTGTCGCCGGCACGCAGCACGCGACTCGGTCGTGTAATCTCGCCCAGTGCTGAGTCCACGCATGCATGCTGATCTACAATATTCTCACGCTACATCCCATCTGGGTCCTATTACTTGTGCTTGCTCTTCCGCCCACCGTGACTCCTGCCTACTCGTTGAGCAGGAAGCGGCGGTACGCGACGTTTCTCGTCTCCTCGACGAATGGGTAGTTGAGCTCAGCAAGGAACGCGTTCAAGTCCTCGTCGTCGGCGCTGCCGTTGGGCGGGGGCTGCAAGCCAACGAGGACCTTGCCGACGTCGGCGCCGTGGTTGCGGTAGTGGAAGAGCGAGATGTTCCAGTTGGGCTTGAGGACGCTGAGGAAGCGGCCAAGGGCGCCGGGGCGCTCAGGGAATTCGAAGCGGAAGAGGCGCTCGTATGCAACGTTGCTGCGGCCGCCGACGAGGTGGCGGAGATGCGACTTGGCGAACTCGTTCTCAGTGTAGTCTGCAGCCTCGATGTCGAGCTTGGCCAGGTCCGAGATGATCTCCTTGATCTCCTTCTGGCGCTCGGCGGGCGTCGGGCCGCCAGTGCGCGATGACGAGCCCTTCAGGTAGAAGGAGCAGATGATGTAGCCGTAATCTGGCGACGAGTAGCGGTACGAGAACTCGGTGACTGCACGCGGGAGGAGGTAGGTGTGCAGCCTGTTGAAAGAGCCCGGCTTTTCGGGGACGCGGAAGGACATGAGGACCTCACGGCCCTCACCGATCTCCGCGCGCTCTGCGACGAAACGCAGCCGTCCAAAGTTCATGTTGCCGCCCGAGACGACGGCGACAAACGTCTTTCCACTCCCCTGCAAGGAGTTGCGGATGATGTAGCCCTTAAGGCCAGCGAGGGCGAGGGCGCCCGAGGGCTCGGGGATGCTGCGTGAGTCCTCGTACACGTCCTGGATGGCGGCGCAGATCTCATCGTTGTCGGCAAGCACGACACCGTCGAGGAGATCCTTGCACACGCGGAACGGCTCCTCGCCAACGATGCGCACTGCTGTGCCGTCCGCGAACGGACCCACTTCGGGGAGGAGCACGCGATGTCCGGCCTTGAGGGAGCGGTCCATCGCGTCACCATCCGGTGTCTCAACGCCATACACTGCAGTCTGGGGACCGACGACCCGCTTCATATACGCGGCGATGCCGGCGACGAGGCCACCGCCGCCGACAGCCGCAAACACGCCGTCGATGGTGCTCGGGTCCATGATCTGGCGGCAGATCTCCATCGCGATCGTGCCCTGGCCCGCGACGACGTATGGGTCGTCGTAAGGCGGGATGAAGGTGAGACCTTCCTCCTCAGAGCGGCGGATGCACTCGGCCTTGGCAGCGTCAAAGTCGTGTCCGTGCAGCACGGCGTTGCCGCCATACCGCCGCACATTGTTGACCTTGATGCTCGGCGTCGAGGTCGGCATAAGCACGGTGGCTTTGATGCCGAGCTTCTGGCCCGACAACGCGACGCCCTGCGCGTGGTTTCCAGCACTGCAGGTGATGACGCCTTTGCGCTTCTCCTCCTCAGACAGCGACGCCATCATGTTGTACGCGCCGCGGATCTTGAACGAGAAGACGGGCTGCAGGTCCTCGCGCTTGAGGTAGATCTCGCAGCCGAGCTTCTTGGACAGGTTGGCGGCGTACATCAGGGGTGTTTCGACGAGGTTAAGAGGCGGGGCGTAGACCTTGGCTGGGGTTAGCGGGCGGCGATCGACGTGGGCCATCAACGAGTCTCTCCGGCGTGTACTCAGGCCGTGCTCCGTGGTACAGAGACTTAACCTCAACCTCGCCATCAACATGACAGCCGCCGCCCAAGGCAGAAAGCCGTGAGAGCATCCCCCACTGCACCCCTTCCCACCTTCCTTCCTCCCGACTCACACATAAGGATCATTCTGAGATAATCCGGCACGTTGCCCTTCGGCCCACGAGTGAGGAAGTTGCGCGGCAGCTTGGCATACAGGTGGTCGGGCACGGCCTCGTCCTCGGTACCATCGGCCGCATGCTTTGTCTTCGCCATGGGCGCGGTGGACGCATACTCGATCGTGCTGGCGGAAGGGGGCGACTTGGCCAGGGGAGAGAGGGAGCCGTTTGTCGGCGCGCGGCCCGGCATCGGGATGCTGGTGTGAGTGGTGCGGAACAGCGCCGCAGGCAAGTGAGGGGGTATGAGATGCAAGTCCCGGGCCAGCATCAGATGTCTTACCTCTGCGCCATCGTAGAAGATTGTGGGTGTTGGCAAGTTATGTGCTGTGAGACACCGACAGCTCGAGAGAGCTCTCCGCTCCCACTTTTCCGATAGTCGACTCGGTAACCGCGGGCCTCCACCGGCGCGACCCGCCTATTTCGTCCCTCCACTCACCCTCATCTCTCGCCCGCACCGACTCTGGCGAATCCCGCCCGGCGCCCACGCCCTTCTGCCAATGCAAAGCACACTATCGTACAAACTGCATCCCAAGTCCCTGTACAACGAAACGTTCCCTACTCCTAAACTGGCCGCCGCTCAGCTGGCGGACCCATGATGCCCGCCACCATGTCGCGGTTCCATTGCCCTGGCTTGTTGGTCACGGGAGGCTTGGCGCGCCGCGTCTGCTGCTGTAGGGCGGCGGACGTGCTCGCGGCCGTGTTCTCCTTCTCGCGCCGCGTCATGCTCCGATTCAAGAACGCGCCGAACTTGGACTTGGCGCCGTCGCCCGAGTCCCGCTGCGCCTCCTGCGAGCGCCGCGGCGCCGTATGCGCGTTCGGGAAGCCGGGCCGGCTGATCGTCGTCGGCACGGGCGGCGGGCGCTTGGCTTGTGTCGCGGACCGTGTGAGCGAGCTGTGCTCGTCCGTGTGCCATGCCGGGTCTGAGCCCTTCAAGGGCGCACTCGCGGGTCCGCCGCCGTCGCCGAATTCTTCGACGCTCTGCAACGTCAGGGCGTGGGCGTCAGAGGGCTTGCGCCGCGGCCACACTGGCGCGCCGCCATGGGGCTTCGCGGTCGGAGGCGAGCGCTTCGAGTTGGAGCGCGCAAGACGTTCCGTGTCGGACATCTTGTTTGGCCAGACGGGACCCGCCTGGCGCGGCGCCGGCTTGGTGTGCATCGGGTTGTAGTCCATGGGCACAAAGTCGAGGCGCGCGTAAAGGTCGTCCTCGGGCGTTGCCGTCCGGGGTGGGGGAACGGGAGCCAACTCCTTCTCCTTCGTCTTTATCGGAGAAGGGGGCTTTGGCTTCTGCTCGGCACTCTTGCCTCCAACCCTCGCCTCTGGGATGGCGATAGAACCAGCAGATGGCGTCGACTTGTGCGTCCCCTCCAGCTTGGCCAGCGACTCGTCGTGCAGCTGCACACCTTCAAGTCTCGCCAGCGCCTCCTTGCCCGCCGCCGACAGCTCAGGCGGGTGTGGACGCGGCATGTCCATCTCCATCGGTGGCTTGGGAGTCGCGTCGATGTCGACATCGGGGCTCATCAGCTGAGCAATGCGCGCCTCCATTTGTGGCGTCATGGGCGAGTCTGTCGGGTGGGGAGGCTTTGGCGGGGTGTTGGTAGGGGTGGTTTCCTCAGCTGGGGCATGAGCGGCTGGTTGTGGTGGCGCAAGAGACGAGCTAGTCGACACTCTCAGATCGTGGCCTGCGCCGGTGGGGCTGAGAGGCGAGCGACCAGGCGAGCTCTTGGGCCGTTCCCAAGGCTTCTGAGGTCCAGGAGATCCGGAGGTGGGCGAGATAACGTCCCACCAGCCACCGTTGCCGCTCGATCCTGACATGTTGGAATGGCCCCCGCTGCTCATCGGTTGCCGCGGGGACGGCGTGTCGAGAGACGAGCCTATGTCAAGCTCAGGCCCTGGGACATAGAGGTTGAGCATTGGCGGCGCGTTCGCCCGCGTGCCGGAGCTCGAAGCGGACGCGGCAAAGCCAGACAACCCGAGACCCCGGAGGTCGGAGCCGTTGGCGGCGGCGTCATCGGCCACCCCATTGATGAGGTGCAGGCTCTCCTCGGCGTCTTCCTTGGCCGGCGGCTTGGGCGGCGTGGCCACAGCCCTCTGCGCCTCGATAGGAGCCCAGTGGTTGTAGCTGGTCTCGCTGCCGACCGAGGACAGTCTCGCCGAGTGCCGCGACTCCTCGTCCGTAGGGGTGCCGGAGCGCATCGGCATGCTCACTGACCTCTTGTGTCTACCACCACTGGACTGCGTGTCCTGGCTGTACCGAGGCATGTTGGGCTTGTCAGGAGATGGTAGAGCAGACGACTTGGAGCGGCGATGCCCAAACTCGCCTCCACTGCTCCCGGCCATCAGAGGGTGAGCGGGGTTAGCGCTCGAGTTGGCGGCATCCGGCCACACGCGAGGATGCGCAGCCAAATATCTGGCCTGGTCAAAGGCTGTCTCGTACGAGCCATCGGGGAACTGTGCGTCAGTCGTGTCGGATTCGCAATGGCTCACCCGCTTGACCATCTGGTCAATCAACCCTTCCAACCACGCGATCGTCTTCTCCTGGCTGACGTCCGCGTTGATGCCCTTCTCACGCTCGTTCTCGAGAAGCTCTTCGATGATGTCCAGGGCATCGGCGTCGGGAAGGCGTGGGTTGACGTAAAGCGACGCAGTGGTGCTGCTCACACTCGGCTCGCGCAGAGGCACCGAGTCCGGGTCTGGTGGAGAAGGGAGCATGTCGTAAAACGGCTCAACAATCTTTTGTGGCAGGGGCGTCGGCGGCAGTGCGAAAGTGCGCCGGATCTGTAGGAAGACAGGCATGAGACTGGGCGCGTGCGGCCCAGGATACGTCTTGCTCACGACACAGAGCACAGACTCCATGTCTGCGAGGTCCTTGCCCAGTTGCTCGCGACCCGTTTTGACCCACTTGTTCTTGAGCATGTATTCGCGCTTCTCGCGCGTCACGAACTCGGAGATGAGCTCCAAAGCGTAGCTCTCGACTGGGGAGGGGTCGTGCGGTGGTGGGAGATGCGATGCTCTGGATGGGGACCCAGGGGACATGGAGTGATTAGACGATGGCGAGCCCGTCGTCCCCTTCCGCATGCGGTACCCAGAAGACGGTGCGATGTCTTTGGGCGGCCCGCCAGTTGGCGAGAAGGTGTGGCTGAGTGGTGGCGTCTGCATGTATGACTGGGCGGCGTTCGGGCCAGCCTCGTCGATATCCCGGACGAAGGCCGCGAGAAGCTTAATGCACGCCGACTTGGAGGGCGCTGGGAGCGAGATCGGGTAGAGGGCGCGTGTAGGGAGGTACGTACGCGCGCGTGCCGAGCGGAATGCTGGACGCAGTGCTGGCCGTCGGTTCAGCGTCTAGGGGTGTCAGCACAGTGCGTAGGCATCGGGGCACAAGTCGTCACGACGCTCAGCAATGGCGGCTGTCGACTCACCAAGCTCTCCACAAACTCAAGTTCTCGCCCAACATTGTACCGCCCCTCTCCGGGAACACGCCGGCGAATGTGCTGGACCAGTGTTCGTTCTGCGTCTGTGGGGTGCTGGAGAAGCAACTGTCGGGCCAGGTCGGGGAGGGTAAAGTAGGACAAAAGCATACGAAGCGAGAGGATTAGCGCGAGGCCCATCTTGCGGGGGTCGTCAAGCTCCTCGTCGGGAACCGCAGGCACGGCAGCGGCGCGGTGTCCGACGAGCACACCTGTCCCTCGTAGCCCGTCCTCAATCTCACCCAGACGTGCGGCGATCTCTTCGAAACTGTCACGCCCGAGCGTTCCCTTTCCTCCAATGCCGTGCTTCTTCTCGCGCAGCCGAGCTTCCCGGTGGAGCACATATTCGAGAATCACTTTGCGCGCAGTCAGAAGGGAGGGTGCTGGGGACGATAGCAGGTAGTTGAGGACGGCCTGCGGTGTAGTCGATGCACTGGCTAGCGAGCCGCTTCCGACGGGCGCATTCAAGTCTGCCGAAGGGGGCACGTTGGTCGCGTATTGCGCTTGTCGGATAGCTGGGGCAAGGCGAGGTGACTAGATGTCAGCGACGGACGCGTGGGAAAGGGACGAGGGACAACTCACTCTAGATTCCATGCTGTGCAGACTGCTGGACACGCCAAGCAGCGTGTCCCCTTTGGCCCTCCTGTACATGACATGCTCCTCGATTGCATCTGCGGCCTGGTTGAGTGTCGTTTGTGGGGATGTGAGGACAGCGATGAGCTCGCGTGAGAGGGCCGGGGCCATGGCGACAACTAGTCGATGGCGGTGTGCCGACGACGGCTTGCCGGATCTTTGCGAACGGGTAACCAAAGGGAGTGGTTACAGACGTGTCTGAGTGAGGAGAAGAGCAGTGAGTGTTGACTGTGTAGACGACGGACAGGTTCCAAGCCGGTGGTGGGCGATGATGTGGGCGACGTGCAAGGATGTCAAGCAAGGCAAGATGCGAACCGAGTTGGGAGCGAGCAGACGCGCGCACCTCTCAAAGTGGGCTGTCGCTTGGAGGAGGACCTGAGGGGTGTGGGAAGAAGATGAGTGAGAGGAGATGGATGGGATGCGTGTGAAGCAGTCGCTGGTCAAGGAGGAGAGGTGGGTGCAGTGAAGCAGTCGCTGGTCAAGGAGGAGAGGTGGGTGCAGCGAAGCAAGATGATGAGGCTCGAGCGCAATATTTGTCAGGTGGGCGGAACGAGCGGTATATCGTACGTAGATAGGGCGTGGCCGATGTCTCTGTGTCGAATGTGTATTGTAGGATGATGAGGAGGATGCGCGATGCGAGCAAGAGTGCGCGTGCGGAAACTGTTCGTGGGCGTCACGTAGGGACGTGGGCAAGTCGAGGCGGGGGAGGAGGGGCACAGAAGGCTTGAGCGTGGAAAGAGTCGGCGTCGAGGCGTAGGACGCAACGAGACGCCTCCAGATCCGCCTGTGGCCGGGAGGCGAACAAGCGAGATGGGCGGGGAGATGAATATGTGTTGGTGACCGGAAGACAGGGGAGCGGCCTGCGCGCCGAGTGTCGCGACACAAAAGATGGAAAGAGATGGATGAAGAGGAGATGGCAAGCCTGGATGGAAGAGGAGAGAAGTAGAAGAGTAGAAGAGTCGAAGAGAGAAGTCAGGAGGGAGTGAGACGCGAGGGGCAGAGAGAAGCAAAGGACAAGTGGAGGCAACCAAACGACCCACCAAGTGTAAGTGATGGTCGTGTGTGCATCCGTTTTGATTGCGTGCCAGTGACATCCACTAGAATCAGACTACAGATACTCTAGCCGACTTGGCTATCGCACCGTTGGCACCACAGCATGTGCTCAAGGCTGTACAGCATGTGTACTGCGGGAGGGACGGGCAGGGCAGGGCAGAGGTCCGGGGGGCTCGGAGCAGGGCCGGGGAGGACGGCGCGCGGTGCGCGTGTCATGTGTTGTGGAAACGGTACGCGTTTTAGGCTCTGTCCGGCCTTGGCCTTGGGTGCTTTTCCAGCTCGATCTCCAGCGCAGCCTATGGCCTTGGCCTACAACAGGCAGAGTAGCGACTGAATTTGGCACTGTGTTAGGGCTAACGCCAATGTCTCGCAAGTCTCGGCAAGCAATTGACGCCTATCCCCGGGGCCGGCATTGAGGCTGGCGGATGGCGGGGTCTGGCCAGCTCTTACCAGCCGCCACAGGCCGCCATTTCGCCTCTAACGCTTATACCTCCATACATCCATGCTGTACCAGGCACACCAACACCGCAAAATCCGGAACCGACTTGGTCGTATGCGAGGTGTTGCGACCCAATCCCAGATGACATGTGGAGAACAACGATCAGTTTGGACAAGATTACGGTGTGTCGTACTGTAGAAAGTGCAGGGTGAGGTGTTTCGTGCACCGCTTCAAGGAAGAGGGCGACAGGGGTCATGAAGAAGGGGCATATCTGGAAACATGGTACAACAGGGTTATCACGCTCCCGAGACTAAACCATCTTGCTGACGTCGCCTCTGCTCTCGTTAACATATGGATCGTGGGGAGTCTTGACATCAGCGGACAGAACGGGGTAGTGCGGAACACAGTCGACACGCGACACGCTTACACGCATACGTACATCATCATCGGGAACACGGTTGACGTGTTTCATCAGGCTGCCTTGCTTGCTCGTGGCTATTCAAGCCCTCACTCGACGTCATCATATCGCCTCTATCCCGTCCATGACTCTGATCACCCTAACATCCTTGAACGTCCTCCCACTGCCCCCACCAGTTCGCTAGATCGCTCGAGCAGGAGACCGTCCTCCAGAGCGATCAGGTCCTATACAAGTCGTGGTTTGCAATCGCTCTATCGAGCTTGTCCTCTAGCGAAGAGAGCAACCATGCAGTTACCGCCGGTCATCCATTCTTGCCGGGTTCAGCCACTCAAGAACACCCCATCGTCAACACACTGCATAGCATGCTTGCAGAGCATGACGGCACAAGTTGTAACTCGAAGATCTCCTCCTCCGTACGCATCTCTCCCTCCGCTGCTCGCGCCTCCCGTCCTCCTCTTTCAGCTTACTCCCCCCCCTCTCTCGGCTCGTTGCTCAACGGCCCGCCGCGAGGCCAAGCAGCGAGCCGCTCACCGGCGGCCGCGCGACAGGCTGGTGCATCGCCGGGGACGTCTGCGCCGCGCGTGCCGGCGGTTGGTTATTCTGCGGCTGTTGAAGCTGCGGATTGGGCTGGACGAGCTGAGTGACTTGCGCATGCTGAGGCAGCGGATACTGCTGGGCGTACCCCGGCGCAGGCTGAGGCGGCTGGTGCTGATACTGCTGGCCCATCTGTGGAGGGGCCCCCGGCTGGCCGGGAAGGCCTTGATTCTGGTTCTGGAACTGGAACTGCTGCTGCATGTTCCAGCCGGGCGCGGGCTGCCCCGGCTGACCGGGGAGGCCGACGGCGCCGATTGGACGGCCCTGTCCCGGCTGGCCAGGAAGGCCGCCGCTCAACTGCCGCTGGTGCCCGTAGTAGGTCGGCGGTTGTACGTGCTGCGCCGGGATGTAGTTGGCGGCGTTGTTTGGCTGGTTGGCGTGGTTGTAGACGATGGAGTGCTGGCCTTGCTGGGCAAAGTTGGCAGGGGCGGGAGGCTGACCCGCCTGCACGTAGGCGGCGCTGGGCTGCTTGCCAATCTGGTACTGTTGTATCGGCTGCGCAACCTGGCCATGCTGATTGTAGCCCCCCGCGTGCGGTGGCCCGGGTTGCTGACCAGGCTGCCCGTAGTTCGGATGCGGTGGCTGCACGGGATGAGCGTACCCGTGAATAGAAACCTGGTCTTGCTGATTGTGATGTGCGGGCGCTGCAGGCTGGCCAGCAGCAGAAGGCTGGCTGTAGCTTGATGCACTGTGTGGATTTGTTGGTTGTCCGTATGTCGCGACGTTGCCGTCGGCGAGCGGCGCCTGCGCGGCCTTTCCATACAGCGCACCCAACAGGTTGCGCTGATGCTCGTTATGTGTCGGCTGAGATGGCGCCTGAGGCAGTTGCTGCTGCTGCTGCGCATAGTCGTACTGCTGAGGACGCGTGTGCTGCGGTATAGGCGGAGGCTGCGGAGGCTGAGCCGCCGGAGGCGCCTGCGAAGATGGATACGGCGAAGGCTGCGTGGACGGGTACGACGACCAGTTTGGTGGAATCGGCGAAGGTCCCTGAGAACTGTAGGTGTTGGGCATTGGGCTGGGGCCCACGGAAGGGCCCCGGGAATGTGCGGGTGCAGTGGAGGGGGATGCAGGAAACTCCAGAAGGCTGTCCAGCAAAGCGCGCTGACGTTGCGCACGCTCCTCGTCCTCGCTGAGCAAGGGAGCCTGTTGAACGTGAGTGGAAACTGGAGCATAAACGGGTGCTGGAGCAGCCTTCGTGGGCGACGAGATCGCGGCAAGAAGATTATTCTGGTGCTCTGAATGCCTCGGAGCGGGCTGATGGTTCGGCGCTGCTGCGTGCGAGGGTCGAGCCTGAAGTATCTGCAGAAACTTGGCTTGCTTTTGGTCCAGTGGCGGGGTAGGTGCGGGATGGGCTGCGTGTACGCGCGAGTGGTGAGTTGGAGCGGGCGGTGCATCGGAAACTGGGCCGAGGTTGCCAAGGAGGCGCGCGAGTGTCTCGTCGTCGTTCTGGTCATCCGACGCCCGGGCGTGGACATGTGCTGCTGAGAAGGACGACTGGGTGCCGGCCACGGGCTTGATGTCTTCTTTCGTCCCGACAAATTTCGAGAAGAGCAAGTCCATCTCCGTCAGGGGCGTGCCGGTTGGCACAGGCTTTGGCTCATCGCCAAACAGGAACGGTTGGAGTTCGCGGCCGGCCCTGCCTGCTCCCGCGTCGAATGCGAATGGCTGCAATTGTCGACCACCCTGCTGCTGTCCGCCGCGCCCGCGCCCCTTCCCCCGCCCCGACTGGTTCTGCCGAAGCTGCTCCAAGTTGACGCCGTTCTTCTTCAAGAATTTCTTGATGCCGTTGACAAACGGCCCGACGCTGAAGAACTTCCTGGCCTTGCCACCGGCAGCGGGCTTCGGAGTGCCCTTCGCGTTGGACCACAACGGCAGCTCAACAACGGGAACCCACTCGATCTTGCCAATCTCCTTCATCGTCTTCGTCTTGAACACGGTGTTCTCGTCGACGCCGAAGACGAGGTACATGGTGACCTCCTGCCTCCTGTTCATTGTCGTCCTGATGAACTCGTTGGGGTTGAACAGCGGCTTCATGTCATATCCTGTCTCTTCATAGACCTGGAATGAGCGCAGACTCGGAAAGCCCCACCTCTCGAATGGCACACGCCTCCGGCGTTTCATTACTGTTGATCTTGCCCCGCGGGAAGACCCAGGACGAGCCGTTCTTCCACCCTCGCACCATCAAGACCTTGTCGCCCGTAGTGTTGAGCAAAATTCCGCCGCAGCACGGAACGACCTTCTTGTAGGCGAGGAATTTTTGCCATTGCTCGTCGAAGTCGAGTCCGGGATACTGGCCAGTGTGCTCCAACAGCAGCTGAGTCAGATTTCGCTGGTTAAGCATGGGCAGCGAGGGGTTCTGCGGTTGCACCCAATCCTCATAAAACCAGTGCGCCTCCTCCGCCTGCCAAATCAAGCGGTCGGGGGTCTTCTCCTCCTCTGGAAGGGAGTCGATGAAGCGCACGACCAGATCGTCGAGAACCTCTTCTAATGATTGATATTGTTCGGTTTCCATATCTTCCTCGAGATTGGAGAGCGCACCTGGGGTTTCCAATAGGGATGCCGCGGAGGACGCATCGTAAAGCGACATGGCAGGTGCTGTTTGAGTGGCGTCGCTTGTCCATGGGACAAGTTCCCGTTGGTGTGCCATGGTGGCGCGGAAAGATGGTGGAAGAGGTGTGGGAGTGGAATGCGGGCTGTGGGAGCCGTTAAGTTGCCTTTGCTCGCTCAGGCGAAGCGTGGGGGCGGACGTTGCAGGTGGAGGTGTTGGAGGAAAGGTCGAGAGAATTCTCGCGGGAGGGTGTGAGAGTTGGATGGTATGAAATGTAGAGATGATGAACTAGATAGCAGCGGCGCGAGCAGTAAGACAGTGCGAGGTGTTCACGACGTGATCGGAACGTCAACTCGGCCACGTGTAGATCGCGTGCCTGCCTCACAAAGTGTTTGAGCAATTGACCTGTGGCTGTCGTAGGCACCTCCTCCATCAACTCGCGCATCTTGCAAACCACCAGCCACCGTACGGCCATCTAGCGCTGCAATGTCGATTCACGCTACCCCTCAAATAGTTAAGTAGACCGGCAGAGTCATGTCAGGGATCCTCATACTTCTCCATCCGCCTCACACCGTTTTATCGCTCCTGATTTCATCGTTGTATTGGGCGACAACGAACTAGTGCTGCGCGTGAATTAAATGGGCTCAGCCACCTGGGTTGCCATTCGCCTCGTAAGCTTGCAATGGAGACAGGTAAGGAAAACACAGATGCCCCGCCACATTGCCTAATTGCCTGCCACGTATGCACAGTTTTTCCGGAGACATCTTGTCTGAGACATCTTGTCAACGAGGCGTCCTTTTGGGAGGCGGATGAGGCAGCGCAAGTAGAAATGATCGCTGCCCACGAATAACTTCGACAACACTGGACGCACCGCCACTCCACACCTCAATGCAAGATGGGTGCATGCTCCAATGCCTCTCCTCCGCTTCCCCGCTCGGCGCTCATGCTTTGACCTTAGCCTGCGCCTCCGGCGACAGCCACTCCTTCGGGAACCCCTTGACGCCGCCAACGACCTCGGGCCGGCGCTGGAGCGCCTCGCGCCGTGCGTAGCGCTTAACACCGCCGAACTTGCGCTGCTTCGCGAGCAAGTGGCGCGCGTCAATCGGCGCATCGGCGGGTATGGGCGACTTGGGGTCCTGGCGTCAGCGGCTGTTTGACAACTTGAAGATTCAACTACAGCGCACGAAGCAGCACCCAATCCCGGCCTTCCTCCCTTCGTCATTGCGTAGATCCTCCCTCCCCCGCATTAACTCACATTTGCAGCAGCCACCAGCCGTTCCAACATGTCGCTGGCGCTCTTCCGATTCATCCGGATGGCAGGGTAGCGCGCCTCGCTGATCTTGAACCACCCGTCGCCGTCGGCCACCAACTCGCTCGACCCCGGCTCTCCGGGCGTCCACCTCGGCCCAGCCAGGAGCTGGAAGCGGCGCACGGCGGCGGCGTCCTTCAGCGGGAGTGCGGAGAGGGGCGCGCGCAGTACCGTCTTCTGGTTGTACTCGTGATTGGGGTTCGCAAGGTCAATCGCGGTGGTCAAGCGGATTTTGCCCGGTGAGGGCTTGAAAGGCTTAGCCTGGGCTAAATGTTAGCGCAGCTCGGGAAGGGCTTGATAGTTGTAACTCTTGGCGTACAAGAGGACGTGAGGCGAGCGGAAAGCGCAGAGAGCAATTCCCACAACACCACCTTCCTTCCTCTGTGCTCACCATTCAGCGCCTCCACGTCCGTGTACATGTTGGCAACGAGCTGGCGGACGTCGTCAATCGCCGCAAGACGGATGTATCCGATCGTGGACGCTTCGTCCCACATGTAGCGGCCGGTTGGGGTGTCGTTGCGCATGTCCCATTCAGGCTCCTTGGCAAAGCCGCGGGCAGCCACCGAGGTCGAGAATGCGCGGACGCTAAGCGCCACCGCTCGCGTGCGGATCAGACCGGCCATCGTTGAGGAGGTGAGGGTAGTGTGCTCACGATCACAAGAGTCGAGGTCAGAGTTAGAGGTCGGACATTCGCGCGATTCCGGTTGACTTTTAAGCTCGCCTAATGACTACTCATCAGGCACATCTAGTTTACGCAGGCCTACTCCCTCTTCATAATTCGTACTTGAAGTACATGTGAGCGGGAGCAAAATTGGCCGGATTCAAATTCTTTGAGGTCCTTGGTCTCCTTTTCAGCAGCATACACTGTCCGCATCCCCACGGTCGGAGGAGTCCATCCCGCACGCGCCCCGCCATATACCCAACGCACCCTCCCATGCAAGACAACGCATGGCAAGGCGAAGTGCGGCGCGAGGGCGAGGAACGACTCTAACACATGTACGGCATGACGATCCCTATCCCACGTGCATCTGGGAGTGGCGTGCGGGGCCGGGAGACGGGAGGTCTTAGGCGAGCGCTGGACGCGCTCATTCGTCATCATGCGGGGGCCGGCGCTGCCGCAGAGTGAAACATCTCCCGGTGGCGTACAAGTGGCCGTACCGTACGCGTATGTTTGACACTACTGCGAGGCGTTTCGGCGCCTCCATAATCAATGGGGGTCATGTAGTAAGGCGGACCTTGGACCTCAACGTTGGAGCTTGACAACATGGAGAACAGCCAGTCGGTGCAGAGCTTCTATCAGGGCCGGAGAGCGTAGATAAGGGGCCGAACATTTCGGGGTGACGTGCCCAGTGCCTGCGCGTCGGTGCCTGCGAAAAAGTTGAATCGTTTCGACTGCTGCGATCTACGAGCGCACTCCCCTGTATTACACGGCAGAGGATTCTGCAACGCCGGAGCAGCTTGTAACCAACGACTGCGCTCTCTAGCCCTGGGCTCCGTGCGGCGCGGGGCGGAGATCCACCTCTCAAGCCCAGGAACCTCGGCTGTCGATCAGAGGACGCGGCCGCGCGTCTCCCGCAATCCTCATCTCGGGCCATAGCACCCCCGCGACTCCCGTTTCGTGGCAACGCACAAAATTGTCCGCGCAATCACTCTGACTCATATTCATAAATATGAATGATGAGATCGCCATTCAGGTTGCCCATCGCCCACCATCTGAAAGAGATCTGACGCGCCGCTCGCAGCACAGACCCACAGTCGTTCCTTCGTAGTCGCACGCCCGTACTTGCACTGTCCATACTCTGTAGACGGCGTCTTTCCATACACACCACTACCAACAACACAATGCCCGCCCCGCCCTTTGCTTGCACGCCGGCGATGTCGCGCTCGTCGTCGAGCTCGACGATCACGCTCGTGGCCACGCCGCGCCTTAAGGCCTTCGAGCCCCTCGAGGCCGAGTGCACAACGCTGACCGCCGTCGCCGTCAACAAGCCGCTGAAGGCCGCCTTCGTCTCGGCCGTCTCGGCCCTCAACCGGCCGCTTCGCATCGTCGGCTTGCTCGCGACCCCCGACTCCGGCTGCAGGATGTACGCCGAGATGACGGCGCGCGCGTGCGCGTCTTCCGGCGTGACCTTCGACCTGCAGGAGGCCGCGCACTCCTTCGACGCCGTCGCCGCGTCCATCCGCTGCCTCAACGCCGACGACTCGCTCGACGGCCTCATAGTCTACTTCCCCCTCTTCGGGGCCGATGAGGACGCGACGCTCCGCGCCCTCATCTCCCGCCGCATCGACGTCGAGGGCCTCTCGGGCCTCCCCCGCTCCCCGGCGCCCCCATGCCTCCAGACCGCCGTGTATCCCTGCACAGCGCTCGCCGTCGTCCGCGCCCTCCAGCACCCCACGGCCGCGTTGTACGATGCCGCCCGCCCCGCCGGCAGCCGCTTCGACGGCACCGTCACTGTCGTGAACCGCTCGCCGACGGTCGGCGCGCCGCTCGCACGCATGCTCGCGGCAGACGGCGCCCGCGTCTTCTCCGTCGACATTACCGGCGCCGAGCTCCTCTCCCTGCGCGCCGGTGAGGTCGTTACCTCCCCCGTCTACGCCGAGCTGGACGAGCTCCTCGGCCAGTCGGACGCCGTGGTTTCCGCCGTCCCCGGCTCGTTCTCCCTCGACACGGCCGCGCTCAAGCCCGGATGCGTGGCGGTAGATCTCTCCGAACATGGCAATTTTGGTGATGATGTGCGCGAACGCGCCCGCGTCTTCGCGCCCCGCATCGGCGGCGTGACCATCCTCATGTTGCAGATCAACGCGTTGGTTCTGCGGCGGCAGCGCGAGCGCGAGGGCAAGCTCTAGCGTGGTGCGCAGGCGCGTCACGCGGGCCACAGAGGTCTTACCTGAAGACGGACAATCCGTATGTTATGTGTCATAGAATTGTATAATGTATCCTTACTGGGTTTCCGGGACGCAGTGCAGGAGTGTGAGTGAGGTTCGGCGCACGTCGAAAGGGTCCGCACAGAGGGGCTTCGTCTTCTTGATTAGCTTGTCAATCCGCTCCGACACCTCGATAGTCGTGATTAGCAACGAGTAACACTTTCGAGAAGGGCGCACGCGTCAATGCTGCCCGTCGGCCATGTAATGTGGCCCACTGAATAGGTCAGCCCCGCAAGCTCGCATGCCGTCGCGGCCGCGGTGGCCGTTCTCAGGGATGTTGCGAGGCTGTCAGTGATGCGGTCACGTTCTCTTCGTTAGGGCAGACCGTGGAGCACCCATGCAGAACCCAGAACTATGCCTTGCCCATCCATTCGTCAATCTGCGCTTGAGGCACCTCATCGAGCCGGTGCACAAGGTAGTCCACCTGGTGTGAGCCGGGCATACCTCGTAGGCTCCCTGCACTCACCTCAACGTCCTTCGTTAGAGGAATGACCCAGTCGCGGTAGAGCCCCACGACAGCCTCGATGTCGATGCGCGTGCCCGTGTTCTCAATCACGTGCCCGTCTGCATCCATCTCACACCCGTAAACCTTGGCCTTGTTGGCCAAACGGGCGAGCAAGCGCGCTTCCACCGCAGGCTTGGTGATGAGTGCCGCGAGAGCGTCCTTGTTGGGCGGGCTCGCGAGGATGTGGGGGATGAAGTCTGCGGGCGCCGACTGAAACTTCGACTCAGAGACGAACATGCCTGGTGTGAGCGCCGAATGTATTGTAAGCTCACCGAAGTGGATACGTCGGCTCAGAGCCTGGAGCACCTCGACGTCGCGGGTCGCGCTACTCCCGTAATTTCCGTCATCTGCGTCCTTCGTAATGCCCGGCACGATGTGGGCGACGTAAAAGTCAAGGATGCGGTCATTGACATTGACCGAGGGGTGGGATGCCGCGGGGGTGTGCAAGAGAGATGGGAAGTCCATGGGAACCAGGACAGGCGTGGGAAGCATTTCGCGAGGCGTAAATGGATGCTCGTCCGGTGAGGTGTAGCGGCGCGCCTTAGCTGGGGTAAGCGGAGCGCTCAGTGGAGTAGGCAGAGCCGAGGGAAGGCGAGGAGGAGTAGACGGGGTACGCACCATGGAAGCTCTCCGTTTCGCGGATGAACCATTCGAGCAGAGGCTTCTCGGAGCCCATCTCTTTTGTGAAAGCGCCCTCCTCGTAGATGCGCTTGTTGCGCGCGAACTGCGCGCGCTCAATGAGGGCTGTTGTCAGTCACCTTTTGCCCACGCCGTCACGTACAGAAGATTATGGTGTCCTCGAGACGGATGAGCTGGCTGCGGATGTTGTCCAGCGCCAGCAGCTCGGGCACGCTCGCGCCCGTAGTAAGGTTCATGGCTAAGGCTAAGAGAGTGCGATGAGTACAGGTGAGGAAATGAGTGAGTTTGTGAAAGCAGTGGACGGTATTGAGGTTGCCCGAAACAGTGCGGGCAACGAGTCGGTGGAGGTGGAGGTTGGCGCTGTCGTGCATTTGCCAAGACATGTGTTTGTCAGCGCTGTTCATTCGCGTGACCGGGCACCGCTGTGAGAGCTTTGGCCATATCCCCCGGAATCGAGCCAGCCGCGCTTGCTCAGCTCATCTTGCATAATCGGCCCTCGTGGGTTCGTGACCGTTTGACGACTTGACGGCTCCGTGGTCAGGAACATGGCGCCGCTGTGAATCAACTGTTCTGCGGTCTGCGGTAGATATGCAGAACGAGAGCCGATATCGTCTTTCGCGAGAGATTCACCCGATCGTCACACATCCGCAACCTGCACGTGGTCATTGAGTGTAACCCCCCCTAGTATAACGAACCACATACATACAAGGATCCTGAGCACTCCCTTGTACTAATACTAGCGGCGTCCGTGGACAGAGTCCCACACGGCGCCTGCGCCTATGCATGGCGCATCTATGATCTCGCTCAGAACAGCCAAGAGGCAATCCTGCCCCAACGCCCGACAGGCTTGTAGCGCTCGTTGTCGTACTTCTCCATCTCGTCGAGCTGGCGGCGGCCCGTGATGTAGTCTATTTCCTCGAGCTTGACGATCTTGGTGCGCTTGACAATCTTCCAGCCGAAATAGGCGACGGCAAAGATCAGAACTGTGATGTACGAGGCGAAGAACGAGGCCGTGTCCCAGTTGCCCTTGAGGAAGACGGTGAAGCCGCAGAAGATGATGATGAGCGTGAACCAGATGAAGCCGTACCACGACAGCCACGGCTGCCAGGGCGCGAGGTATGGCGAGTCGCGCGACAGGCCCTGCTTCTTCAGGCCGTAGTAGTAGCGGAGGTAGCAGAGGAGGATGGCCCACCAGCACAGCAGGCCGGAAATGGCGCTCAGATTGTAGAGCCAGTCAAAAGCCTCGGCAGCCTTGGAGCCGCCCGTGTTGAGGTAGGCGAGGGGTCCGAAAAGGCCGGTCGCAATGATCGCCCAGTATGGAAGGCCGCGACGCGTGCACTTGCGGAAGAACTTGGGCGCCATGCCTTCGAGAGAGAGGGCGTATAGCGTACGGCTGGCGGCGTAGAGGTCCGAGTTACCAGCTGACCATGCGGCGGAGAGGATGACAGCATTGATAACCGATGGGAGACCCTTGATGCCCGCGTTCTCGATGGCGATGACGAAGGGCGAGGCGCTTGCATCATTGCTCGACTTGCCGTTCAGCAGTCGCGGCTCGTCGTAAGGAACGAGGACCGAGATGACGAAGATGCCCAGAACGTAGAAAATGACGAGACGGAAGAAAACACGACGGATCGCCTTGGGCACAGTTTTGCGGGGGTTCTCAGCTTCACCGAGCGTTGTTCCGATGATTTCAGTGCCAATGAACGAGAAGGCGGCCTGGACGAAGACGTTCCAGAAGGCGAGGAACTGGCCCCAGTGGCCACCAATGACGCCAGCCCCGTTGTTGATTGTTTGCTGGGAACTGTCAGCTACTACTCGTCACGGATGGAGGGACTGCGCCTTTGACTCACACTCGCAAATGGCCCTGGGTTACGCCAGTACCTAAAGCCGATTGGGTCGTGGTTAGGTCCACCGCCGCACATAAGAACGATTCCGAGAATGATGAGGCCAATAATCGCGATGACCTTAATGAGAGACTGGGGTCAGCCAACTCCGTAACTCTGGGTGAGCACGTACAAACCAGAACTCCATTTCTCCGTATGCCCTGGCGCCGAAAGCGTTCACAATCCAGATGGCGACCATACAGACGGTGATGTAGACTGCAGGGTTGGTGGATGCGTCCCAGTACGAGATAACGATTGCCACCGCCACGAGTTCGGTCGGCAGCGTGATCGCCCAAGAGTACCAATAATTGATGCCAACTGCGAACCCGAGCGCTGGGTCAACGAAGCGTGAGCCGTAATGCGTGAAAGCACCAGCCACGGGGAACAATGTAGCGACCTCGCCGAGAGCGACCATCATAGCGTAGACCATAGTGGACATCAGACAGTAGCCGAGCCAGAGGCCTACTGGGCCCCCCGTGGCTAGGGCCGAGCCCGACCCAATAAAGAGACCTAGAGTCAGTGCTGCTATGCATGGGATAGCGGGGCGGGTTCGACAATCGACAACGGAAAACGTTGGACGGACGAAATGTTGAGCGATGCCGGCGGACAGAGGATCGGCAGCGATCGGCAGATCGGCGCGCGCCACCCAACCCTCCACCGTCTGTGCACATAGCTAATGTAGTCTTGGCGCGCCCTTTCTTATCGCCAGATCGCCAGACAAACATGTGGAGCTCGTGCAGCCGCACGCCCTCACGCGCCCGATGCATGCAAATATGAGCAGATCGTGCGACTCACCTGTTCCGATAGCGCCACCGATAGCAATCATAGCCATGTGTCGCTGCTTTAGCTGACGCTTCACACCGCCTTCGAGCTCTCCATGGCCTGTCGTCAGCTCCATCACTTCCCAGGCGCACTGTTCAGCTCGCCGAGGCCGCCTGTCCCCGGCTCGACCCAGTGATACGCGGCTTCGGCATCGTGGAAGTCGCCGTACACCGGCGAGACGCTGCTGCTGCCGCCCTCATACTTGTCTGGGTATTAGCAACGTCAGGGCCGGGTCCCGTCAGGGGCGAGGCGCTCACAGTCTGGCGAGCCAGAGTTTGGTGTCGGGTGGTACGGGTTGAAGCCCTTCTCGTGGAGTTCGACGTCGTCGCGGTGGTTCATGGTGAAGAGGAGGGGCGGGGGGGGGGGGGGGGGGGGGGGGAAGAGGAAATAGATGGGTCAGGCGACAAGGATGAAAAGCTGGAGGTGATGGAGTAGCGCGCGTGGTAGTCCGAGTAGGGAAATGCCCGGGATGCGTAAGCGCAGGCGATCAGGCGGACGCCGCTGCCTGTTTCGTGGTCTTGATGTTCAAGAGGCAAGTTGGGCCAGTTGCAAGAGATAATGGACAAGACGCAAAGTTGAATGCAGATGCAGATGAGGACGGTTGGGCAACCAGGACGGGAGAACAAGCGGGACGAGCTCGGATGTAAAGCGCTTTGGTGGGAGCCGTGGCCCGGCACGGGGCACGGTATGTAAGTGGGAGCCGTGGAGATTGCGCCTGGTGGTAGATAGACCGTAGGACGGCGCTCACATGGTCAGAGTGGGGGCGACCTGATGCGCTGTCCGCATTCTCGGGCATGTCATCACGCCGCTCGAGGATCAAGGGATCGCTCCAAGCGAGCCAGATCCTCGATTCGGGCGCCCAATTCTCTTATGCAAAATAGCACATACGGCGTAAACGCGCCACTTAGGCCCAGAGGCACCTGGAAATGGCGTACTGGAACTGACGCACGGACGGCACTCGCGAATGGACATGAGCGCCCTCCTCTCGGTACTTGTCCTCTCCACCTGTGGGTCAACGCTGCACTCCGTGGCCATCACAAATCAATGACAGGTGATCCATGGCCACTGTACTCCATGCCCCACCCCACTCACGACTTCGCCCGGCGGCACGGCTGTTTGCCCACTCGTATCAACGCACATTCCGCACGGGAGCGTCCCGGACCAAGCCAGCTCAGCCGGAACCGGTGAGCTTTTCCACATACGAATGGGCCATGTATTGAGGGCGTCGCATAAGCTCAACGGGCACTGATTTGTCTGATGCAAGCTCCACTTTGTCTTCTGTAACACTTTGGCGGTCAAGCTTCGGGTGACAATTGAGGTCAACGGCTCGGCGTGGCATCGCGTTGAGTGGAAGTCCGCAGCCGCAGCTGCTTATCGTGCGAGAAATGAGATCCGTCGGCGGGGCCGACGGCGTTTCCGACGTACTCCAGCTGGCTGATCAGCGCCCTTCCAGTCTCAACAACAACCCACCTCAATTGGACAGTGTACAGATACGTGTTGAAGCGAGCTTCAATGAAAGCATCGCCACCCGGGAGTCGGAGCTTGTCGGCTAGTCTCCTGTAAGCCCCGGCAACGTAGAGGGCGGAGTGAGATGCAATTGACTAACAGCCTTGACCACTATACTACACGTTGTCTAATCTACAGTGGGGAAAATGCACTCATGGATACTCAACATGGACTTGATGGTCACCGTGACGGTACCGGCGATCTACACACTCAAACTCTGCAGATTGCCGGACCAGTTGGCTACCTTGCGGTGTGCCATGACCTTGTCCGCTCGGAAGCCCTTGACCTGGAGGCCCTCGAGCGAGGTTGCGCGCGAGAGGGCGACATAAGCTGCTAGTCAGCCTGTTTTGCTGCGGCAACTCACCTTGGCCCTTTTCAAACACCTTGGTCAGGTCGACCTTGACGCGCTCGAGCGCTATCGTCAGCTCTCCTTCGCTATGGGAACTTACTTTGCCCCTGCGCCTTGTGGATGGACATCGCCCATGCTAGGATAAGCGGCAGTTGGGTCCGCGACACCTGGACTTCGCCATTGGGAAGCTCGGTCTTGAATTGGTCATACTCAACGAACAAGTCGCGAACCCCTCCGTTGGGTATTGAAAAGCGGACAACGGGCAGCGGCTGCGCCGTGGATTTGATTGGCAGACGCATCTTACTCAAGAGCTTCTCTTTTAGGCGATCATCTAGCCCTTCTCCGCTCGCATCATCGTCCTCCAAGCCTTTCTCGCGCCAAAGGCCGTTGGCGTCGGTGACGAACTCTGTCTTGTGGCAGAAGCCGAGCACGCGACCCATGCTTCCGTTCACCAGGGTCTCGTCGATGTTCTTGATAAGCATGACTTGTGCATCGACCTTGAGCTCCAGAGACGGTGGTGCCATAAAGTTCGCCAACATCTTCTCACGTTGCTGTGGATCCTGAATAGTCCCGCCATCCTGGGCGATGTATCGATGGCCGTCCGTCGTAAGGTTCTTCAGGCGCGTCATGTTGGAGCGGTCGACATCCTCACGCCGAGGGAATAGCTCAGTTGGGACGATGCCGTCAGGACACGGAATAGGACGATCTAGCTTCCGGAAAGTTTCAATAGATTCAGAAGTAAGCCGGCCGAACCGCATCTCATTGAGCATGTTGACGAAGCCTGGGATCAGTCGTCATTGCCCTACCCAAGTTACACTCACGCTCGTCCTTCTGACGGAACACCTTGGACAGATTGACCTGCTTGTGGATTGATTCAGACCAAGTGGTGGCCTCGAAGCAGAAACGGGGTTCACCATTCTTAGTCACAGGCGGCAGCTGGAAGAAGTCGCCAGTGCAAATGAGCTGAATCCCACCAAAAGGGACGCCTGGCCGCTTGCGCATAATCTGTCCCACCCGGTTGAACTTGTCGAAGAGGTCGGCATCGACCATTGAGACTAGCGTCAGGGGTGTTTCGCTCACTGGAGCAGAAGCGCGACCCGCAGACGGATAATAAATGCCTTGCTCGAGGGTGTGCGAGGACTCACTCTCGTCGATGATCAGAGCCTTGGTGCGCACCCATCGAGCAGCCGCCTTCTTGTTGCGCTTGAGCTTTTGAGCGAGTGTGGCGGGTTCTTCAGTTGCAAGTCCGACGCCACCAAACGAGTGCAGCGTGGTGCCGCCAATGTTGCAAGCTGCAATGCCAGTCGAGGCAGTGACCGCCACAGCATCGGGAGACTTTGCGTACTTGAAGTGCAGCGACTTGATGATCTCACGCAATAGGACAGACTTGCCGGCACCTCGCGGTCAGCATCGCCCCATAGAGTGATCTCACCGGCACTTCCGGTGAAGAAGATATTCCTTCCCTGATCAACAACCATCTTGAGCACCTCTTGCTGTTCCGTACTCAAGACGAGCTGATTCCTGATGTTGACAGTGGGCAGAGAGGGCTTGCCCTTCTTGCGTGACTGGCCGACGCTTGATGACGAGTTCGTGCGCGACAGTCCTCCGGTCTCCGTCACCTTCTTGGCAGAGCTTCAGTTAGCGTTGTGCGCTGAAGGAAGGTCATATGAGAAGGGTGCTTACGAGAAGTCCCCCTCCCACGGTTTTGGACGTTTCTTGATGTCCAGCGTTGGAAGCTCCGGCAGAGCCTGAGTGTCGGCGGCTGCCGAAAGTTTGGTGCTCGAACCCGACGACGCAACGTTCAGCCGACTTGACGATAGTAATGTAGAAGACGATGCTTTCGGAGGGATGACGCTGGGGCGTGGAGGCGCAGCCACTACTAAACTTGAGGTAGCGGACGTTCTCGCTGAAGGCGGGTTTATAGGCATGGCCTCGAGAATCGCACGGCGGCGACGTTCTTGCGGAGTCAAGCCATCGCTAACTGAGAGTGTGGAGTTTGACACCGACGCGGAGGACGACATTGGTGGAGCTGAACGAGCCGGAGCGGAGAAGGGAAGCTTAGTTTTGACGCGCGGCGGACTTGGAGACCACTCGATCGGCGTGCTGGAGGGCGCCTTGTCGTCGTCGCCCCAGTCGCGAGTGAAAGAGTTGACGCGGGATATGCTACGCCCGGCGCCGGCGGGGGTGAGAAGAGAAGGCATGGCGCGGTGGGAGTAAGAGATGGCGAGATTGAGAGTAACAAGGACGATGATAATTCGATCCTAATCAGCCGGTTGACGCGACTGCTTTGAGCCCGAGCCAAACAGCCCGTTGTGCCTGAAATCTGACGTGTAATTACACTTGCCACTCTGATAAACCTCCACTCCAAGATTTCAGACGCTGAACGCATCGGAGGCTCAGAGATTTCCGGACCGAATTGTTGATCATCTCAAACAGCATTACCAACATGGGGCGCGACAAGAAGATTGCGAACGCCGTCAAGCGTGGCCAGGTCTTCAACAAGACCCGCCGCGAGAAGGCTCAGGACAAGCTAAAGCGCCGCATGGAGCAGCGTAAGCTTGAGACGGCCGAGGGAGGCGACGAGATCCGGCGTGTGAGTGCAGCTGGCGAGATAGGACAGTCAACTGACGGGGCAGGAGCGTCTAGAGAAGAACATCCCCCGCACTATCGACAACACTCGCATCTACGACGGCACATCATATCTCACGGCGGACCCCGCGACTCTGCGTGCAGCCGAGGAGCGTGCCGCCGAGGCATCGCGCCTCGTCAACGCGCCCGCCGAGCCAATGGACGAGGACGAGGAAAGTGATGATGAGGATGAGGACGAGTCAAAGGCTGGTCCTTCCGGGTCCCAAGCTGAGGCAGCGGATGAGGACGGCGACGAGGACGACGACGACGACAAGGAGGCCGAAGAAGAGACCGAACAGAAGCAGAAGGAGCCGGAGCCGGTGCACTCAGCCCCACCTCGCATCCTAATTACCACGTCACCCGGTCCGTCCAAGCCGACATACCACTTCTGCGACGACCTGAAGAGCATCTTCCCAGGAGGGGAGTTCTTCAAGCGCCCCAAGGGGCGTGGGTTCGAGCTTGGCCGCGTTGCCCGCTGGAGCGCGAAGCGTGGATACAGCGCGGTGATCGTCATCAACGAGGACCACAAGAAGCCCAGTACGCTTGCAATGCATGGGCATAAACTGACAGCAGATGCGCTCACTCTCATCAATCTGCCAGCAGGCCCCACAGCGTATTTCAAGTTGAGCAGCGTCCAGCTCGGTTCTGAGATCCACGGGCACGGCCGTGCAACGGCACACAACCGTACGTCTGCTAAGATGCTGCCGACGTAGCTAAAGCTCAGCTGAACTCATCCTCAACGGCTTCACGACGCTCCTTGGTAACTCTGTTGGCGGGATGTGGGCGCAGCTTTTTCCGCCAATGCCGCAGTTCCGCGGGCGTCAAGTCGCGACATTGCACAACCAGCGCGACTTCCTGTTCTTCAGGCGACACCGGTGAGCTACTCATTCTCTTCTGTTGCTGATTGTAGCTACGCTTTCACCTCTCCAACATCCGCCAAGCTGCAGGAGATCGGGCCCCGTTTCACGCTTAAGCTGAGGTGGCTGCGGAAGGGCTTGCCGTCGGTGCGAGCGGGCGACGGCCGCATGCCAACCGGTGGCGACAAGTCTGCAGATGACGAATTTGTCATCGACGATGACGAGGAGACGGCCGAGCAGGAGCGCAAGGACGAAGAGGAGGCTGCCGCCGCCATGAACAATGGCGAGGCGACACCGAGTGGGCAACCGATCCCGGCGCTCGATGAGGAGCAGGAGTACGAATGGAAGTGGAAGCCCAAGATGGAGGTATCGAGGAGGACATTCTTCCTCTAGGTTCCGCGTCGCACTTCGAGACATGGATAGATTCAGGTGTAGGCATCGATTTCAGCATATGCATTGTAATACCACGGATTAGGAATGCAGTCAATTTAAGTGCCACAGTGACCAACTCGGCCTGGGTGACGCGGGAATTTGCGGAGATAGATTTTGAGGCGGAGTGGACTTTTGAGTTGGAGGGTGGTCGCTGGCATTGTTCACGAGCTAGGCGGCCAAAGACGTCCCATTGTCACCTCGCGTCGCCGTCCAGACCGAGCACACCCCATCTCAAAAGCGGAGCCCTTCCCACTCCGCGTTCATCGACCACCCCTCCGCGCTAGACGAAACAGCGCCGCCCACCATGGCCGAGTACGATCTTACCCAAGCAAGTATCGACGCGCGCGCCGCTATTGTCTCCGAACATGTGCTGACGTCCTTCCAGAAGCTCATCCCCCAGCTGGACCGCCATTTGGCGATTCCGCTGGTCAACTACCTCGCCGACTCGGAGATCTTCCCTGCCGCGCAGGTGACCAAGGCCCAGTGCGTGTTGAAATATAGCGTGACTGACAGCGCTCAGATATGACCTCGTCAAGGGCACCAACATGGTCGACTATGTCAAGCAGCTGTTTGACCAGGCCAAGAGCGAGGGCGTTGATGTCGAGGCCGAGAACTTTGACAAGCTCCGCGAGACGGCTACGGCCAAGTACAACGCGCTGCAGGCTGCCGCGCAGCCGATTATGCGCGTGATCGAGGACCCCGAGGCGGTGGCGAAGCTCAAGGGCGGTGTGGACAGGGAGAAGAACCTCGACCTTCTGCGGTCAGAGTACAACGTGGGTCGCAAGCGGGAGAGCGTGTGCTGACGGCAGATCTCGGTCGAGCAGATCAACGCGCTGTACCATTTCGGCCAGTACCAGTTCTCGCTTGGCGCGTACGCGGACGCCGCCAACCTCCTTTACCACTTCCTCATTTTCTCGCCCTCGGTCGAGCTGAACATGTCGGCGCACTGGGGAAAGCTCGCATCCAACATCCTTACCGGCGAGTGGGACGCTGCTCTTCAGGAGGTCAAGGACCTGCGTGATCTTATCGACAACCCGCACACCTCGGCGCAGGCCAAGCCCCTTACGCAGCTGCAGGCGCGCACCTGGCTTCTTCACTGGTCGCTCTTTGTTTTCTTCAACCTCGGCGAGGGCCAGGGCTGCCAGAGTCTCCTCGACATGTTCCTCTCGCCCGCTTACCTCAACACTATCCAGACCTCGTGCCCCCATCTCCTCCGGTATCTCGTCGCTGCGGCAATCGTCTCGCGCCGCGCCCCCAAGCCTGCCGGCACTCGTGCCAACCGCGATCACGTCAAGGATCTGGTTCGCATCGTTCAGATGGAGGAGTACCAGTACTCTGACCCCGTGACCGCTTTCCTTAAGGACCTCTTCGTCCACTTTGACTTTGACCGGGCCCAGAACCGCCTCAAGGTCGCCGAGCAGGTGGTTCGCTCCGACTTCTTCCTTTCTGGCTTTGCGGACGACTTTGTGGAGAACGCGCGCTGGCTCGTGTCTGAGATCTTCTGCCGCATTCACCAGCGCATCGACATCTCTGAGCTGTCCAAGACGCTCAACTTGTCCAACGAGGAGGGCGAGAAGTGGATTGTCAACCTCATCCGTGACTCGCGCATGGGCGTTGACGCCAAGATCGACCTTAAGAGCAACATGCTCCACATCAGCCGGCCGCTGACGACCCCAACCGCGACCCTCATCGAGACGACTCGCGGGCTGGCGTTCCGGTCTCAGGCGATCCAGTACGCGATGGCGAACACGTCGTCCGAGCCGCGCTCGGGCGAGCGTGGCGAGCGCGGCGGGCGCACCGGCGGCCGCGGGCGTGGTGGAAGGACGGGCGGCCAGTCGCGCCCCGGAGCATCTGAGAAGGCGCAGGAGGGCGAGGCTGCGGCCTAGGTGTGTTAGAGCGGCTGCATGTATGCATACATAGTTAGACCTCAGAGTTGGGAGTAGGCGTGGCGGAGGAGGACGGTGCTTCGAGAGTGGGGCAGCGGGGTCGACAGAGGCGGTGCGTGTGAACAGAGATATGGTTACAGATCGTGGGTGGCATGAGGCGGCCGACATTCCGATCCAGGCGACAGGCTTACTTCATCCCCAGCACACGGCCAGATGCGTCGCTGTTCCAAAAGCGTATGCACGATTTCGAGCAGCAGCAAGAGTCGCTGGGATAGGCTTCTCGAAGTCGGCGAGACTCCGAGCATCGCCTCGTCTGAAACTTTGGTGAGTGATCGACGGCACGTGGGGTGCAAGGGCCGAGGTGGTACGGTGGAGATCCACTGGTGCCTTAATGAGGTCACTGTTTGCCACCCAACGCCAAATCGGTCACGCCCCACATCTTCCGACCGCTCTGTCCATCCAACAACGCCCAGCAACGATAAATTCCATCACTCGCATCTCATTCTCGCTCTCATCCGTCTTCTCACACCCCCACTTTCATCCTCACCATGGCTACCTTTGCTGCCACTGCTGCGCGCGTAAGTCTGTTTCCTCACATCCTCGTCGCCGCTTCGCCACTAATCCCACCTCTTTCCCGTGCTCCCGGTCCACGGCCGCTGACGATATCAGAAGTACATTGCCGCCCACGCAAAGCACTATGAGCCGGCGGACCCGTACTACGAGGTTATTACGGACGAGCACGGTAACCAGAGGCGGCGCAAGCGCGACATCCCCGCGGGCTTGAGCAAGCGCGACGCGAGGGCGCTCCGCAAGATCCGCAAGCGCGCGCACTACCTTGACAAGGGTATCAATCTGTGCGGGTTCCGCGTAGGCTGGACCTTCTTCATCGGTGAGCTCACGCTGCTTGATCAGCCGACTTCATTGGCCTGCTGCTGACCGCAGGTATCATCCCGATGGTTGGTGACATTACGGATGCGACCCTCAACTACATCCTCGTCGTTAAGCCTGCGCGCAAGCTCGACCTCCCGGCTTCTGTCACCAGCCAGATGCTCTTCAACAACGCCGTATCGGCCGGCGTAGGCCTCGTTCCTCTCGTCGGCGACATCGCGCTCGCCGTGTGGAAGGCGAACTGGCGCAACGCCAACCTTCTCGAGGAGTTCCTCGCCCAGCGCGGCGCCGACAACCTCGCTCATGCGGCGCAGGGCGCACATAGCGTTGACGCTGAAGTCGTGCACGAAGCGTTGGCTCAGGACGCCGACGGCATTCTCGGTAACGTCGACCCTGTGCCCGCCCATCCCGTCGCTGGGAAGAAGAAGAAGCGCGGATGGAACCCGTTCGCGTCGCACGAGGACGCGGAGGCGGACGCTGCCGCCGCCGCTCACGCGCAGCAGGTTCAGGTTGCCACTGGCGTCGCGCCTCCGGTGACTGCCGCTTCTCCGCGCCGCTAGCCAGCATCGCACGTGATGAGTATCCGTAGACTGATTATCTGTAGACGACATGTATGTAGGAAGGCCTAAGATGTGGCTTGGACTGTGGCCGTGTTTGCTTGAAGATTGTACTGTTCATTGTCCATAATGCCTTCTCGTCAAACAAGCATTTCAGGCGCATACTCCTGACAGCCCTCGATTGGGATGAGGTTGGGATAATACAATCCATTACAGAGTGCAGGAAGGCACTGTGTGACCTGGCATGGGCAGGGCGTGGCGGGCATGGCTTACAATGTTGTACGAGTATACGTCGAAAGCCTTCGACCAGGCCCCTCGTCGGAATATCGAGGGACTGCCTTGGTACACGCACATACCCATGATTTTTGCAGTAGACAGTGCAAGGGAGCTGGCGCAAGCAATATGCAGCGACCATGTTCCTGTTCTCTCACTGCTCTTTATGCGCTCCCATCTCATAACTACACCTATGCGTTCACTCCTCAAGACGATCCGCAAGTACGGCTCGCGTTTTCGCCAGCCCATATGGCGTCCATGACCATCTTGAAGATGACAAGATCCTCGCACGCGTCCTCAGGGTTAGTCTTCACATGCTTGCCAGTGGTGATGGCGTCGTACAGCGCCTTATATTCGAGCGTGAACGCATCCTCGTACGTCGGGCGGATGGTTTCCTCGACGTGATCTCCATTACGCGTGTACTGCACGGTCGCCGTTATAGGGAGGCCTTTGACATACGGCCTAACGTCAGCCACCCTCCTCTTCCTCCTTCATAACTCAACTCACGTGTCATATGTAACCTTGGCCCGGCGGTCGTGGAGGTAAGCCTCGATGTGCGCATCGAACACGCGCACGTCGTCAATCCCGACCTCATAATACGCGACAAACCCATCGCTGCGTCAGCTCTGTCAGATGGGGACGCACTACTCGAACGTAGCCCAGATCCACTGGCAGTCGGCGCTGCGCGACGCACTAACCACGCGCCGAGGCATGCCAATGAGCTCCCGCATCGCGCTGATGTCGTGGACCGCCAGACTCGTCAAGAGGCCCCACGTTTCGGCGTCGCGCGCGCTGTGCTCGCCCAAAGCCTCGGCGAGCATGGCTGCATTCCGCGCCGCGCGGTCGTCGATAGCCACTTTTGGCGTATCTGAATCAGTGGAGGCGGAAAGGACACGTACCGTTGAATTTGCGCGGGTAGAAGCCGCTCTGCTCGACAAAGTACTGGTTTTTCCCTATGATGTCGCGCACGCGCACGTATGCGATCCTCTCAGCGCTGTGCACCATCTCCTTGACGCGCAAGAACGCTTTAGCGTACCGGCGCATAAAGCCGACAAAGCACACCTTCCCCGAATCCTTAGCCACGGCCGCAACCTGTTCCGCGCCCGAGGCGGTAAGGGCCAGAGGCTTCTCCACGAATACGTGCTTTCCGGCCCGGAGGGCGGCGATGGCCTGCTCGACGTGGTACTCGTTCGCGCTGGTGATCATGATCAGGTCGATGTCGTTATCGGTCAGCACAGGCTCAATGGCCGTGTAAGTGCGCTGCACATGGAACTTTTGCGCCGCATGCGCGAGCGCCTCGGGTGAGACGTCTACAAGCGCGAGGGTGTTGAAGTACGGCGAAAGGAGGAGCGTCGGGAGATGCACAGTGAGTGCGACCTCGCCGATGCCGACGAGCTAACATTAGCCGGGATATGATGAGCGAAGCCAGGCTCACCGCGACTCCGAGCGGCTTGCTCATGGTGAGTGAGGTGTTCTGGATACTTTCAGAAGACGAGAGCAAGGGCGGACGCGTGCCCCGCCCCGGGTTGACGTCACTATGACAAGCCGAGGTGGAGGTGGAGGTGGATCTTTTGTGATCTGCCGTACACCAGTGGGGTTATAAGACGCGGGAAGCCTCGTCTCTGTCCCCCACTACTCATCATGTCTGCTAAGAAGATTGTTATCTTTGGAGTCACCGGCGTGCAAGGCTCGTCCGTTGCGCGCGCGCTTCTCACCGACACGCACACCAAGTTCAAGGTCTGGGGAGTCACACGCAACCCCGCCTCGAGGTCCAGCCAGGGTGCGTTGATAATGGTGATTAAGCTGACGGCAGAACTGGACAAGCTGGGCGTACAGCTCGTCAAGGGCGACCTGGAGGACGCGCAGTCGTACGCCGATGCCCTCAAGGACGCGGACGGAGTTTTCCTCAATGTCAACTGTGAGTCATCAACGGACCAAGCTGATTCAGTCTGGGCCGCGTACAAAGGTAACAACGCGGAGGAGGCACGCGACACTGAGATCGCCCAGTCCAAGGCTGCTGTGGACGCATGCAAAGCTGCTGGCGTCAAGCTGATTGTGCACTCGGCGCTGGAAAGCTATGCTCCGACGCTCCCCATTCCACACTTTGACGCCAAGGCTGAGGGTGAGTATCCTGCTCAGGCAGCACTGACCTAGTTAGTCACCAAGTACATCAAGGAGCAGGGAGTGCCAGCCACGTTCCTCTACACTTCGTACTACTTCACCAATCTCAACAGCGCAAAGCTTGAGGAGAAGGGCGACGAGACCGTCCTCCAGCTTCCCCTCCCCGATGATACCCAGATTCCCGGCTTCAACCCCAATCAGATTGGATGGTTCGCGCGCGTCGCATTCGCGAACCCAGAAGAGTGGACTGGTGAGTGGCGCTGTCTACTCCCCTTCTCCTGTCATCATCTCGCCGTATCTTCTTCGGGATCTCGAGACCATGTCTCGTCTCCTCTTGCTCCTCGTCCCCGCTGACCGCAGGCAAGGACATGTACGCTTGTGGCGAGAATGTGCGTGTGTCCAAGATCGCTCGCGTGCTCTCCGAGCTCTCGGGGCGCAAGTACCGCACTATGGGCGTGTCCAAGGACGACTTCCTGGCTCTGGAGGGCAAGATGGACAAGGGTAAGAAACAATCGACGGAACGTGCCTAACAATTCAGAACTGTGGCTCAACTACCGCGCCTTCGTCGACGGACACATGAAGCGCGATCCCGCGAAGAGCCTCAAGATCGTTCCGGAGACGCAGGACTTCATGGCGTGGGCGAGCACGGACAAGGCGGCAATCGAGAAGTTTGGACTCTCGACGGAGTATTCGAAGAACCAGGCATAGGAGCAGTAGATCCAGACATGAAACATATGCATACGGAATGCACCAGGCTGCATGGCAGCTGGACAGAACCTGCGCATTTCGGCATTCGTGCGGTGTGCATGGGCCGGCCGGAGCCATGTCACCGATCGAAGCGCGGCTCCACGGGGTGGCCGGGATGGGGATGATTACTCTATCTCCTCTGTGTCTTAGCGGTACGCGGGGGAGGCGCAGGGGAGAGCGGGGAGGCGTCCAAGGAGCGATGCAGAATTATCGAGAGCGACGCATGCTTGCTGCCAAAAAGGTTTGGCTTGGCGGCTATCAGAGTGAGCGATCCGGCCCGGCTAAAGGGGGATTCGATAATCTCATGAGCAAGGATCGACGGACCCACTCTTGTCTCCACCGAGGCCCTCACCGAACACGCTTCTCATCTCATTTCTTTCCATCTCACCTTACTTCTCGCCATCGCTCTTTCATGCTCGAATAACATGAACGCAGCCTCCGTGCTCCCGCCCATCGCGATTGGCACTCCACTGGTCCAGCCCACGCCACCAGCCGAGCGCCCCTCCTCCGCCCCATTGTCATCCTCTCCCTCCTCTCCCTCCGATGGCCCAACAACGCCTTCGAGTCCTCAACCCTTCCGCCCCCCATCACGACCGTCAACAGCGGGTCCGTCTCCGCCGTCATCGCCGAAAGGTGCGGGCGGGAGAGGCCTCCCCGCACCTATCGGCATCCCTGCGCGCCGGCCGCGTGCCAATACTCATGCTCTGCTCAGCTCCTCGCCCACGCACACACCATTCATGGTCGGCAGCATGGACACGACAGCGCTCATGAATGAGCCACCGCGCAGCTTCCTCGGCTCGAGCCTGCCGACCCGCCCGCGCGTTGGGCGCTCTGTCTCAACTGGTCCGGCTCCACGCTCCACTGCGCCACCGAAACCTGCAGCGGCTCCCGCGCCCAAGCCACCAAACCCCGGCACGACGGTAGCAGCGAAGAGCACCCCGTCGTCGCCCAAGCTAAGCAAGGGGAAGACATCCGCCAGCGCGGACATCACGGACATTAACTTCCTCCTGGCTAACAACTCCTGCATCGCTGAGGCACTCGCAGGGGGCGACTTTGCAGCTGCCGGCATTTCGGTCCCGAAGCCCTCACCGAAACCCCGGCAAGCGAGCACGTCGAAGAAGACAGGGTGGCGCGCAAAGCTGTTCGACTTTGACCAGGTCCTCGGAGCCTTAGATCCCAGCCGCATCGCTGAGGCGAGCGCGCCAGAGCCTGTCAAGTGTGTCGTGTTCGGTGCCGAGACGGAGACGGGACTCGTCGTCTGCCGCGCCCTTCTCAAGGCGCAGGGTTACATCCTGACCGCGCTGACGGTGGACGAGTTGGACAGCCCGGCGCCGGCCGAACTGAGGAAGGCTGGTGCGCGCGTCGTCCAAGTCGACATGGACAACCCGGCGTCGTACCAAGCCGAGCTGAAGGGCGCCGCAGCAGTCTATCTCTCCTCCAACGTCATCACGCTCCACAGCATCTTGCAGCACCAGTCCGAGCCTGCGCGCACGGAAATTGCGCGCCGCGCCGACCGCTGCCAGCTCTCGAAGGCGGCGCACGCCTGTGCGCGCGCCAAGGTCGGGCACCTCGTCTTCCGCGTCAACGCGTGCGGACACGAGATCATCGAGAACAGCCTGGGCAAGAAGGAGGTCGTGAACTCGTCCACGCCCGAAGACCTGCGCCGCCTCGGCGTGCCCCACACGGTGCTGCACACGAGCGTGCCGTTCTCGCGCCTCATCGAGTGGCTCGAGGAGTCGGACACGGGTCTCGTCCTCAACTTCCCCGTGCCGGACGACTGCAGCGTGCCGTTCTTCGCGATCGAGCAGACGGGCGAGTACGTGCTCGCCGCACTGCGCAACCCGAAGAAGTGGGTCGGCAACGACATGCATGCGATCAGCGACCAGGCGACGCCCCTCGGCATGGCGGCGCGCTTGAGCAAGTTGGCCCGGCGGCCCGTGGATACGCGTCATGTGACGCGCGCCGAGTTCGACAGCCTCGAGAGCCACGAGCGCCTCACGCTGCGCTGGGACGCGTGGAACCAGCTCGTACGCAACGAGTATGACTTCCAGCACGAGAAGCGCGCCACCGCCGCAGACGTCACGTGCCAGTGGAAGCTCGGCGAGTGGATCGCGCAGAACAAGGAGATCCAGCAACGGTTGAAGCATTAGCGGGCGAATATCATAATGTGTACCATGTCGATGTATTGTTGCTTGTATACGAGGAATATACAGTGTGCATGGGCATGTGCATGTGTATGGTCTATCTAGATCTTGGACTCGGGAGACGCGAGGGTCGTCTTTGCGAGATCGTTGGCAACGGTGTCGGCGTCGGCGGATGTCGCGGGTGCCGCGGCGGCGGCGGCGGCGGAAGGGGGAAGGGGCAGTTCAGGCTGGTTAGCAGGCGCAGGTGCGGGAGGCAAGACAGCGACGTCGACAGGCTTGTGCGCGTCATGCGCGAACCCGTTCCCATTCCCGTTCGCCTCCTTCTCCGTCTGCCCGACCTTCTCACTCTCGCCCTTCTCGTGCTGCGCGAGCGCCCAAGCAATCCCGTTCCCGCTGGCCGGCACGAACTTGCGGCCCGCGCGGTCGACGCGCGTGCCGTCTGCCGCGAGGCAGCAGAAGTTGGTCACCGCAGGCCAGTAGACGTCCTTGTCGAACGTGTAGTTGTAGGCGCCACCGTACTCGCGGTCGAGCTGGTCGGCGTCGATGAGCTCGAGCAGCTTGGGGTTGAAGCGGATCTTGTCGCGCGTGATCGGGTCCATGAAGGGCTGGATGGCGGAGAAGAAGGCGTTGATCCACCACGGCATGTTGACGACGAGGCCGCGGCCAAGGCCTGAAAGTCAGCAGAGTCCCAACGGCATGCAGAGGAGGGGAACGAGCGCGATTCTCACGCGGCCACTCTTACAAATACTCACGCTCAACGTAGTGGTGCTGCAGGATGTTGAGGGCCTGCAGACCCGTGCTGACAGACGGCGTGTTGTTGCTCGTCGCCTGCTTGTAGTCCACAACGATGCAGACCTGCTCCTGCCCCTCAGGGCAGATATCGATCGCGCGTTCGCTGGAGTCAGCGGAGGTCAGGAAGCCGGGCAAGCGGCGTGGCCATCGCCTGTTCGGCGCGAGCCCGTCGGCCATCACTCACAGCACATAAATAAGATGCCTAATCTGGCGCGGAGACGTCTCGGTGTTCTCGTGCCGGGGGCGCATGTACACGATGGGGCGCGCATCCTTGTCAAAGCCCGAGATGACGCTGGCGTCAGCTGACTTCTGGCACTTCCGGCGCTGATCTCATCGACGCCCGCTGACACATGTGTGCGGGTGCGGGGTGAGAGGAGTGGGCAGCGAGCCAAGAAGCGCACGGACGATCCAAGCTTCCAAGCAGAGCACGGACGCTGGCGGGTTGGCGCTGCTGGCTAGCCAAGCCTGCCCGGGCGCCGCGGCGCGCTCGCTACGCTCGCTGCCGTAGCCCGTAGCCCGTAGCCCGCAGCTCGCGACTCGCAGGACTCACATCTTGCCCGTCTCAGCCTCGATCGCGACGTCTTCCGGCTCGATCAGCTCGGGGCGGAACTCGCGGCGCCATTCCATCGTCGCCTTGATGCGCTTCTTGCCGTGCTCGACGTTCCACTTGGCCGCGCGCATGAAGCGCGCGTGCGTCCCCACGTCCTCGAGGAACCGTTTCTCCCATACGTGGTACGGGTCGGATTCCGGCAGCAGCAGCGTGGCCGTGTACTGGTGTCAGCGGGATGTCTCCGGCGGGCCATGCCGAAGAAACACTGCGTCGCGCATCGCTTGACGCATATCGTCTACACTCGCCAACTCGCTCGCCTTTCTGCGTGCCCACCCGCTAGCTCGCCAGCTCGCTCTCGCCTGTCGCTGCTCACCTCCTTCAGCTCCTCGATCTTGCGCAGCTGCTCCTCGTCATAGTTCCACTTCTTGGTCACGGTGATGCCCTTGCGTGGGGTCAGGTAGATGTCTTTTGTGGGCGGCCCAATGTCCTTGTCGAGCGTGGCGCTCGACGACGACGCCGATGATCGCGAGAAAAGGCCCATGATACAGGTGTAGGGATACAGTCAGGAAATGAGGCGAAGCAAAAGCAAAAGCAAACGCAAAAGCAAAAGAGAGCAAGTGCATACGGGGCCCGGAGGGTGACTCGGCCACCGAGTGCGTGCCCGGCGGGCAAGATCGGCGTGGTGGGCCCTGGAGACAGGACTTGTGATGAGGTCTGATCTGAAGCGAGCCGAGGCCCGTAACTGCATGTGCTGCAGAAGAGAAGGCCGCCAAGCCCCAGAGGTGGGCCGAGGGGAGCCGGAGGCGGAGAGGAGGAAAATGATCTCATCTATGACCTTGGTGACCGACCCGCGTCTCGGCCGGTCGGCACCAGATTCCCAGGGTCGTCTCATTATTTTCACGGATAAGGGCGGCGGATAACGACGTTGTGGAGTGGACGACTAATTTGTCTCGCGTAAGCTTCTCAACCACCTCCACCGAGTGCCACGAGGACGGAGAAGTGACAATCTCCTCCAGCGGGATCAAATCTCGAGGGCTCACGCGAGTTAGGCCCCGCAGTGTGGGCCCACGTGCCGAGCATGACGCCATTGTCTAGAGCTTTCTAGGGCTACGGTGAGTTCGAGGCCGGGTGTAAAAGGGGCCCACCAAGCCGGTTCATGGCGCGTGTCAGGGTGTTTCCGCTTATTGTCCGTCCTCACTGCACGGCCGGCCACGCCCATCTTCGGCTCCAATCCCACGGTCAACCGGTCATGACCTCGCGCCTGACTCCACCAGCGGGCGCACGCGCCACTATATCTCGTCGACGCCATCACCATCGCCATCACTCCCACCGCCCACCCCCTCGCCATGTCCAAGCAGACCTACCTACCGCCGACACTCGCCCTCTTCCCCCTCCCCGCCCCGCACGTCCTCTACCCCTTTCTCCAGGTCACCGTCACGCTGCCCACCGATGTCGTAGGCCACATTCTCTCCACCCTCTCGGAGCAGGCCGACGTCAACAAGCTTGACTCGCGCGACCGCTTCGTCGCCGCCATCCCCGTTGGCGACGGCGACCGTCGCGTCGGCCGGTGGGCGTGTGCGGCCCGCATCAGACGCATATACCGCGCCAACGCCAAGGACCAGGACGACGGCTGGACATGCGTTCTTGAAGGCTTGGTAAGTGTCAACACCGCCTCGGCTAACAGTAGGCCCGGATCCATCTGCCCCGCGCGCTGCCTCCAGTCCTCTCCATTCTTCCTCCGCTGCCGCTCACGGTGACGGCGTATGCCATGCCTGTGCCTACCCCCTCGCCTCCCGTTGACCTCATGCCCGCAGCCATGAAGCTCTTGCCCCAGGAGCTGCACGGCAAGCTCGCCACCCTTCCTGTAGGCGTCCAGGCCGACCTCCTCGCATCTACCCTCCGCTTCTCCTGGGACATTAGAGTCGAGCTTCTCGCCACGCCCAACATTGACGACCGCTGCCTCCGCGTCCGCGAGTGCATGCTCGACCTGCTGTCTAGCAGGGGTATTGCGCCTCCTGAGGAAACGTCTGCCCCAGCTTCGAAGCAGCTTCAGCGCCGCCCCGCGCAGCACATTGCGCCACCCAAGAGTCAGCTGCCCGAGGACCTGCGCCCGCTCGAGGCCCTCGCCCAGAAGCGCAAGGACGAGTTGAGCGCCGCCGCCTCAGAGGCGCTCAACCGCGAGCTCACCCGTCTCGCAAAGATCCCCGCCCAGGCGGCTGAGTACAGCGTCGGTAAGACGTACTGCGAGTGGCTGCTTGCGCTGCCGTGGCACCGTGTGACCGAGGGCAAGCGTCTCGAGCTCGACACGGCCCGCAAGATGCTCGACGAGGACCATGAGGGTCTGCAAGAGGTCAAGCGTCGCGTCATCGAGTACCTCGCCGTGTACCGGCTCAAGCGTGATCTCTGGGAGGAGAAGCAGGCCCGCGAACAGAAGAAGCGCGACGAGGATACCTCTGGTCAGCTGGCCTCTGGCGCCCAGACGCCCTCAACTTCCAAGGAGATTGTTCCCTACGACCCGGAGAAGGCCGCCAAGGCCGTGGCGGCCAAGACTAAGCCCGCGGCCGAGCCAACCGCGCCCGCCGAACTCAAGTTCATGGTCGAGGACACCCCGCCCGACAACGTCTTCCGCGACAAGGCTCCCATTTTGCTTCTCGTCGGGCCACCAGGTGTCGGCAAGACCAGCATTGCGCGCTCCATTGCTCAGTCTCTCGGCCGCAAATTCCACCGAATCTCGCTCGGCGGCGTGCGCGACGAGGCTGAGATCCGCGGCCACCGCCGTACTTACGTTGGTGCCCTCCCTGGTCTCTTCGTCCAGGGCCTCCGCAAGGTCGGCGTCGCCAACCCTGTCATCCTGCGTGAGTGATGAAGGCTATATGATTAACTGATCCCAGTCGATGAGCTTGACAAGGTCGGTCACTCCAGCTACCACGGCGACCCATCGGCCGCGCTTCTCGAGACGCTTGACCCAGCGCAGAACTGGACGTTCCACGACCACTACCTTGGCGACGTGCCCATCGACCTCAGCCAGGTAACATTCATTGCGACGGCCAACTCGCTCGACACGATCTCGCCACCGCTCCTTGACCGCTGCGAGGTCATTGAGTGCCCTGGTTACGTGACGGACGAGAAGCTTGCGATCGCGCGCCGCTTCCTCCTACCGAAGCAGACCAAGGAGAACGGGCTCGAGGAGGTGCGGGCGGCGGACGAAGTCCTCGAGCGTGTCGTTAGCGACTACACGCGCGAGGCAGGCGTGCGTACCCTTGAGCGCGAAATTGCCAAGTTATGCCGCGCAAAGGCCGTGCAATTCTCCAACTCGCGGGACGGCGGCGACAAGTACGACCCCGAGGTCAAGCTCGAAGACCTCGAGGGCATCCTCGGTATGGCCAAGTACGAGGCCGAGGTGCGCGAGGCGTCGGTGCGCCCGGGTGTTGTCACGGGACTCGCGTACCGCGGCTCGGGCAACGGCGGCATTCTCATTGTGGAGAGCACACTGGTGCCGGGCGGCAAGGGTCGCCTCCACCTGACTGGCCAGCTTGGCGACGTTATCCGGGAGAGTGCTGAGCTCGCGCTGGCATGGGTGCGCGCGCACGCGCCGAGCCTCGGCCTGGAAGACCCGCTCAAGGACGTCGACATCCACCTTCACCTTCCCTCGGGCGCGGTGAAGAAGGACGGACCGAGCGCGGGCGTGGCCATGATTCTGGCCTTTGTGTCGTTGCTCACTGGCCGTACTGTGCCGCCGACAATGGCGTTCACGGGCGAGATTACGCTGCGTGGTGCTGTCACGGCGGTGGGCGGTATTCGGGAGAAGGTGCTGGGTGCACACCGAGCGGGCATCACACACGTGGTGCTCCCGGGCCAGAACGAGAAGGACACACACGAGCTGCCGCCCAGCGTACAGAAGATGCGCTTGACGTATGTGCGTTCGGTGGAGGGACTGCTGGAGGAGGTGTGGGGTCAGGAGGTGTGGGCTGGTGGTCAGCGTCCGCCTGCGCAGGCGAGGCTGTAGCGTAGTGTTAGAGTAGAGGTAAGAAAAGAAGAGGTTAGACAAAAGGAGAAAAGGGGGAAAGAAGACGCAGTACGTTGTAGGATGGGATGTATCGCTTGGGTCAACAAAAAGGGCAGTGGGATTGAGCGAGCGGGTCAAGGTCGTGGTCGATGATAGACTGACAGCTGGTGACAGCGCGACAGCTGGTCATGCAGGTCAATAGAGCAATAGATCAATAGATAAATAGATGATGAGATGAGGAGAAGACAGATCTAAAGTGGGGCAGGTGAACAGAACGACGCGATGGCCGGAAGTATTTCAGATGCCGGTGTCGAGGAATAGAGGTCTACCTACTAACTGCGTACGTGCCTATTGAGGGGTTGCCTACGCTGGTCGGTTCGCCGGGACGCCCGAGAGGCACCAGGCCAGGTCATACAGGTCATGCAGCATGCAGGGGTGATGGGCGGGGAGAGGATAGGAGGGAAGGTGGGAGTTAGAGAGAGATCGGAGGGAAGAGGTGGAACGGATGGGACGGATGAGAGGGATGGGCGATGAAGATCCTTAATTTCCGAAAGAGAGTTAGTCCCTCTTCGTTTCACTCGTCAAAGGACACCTGCGCGCCTGCGCTTAGGATCATTAGGGCCCTTAGGGGGAATACTGTGGGGGGGGGCATCGGGAAGAGAGAGTTTGTGTTAATTCTGTCCTTGCATCATTCACAAATCATCAAATTATCCTCTTTCTACGTCTAAAGATAGCTGTAATATATATATATCCGCCTCCTTCTCGCTTGTGGCAATACCGTACATAGTTTGATGAACTATCGCGTAACGATCGCGCGTCGCGTCGTTGCCTTGCTCCTTCGCGTCTGTGTCGTCGCGTCCACGTCTGCGCCATGCGCCTGCGTTAACACGTCCATTCCCTGGCTGGCATGGGTGGCCCACTCCTGGCTGCCTCGCGATGAGCGCGATGGGCGCGATGGGCGCGATGGGCGCGATGGGCGCGATGGGCGATCTGTGCGGCGCCCAGAGGCCAGAGGCCCCTGCAGCCTGCTACCCCTTGGTTTCGCGCCTTGCTTGGCATGGGCATGGGTGGCATGGGTTAGCGTCCGTCGGCGGACATCCACATGATCGGGACCGAAACAGCGGCACCCAACAACGCGGATCCGTTGACGCGAATTCGCTATCCGAGTACAGTGTGTGCTGCCGTCATAGAGGTCAAAACCCAAATGAGCTCTGGCGATGCACATGTACCACTGTCGATCAGATCACATTGGGTGGCTAGGCTGGACTGAATGGTGTGGCGTGCCGTGCCGCCTGCCGCGTACCGCAACCCCTGGATCGGGGAGAACGCGGAGGGGGAGCAGAGGGAGGGAGGCGAGAGGGAGACGAAGAGGGGGTCGGAATCCGGGCAAGACGGATCGAGAGTCGCCCCTTGGCTGTTACCCTGTTGTGGCGTTCATGTCCTGAGGAAGAGGAGTGAGCGTCAGCCATGCTCAGCCACGAAGCCATGAAGCCATGCAAAGCCATGAACGAGGCCTTAGGGGCTTCAGAGAGGTGCATGGGGTGGGGTGAGTGGCATGAGCGTCGACATCCTGATGCATGTTGCATGGTGCATGGGGGCCAAGGTGGGGTGGCCAAGGTTTAAGAAAGATAGTCGGAGGATACAAAGATGCTCCTGGCTCCTTGCCTGCATGGATAGGATTGGATTGCATCAAAAGTGAGACGCGACGCGCATCAGTGGAGGAGTGGCAGCTTGGCTGGCACGGCACGGCGGGCGTGGCTGGGGTGATGGCCAGATTGGGCTGAAGACTGCTGGGTGGAGTACCTTTTTGGATTAACCCCTGTAGAGGATTGTGATTACCCTGCCGCGCCGACCAACACTCTCACATCCCACGCAATAGTCGTCGTCGCCGCCATTGCATCCTGGTAGCTGAGTGCTCCTCCTCCGTCTCCATCTCCCCCTTTGCTCCTCCTCATCCCCTCCCTCATTGTGTCCCTCGTCCTCGTCCTCCTCTTCCTCAGCCGGCTCAGCCTCAGCCTCCTAGCGACCTCGCTACCTTTCCTCTACTCTCCTCCATCCATCCATCCTCCCTCCCTCCCTCCCTTTCATCTGTAGTCTTGTTTCAATCACACTCTCTCACTCACTTTCATTCCCCTCCACTCTTTACCTCTTCTACCTTCGCCACTCCGTCCTCGCACCTCAACAAAACTCCCATGCACGCAGCCGCCATGGCAGCGCGCTATCATCCCGCTTCAGCCGGTCCTTCGAGGCCACCACACATTGTGACCTCGTTCCCAAATCCGGCCCTTCCTCAGCAGCACCATCCTCCTCATCACTCTCACCCCCCTCATCCACAACAGTCACAGCATCTCCAACAGCACGGTGCTCCCCAGCGTCAGCGCTCAGACCACCGTCCCGTAAATGCCGTCCAACCACCACAAGCCTCATCAGCCTGGTCGTCGCCAAACCCAACCCCTACCCCAACCTCGACCTCATTCCCTCCCGCACCCTCCCCGGCGTCCATCACATCTCCCACAACTCACGGCTTCATGACCCAGCCTCTAAACGTTGCTGTTCGCCGCGAGGACTCGTCTGCAAAGCGCAACCCTTTCGTCGAGCTCCTCGACACAGAAAAGGTCTACGTTGAACAGCTCACTCTCGTTATCCGGGTAAGTTGACAGTGCAACACCACTCTTCTTCCTAAACTCATTCCACCCACGTGTGTTGTTGGTTTCGCTCGCTAACACAACAGAGAGTAGCCGCAGCTTGGTCGCGACGTAACCTGCCCCCGCCCAAGCTCGATGCCACCTTTCGCTGCGTCGAGGCCGTGTACCGTGCCAACCGGGCCTTTGGCGTCGTGAGTTACCCCCAGCGCATTCGCAGACCGTCTACTGACAGGCAGCGCTTGAAGGAGATCGGACCCAACCCATCGGACCCCAAGGCTCTTGGCGATTTGCTAATGCGATGGGTGCGTTGTGATCATACGGGTGTCAGCACCCTGCACACATTCGTCCTCTCCATCGCCTCGATTGCTGATCGCTAACGCCGCAGATCGATGATCTCGAGCCGTCATACAGCCGCTACGCCACCATCTTCCTCACCGGGTTTGACAACTATAGCCCAGTGTCGTCCAATCCCCTCCTCCCTCCGATCCTTGACGAGGTTTCGGTGTCGTCCCCACCTACGCCGCCGCTGCAGCGATGGTCGCTGGATGCGCTATTCCTGCTACCTTATAACCGCCTTCGCTATTACCGAAAGCTCTACTCGCGGTTGCTGCAAAACACGACCGAAGGGCGCAGCGATCACCGTCTGTTGGACAGCTGCGTGAAGCGCCTCGAGGCGCTTGTGGACGAGGTGGAGGCGCGTCTGGAGTGCGACGTGTCAGAGGAAGATGCGCCTTCCTCGGCCGGCGCTGAAGACCAAAGCAGGGAGAACAGCTGGCCCAACGACAAGAATCCAACGAGCCGGACGAGCTCGGGCGTCGACAGCTCGGTTGAGACGCACTCGGTGTAGGTTTCCGCATACACACTTGCGCTCGTCCATGTTAACTGAAACAGCCTTTCGTCATTCAACTCGCGCATGGACAGCACGCGCAACTCTCAAACGTCAGCAGCCACGAGTATCACACATTCGCCCGGGCAGCCGCCAAAAGTCGTTCCGACCGCGCCCGTCCCTCCGATTTCAGATCTCGAGCTCCGCATTGACTGCGAGCGAACTATTGATCTCTTCACCATGCAGCCGAGGGTACGTCCACATGTCCGCAGGGTTGTTCATGCTGACGTACAGAAATGCAAGTTGCACATGAACCCGCCTGGTCTTGCCTATCAGCGCCAGGTCCGCTCCTCACATGACGTCGTTATCTACTTCACCCCATCGTCCACCCGGCAACAGGTTGTGCATCGCAGAGCGCATCTCTTCATCCTCACCGACCTCTTCTTGATTACCGACCGCATGGAGGCCAGCGAGAAGGCGGCGATGGCCCAGCGCGTTGCCGCTCAGCAGCCCGATCGTCTGGGCGAGGGTTCACCCATGCCGGAAATGTGGCTGGCTTACCCGCCCCTTGCCGGCAAGCACCTATCAATTGTCGAGGGCGAGCAGAGTGAGTTGAGATGCTGTATTTTTTGACATGGCACACTCTGACCTGCAGGTAATGTCGTCGCTGTCACCGTGATGCGCAAGGAGACTTTTGTTATTCACGGCGAATCAGAAATCGAACGAGACCTCATTATGAAGAGTGTCTCCGAGTGCATCGAGTTTGCAACGTACTCGTCTGCTCAGCGCGTGACGCCGTTGCCTTCGCCAATGCCGTCCCCCATTGATGGTCCTGCGCGCTCCCTCGCTTCAACCGCGAGCTCTGTTCGCTACCCCAGTCCTATGCCCGGGCAAATGCCTGAGGTGCCAACGCTCACTGTCCCCATGAGCAACATGCAGCTTGAGCCTGGCCAAACTGTACCTGTTCCTCCGAGCAAGCTGCAGCTCGAGCCTGGGCAGACGACCAACTGGAACCAACCTCCTTCGGCGATGCCGCAGCCGAGGAATGCAGGTGCGCCTCTTCCTCCGCGCAAGACGAGTCTGCGGCAGGCACCTCCGTCCAACTCTCGCCCAATGTCTCCAAACGTCGCACCTGGCCCCCCGGGAATGCCCCTGTCTCCAATGGTGGGGCAGGGTATGCCATCGCCAATGATTGGGCAGGGCATGCCTTCGCCAATGTCTCCGGTCTCCGAGCCCGTTATGCACGACCGCTTCGCCCAGCGCAACGTTTCCGGCCGCTCAGTTCACTCCACCACGTCGACGCACTCCGACTTCTCGCAGCAGTCTTCTCCGGCGCGCCTCGGCGTCCACTCCGGGTTCCCGGCGATGTTGCGGCAGCCGAGTCCTCAGATGGCCCGGCAAGCCTACGGGCCCGGTCCGATGCGCAACGATCTCCCTCCTCTTCCGCATCAGGGTGCAGGTTTCAACATGGACAATGGCTACTTCCCGCCTGAACGCCAGTCGTATCCTAATCAGCCCATGGACAGGCGCCCAAGCCCAGGCATTCCTCCGCCTCAGCGGGCACGCTCTGCGGAGCCGTTCAGTGAGGTGGACGATCTCCGACCCCCCGACATGCCTTCCCTTCGCTTCGGTGCCCTGCGGTCCGAGTCTCCGGCTCCTGGTCTGGGCGCGCGTGACGCCGACTCACCACCTCCTTCGCCAACCCAGGAGGAGGCGCCGAGGATCCGTGGGCCCACGTCAATCACAGCGCAGATGAAGTGCAAGATCTTCCTGCAGCAGGGTCACGGGCAGTGGAAGTCGCTTGGGCACGGCAAGCTCAAGCTGTATGTCGAAAAGGAGCGCAATATCAAGCAGCTGGTCGTCGACTCGGACAAGTCGTCGACTCTTATTTCCACCATTGTTCTCACGGACGGCGTCGAGCGCGTCGGCCGCACCGGTGTCGCCGTTGAGATCTCGGATCAGGGACAGCACACTGGCGTCATCTACATGATCCAGCTCCGCAATGAATCCTCGGCGCGCGGCTTCCATGACTCACTGCTCGCCGGCTCTGACCGAGCGAGAGCGTAATTATACCCACCATCAATCCATATCCATCCTAGAATCGCCTTACGGCACCGTTAGACGACCTCAATATCACCCTCTTCCCTCCTGTGGGGCGGCGCAATGTTTCACATATCACGAGCACGACACTTTCATTCCCTCCTCGTTCCACACACGATTGACCGGCGAGCAAATAATTTGCACACACACTTTGTAGGCGTATGGACAACGTGCATCGGCGCTTTGAGAGCAAAAACAAAACGCACGAGGCTGCAATATGGTCTCGGCTTGTGAGCTTGTGGTGCTGCACTTGCTCTAATTCGGCCGCCACTTATTGGGAGGCGCGCATGGCGAGTGCGAGAGCGCGCAAATGTGGACGCGTGGCAGCAGGGCCTGAAATTGAGGGCGTTTGGAGGAATTGCAGGGTTTTGTAATGACAAGATTGCAGGACGGGATGAGGGCGGTAAAGGAGGAACACGAGGCCACGAGGGATATAGCCCAGATTATTAGGGGCGAGTAATTGAAGGCTAAATTTGGTGCCACCTGCAACTCTCTCACGGTGAACGCACGCGTCAGGCCCAGCGCGAGTATTTGGCGTCGAAGCTTCCAAGTCGTCCGCCAGCCCAAAGTCCAAAGTCCAAAGTCTGTCAGACTACGACTAGTCATCTGCTGCGCCGAGCTCCGACATCAACCACACCTGCAACCACACTCTCTTAATCTCCTTTACCACCCCCGCCTTACCGCCCTACCTCCCTTCGCCCTCCGCCGCCTCCTTCCCCCCCTCAGCCTCGCCCGCCCCGACGCCGCTCGCCCGAGGTCTCGAAACGGCGTCTCATCGCGCTCTCCGCGCGTCTCCCTCCCGCCTGCCCAGCGCTCCCCTTTTCGTAAGTCATCGCTCGGTGCTGGCTGCTTGTGCCCATCTCGGCGTGCATCATTGGCGCAGCTGGAAGGACGCAGACGCAGGCGCCCTCGTCCTGCAGCAGTCACGCGCGCTGCTTCTCCTTCATCCTTCCCCTCCATCTTCGCCTCGCCCCTCTACCCCTCGTCCTCCTCGTTCTCTCCCTCCTCCTCGTCATCGTCGCTCGCCTCTCCAATCCTCTCACGTCCTCCTTCGTGCTCCCTGCTCGAGCATGTCCAGTCCATGCATCTTCACCTCGCTATGTCTTCCTATCTCCTTGGTCGCCATCTCTCTTTCACCCCGCAAGATCGCTAACCCCTAGGCAGTCACCTGTCCCTGGCCTCCCGTCAACATGCATCCCGGCGTGCTGCACCGTCGCTTCTTGAGCGATCTGTCGACGTCGCTCTTCTCCTTCGTCCTTCCCCTCCTGCCGACGTCGGAGGAGCTGACGATCAAGGAAGAGTGCGTCTCCTCACTCTCCTCGGCGCACGCTAACAGGCAGAGTCCGCACGCTCATCGAGAAGCTCATCAAGACGATCGAGCCCAGTGCGCGCCTCCTCAGCTTTGGGAGCAGCTGCAACTCCTTCGGACTGCGTAACTCGGACATGGACCTTGTTGTGCTTATCGACGACCCCGAGGCTGGCCTCGACTCGAGCCTTTTCGTCCAGATGATCGGCGACTTGCTGGAACGCGTGCGTCCCATCCCTTCTCTCACCTGCACCTCCTCCCACGCTTCCCCTCTCCCCTGGTCTCCTCGCCCTGCTGACAACAGGAGACCAACTTTGACGTCAAGCCGCTGCCCAAAGCGCGCATACCGATCATCAAGCTTAACCTCGCTGCGTCGCCCGGTTTGCCGTTTGGCATCGCGTGCGACATCGGTATCGAGAACCGGCTAGCGATCGAGAACACGCGTCTTCTGTTGACATACGCGACCATCGACCCCGCGCGCGTGCGCACTCTTGTCCTATTCCTCAAGGTGTGGGCCAAGCGCCGCCGCATCAACTCGCCATATCGGGGGACTCTTTCGTCCTGTGAGCTCCCTCCCGGCGACTTTGCTGACCCCAGACGGAATCACCCTCATGGTCCTGTACTTCCTCGTACACGTCAAGCAGCCGCCAGTGTTGCCGAATCTGCAGCGCATCGCCCCCGTCCGCCCCATCACCGAGGAGGAGATGATGCTCGAGGGCCGCAACGTCTACTTCTTTGACGACGTCGAGATGCTGCGCCAGGAGTGGTCAAGTGTCAACTTTGAGAGCGTCGGCGAGCTCTTGATCGACTTCTTCCGCTACTTCTCCCACGACTTCCAGTTCAACACCATGGTGCTGTCGCTGCGCGCCGGCCCCTTGACGAAGGAGAGCAAAGGATGGACCAACGACATCGACGTCGGTGGCCTCAACGAGATGGCGCGTGACCGCAACCGCTTGTGTATTGAGGACCCCTTTGAGATTACGTACAATGTCGCCCGTACCGTCACGAAGGATGGGCTGTACACGATCCGCGGCGAGTTTATGCGTGCAACGCGAGTGAGTGGGCTCCTTGCCCTTTGGTCTTCTACCCCTCCGCCAATGCTAACCGCAGATCCTCACGCAGCGGCACGACCGCGCGGTCCTCGCTTTGGCCGAGTTGTGTCGAGAGCGCGAGGACGAGCTGCTGCGCGCACCGCGCTCCGCCTCGCCTGCGCCACGCACGATCGCCGGTGGCCGCGCTCACTTCGGGGCAGGGGCCCGTGAGGGATGGCAGCGCTCGCAGAGCCAGCAGCCGTACGAGCGCGCGTTCAGCGGCAACGGGCCCGAGGCGCCGCGGAGAGGGCGCGCAGTCGACAACGGGCCGGCGGCAGCACCGGAAGCGCCGAGCGCGCAGGACATGTGGCTCGCGGCGCAGGGCGCCAACCTCGGCAGCCCCGCGCCGAGCGGTCTGGGGCTCGGCGGCGACCCGGCCTTCGAGTACCGGCGCGGCAGGGAGGCGGCGTCGCCCTCCTTCCCGGCGCCAGTGCGCCGGCGCGCGCCTGCGTACGACAACCCCAATGCGGCGGGGACGGTGAGTGCGCCGTTGTCGCCGTCGCGGCTGTACGCGCAGCTCGAGATTGGACGTGGGCCGTCGGCGCCGGCGCCGGCGCCGTGGCCGCCCGCGTTCGAGGGGCAGCGCGGCGGGTTCGGCGCCCCAGGCATGCCGCCTGTCGGGCCCGTTGTGCGCCCCGCTGCGCGCGACCTGTCCATCCCGCCCAGCGGCTTGCACCAGAGCCACACACCAGACCCCGGGTCGCCACTCAGCACGTTTGCGCCATTCTCGCCCCCCGTCATAGCCAGCACGCTGCACCCGTCCAGTGCTGAGGGCAAAAACAATGGCAGCTATATCAGTCCCAGCGCGCTCCTGTCGCCCGCACCGGCGTCAGGCCCCTTGCCCAAGGATGGCGACCTTGTGCAAGGCTTCAGTAAACTCGGTGTCGATGACAAGAGCCCATAGAAGTGAGGGGACGGGCGCATTGCATGCATCGTGTCTTGCTGGAGCGTGCCCAGAAGCCGAGTTGATGGAGCTGGCAAGTCGACGAGTCGCCATGTCGATGAGCTGCGGGGCTGAGACTGCAAGGTTGGGACTAGTTCGCATCAGTGACCATTAACAAGGTATTGATTGCATGGGGTGAGGGTCATCAGGATCACGGTGGGGAATATTAAGGAATGACCAGGTGAACTACTACTGTATGGGACACAACTCGCCGAGAGTTTTTATACTGCCTCATGCCCGGTGGCGCTCTCCCCGTTGACATACTCCACGAGACGCCTAAGGTTCTCGATCTGAGACCGAAGGCAAATAGAGCTCGCGCCTTGTATTTGCGCCGGCCCCATTTCCGCCCCCGTCTGACGCTTCCGCGCGCGCACAAACCTCTTGTTTGCGTCACGCTTGCTGTACTTCGTAAACAAGCGAAATCGTGAGAATGAAAGCGGTAACTCTCGACGATAGTAAACGACGGCCCGGTGTCCCTCCCAAACTGCCGTGATGAACTCGGCGTCGTTGTCGGAACACACCGTCTTGAAGTGCCGAAGCACCTCCGCGCGCATTGTCATACGGTCTTGGACGTTGACGGACGAGATTGCCGGCGGCAGCATGTAGTGGGGAACCTTTGCTTCATGTATAGGAAGTGATGGTCTGGTCGATGGTGGAACCGCACTTGTCGTCACCGCCTGCGACACTGCAGGACTCGTCGAGACAGAGGAAAAAAGGCAACTGGTAGGTGACGAGGAACCGACGATGGCGTCATTGGCAGAAGAGGCCCTGGAGGAGAGGGAAGAGAGGTCGAAAGAGGCTCTGGAACGCCTCGCCATGAAAGCAGTCGCGGGAAATGTCTGAGACGCAGTCGACTTCTGAGTGAGGGGTGTGACGAAATGCGGAGTGAAGGTGGCAATCTGTGGCTCCGCTGCCGGCCACAAGGCGTCCCTCTCAGATAGGGTGGGGCCGTTGACAGAGTCCGATGTCGCATCGTCAGATGCTGGGGAGTGGCGCAGGATAGAAGTTGGAGGCTGCGAGTTCCGAACAGAAGCGCTGCCTGATGCCATCGGTGCACCGGCCGAGGGCGACAGCTGCAGGCGGAATCGAACTGTCGGCCGGGGAAGCGGGATCGGGTTTTGCGGAACACTGTTGGGCGTGGAGTTGAGTTGAACGGAAGGCTGTGGGGTCGCGCGCGTGACCTCAGCTAAAGACTCGTACCCGCGCACGCGTCGTAAACGCGACGGCGGCCGAAACTCTGCCGGTCCAGGAGGAGCTTTGGGCATCTGTGACATTAGACTGGCCGGAAGCGTGAGAAGGAAGGTCGGTCAAGACGAGGTTTGGAAGAGGGGCTGGGAGGCAAAGGGACCGACTTACATTGACGAGGTCCCAACGAGCTACCAGGCTATGTGAAAATGGAATGAGGACGTGCTGAAAGTGTGAGAACGAATGACTTGGAATGCCTGGAGAATTGGGAACTGGCGCAAGGGGAGTGCGCGGGGGGGTGAGGGAGGCAAAACGGGGGGAGGCAGACTCACGAAGGGCAAAAGATGACAAGGAAGGCGGGCTGGTACATGTACCAACGAGGCACTCCGAAGACCGATGGGTATATACCTTGTCTAATAGTGTAATCAGGGGACAGGACGTGCAAAGGTTCAGAGAGGCAAGGGGCACATGGCAGGCGGGCTCACCGGAGAGGTCGACGTTGATGATGAGATTCAGAGGTCGGTATTAAAGATGCGACGAGAGGGCCAAGAAGGCCAAAGTGTACACGACGTGAGTTGAGGAGAGTAGAGCGGTAGGCGTATAGGCGACAGAACAGAGGGGCTAGTGAGGAGAAATGTACAAGAAAGAGAGAAAATCCAACAAGAGGCTGGGAGATGATGTTGAGAACAAGAGAGATGAGGCAAAGAGATATATGTACCGTTTTCATCCATGGACGTCACCACCTTCCTTGCCTTACACAGTCACTACTCGCCCCACTCGCCCCACTCGCCCCACTCGCCGCTTGCCCCATTCCCACTGTCCCAATCTGACCATCTCGTCTTGCTGACGCGTTTCCGCAAGATCCGCAAGCTGAGTTGATCGAGCTGACAGTCGACGATCGACGAGTGGCCGCCAAAACCAAAGCCCCGAGCCCTCCTCGGAGAATCTACGGTGATCATGAACCATGTGACGATTTGCATGGTTGTGGAGGTCTCTACATAATGAATCAAGCGCCATGAGCCCGAGAATCATACATCCTTCCCCTAGTCCCCGTTCTCTCTGCACTCAATCTGGAGGTTCTCCAACTCCACGATAACGTGGCGCATCTGCTCAGTGAGCTCGTCAGAAGCAGAACGGGGGTGCGCGGTACGAGGCCTGCGCAAGCGGCAAGTTACGGCTGGCCCCATCACCGCATGACCCTGTTGTGCTGCCTTGCGCTTGGCGGCTCGCGCAAGATCCTTATCCCACTGGCGTTTTGATTTCGAGGTCGCATGTCGAATTCGAAACTTCGTGGCACCAATCCTTGAAAGGCTCCGATACCAGATATTGACCCAACTCGCCTCGAACTTGATGCAGTCCAAACTACCACCTTCAGTGGAGCAAACATTAGCAATGTGATCCTCAACGCGCTTCCTCGCGGAGATACACTCGGCCTTGTTGACGGAGAAGAGACCTGAGACGAGCATGGACTCGTGAATCGAGGTGACGTGGGTTGGGTACTCTTCCTTGGGCGGCATAGGCGCGCGATCATTCGAAACCGACACAGACAAGTCGGAGACGACCCGGGACGAAAGTGATAAAACGGTCGATTTGCCGCGTGCAGTGAGTTCATCTAAGTGGCTCGGGGGCCCTACCGGCTGCGTTGGCGCGAGAGCAGTTGGCGAAATGTTCAGAACATCGTAGGGTGGGAGCCACTTGGCAACGTTGGCCGCGTCGTTCCGATAATGAGGCGAGTAGCGCGCAAAAGCCTCATGGGGGTTGCTAGAACGGGATTCGAACAAGCGGGGGACGAGAAAGTGGACCGGCTGTGTCTTGGGCCACTTCACTGAGCCAGCGCCGCGCTCGTCAGCACCACGACAACTTCTTCCATATTCTTCCGGCCGCGGGCGGCAAATAGCGCTACCAATGTTGAAGGGGACAGTAGAACCACCGACGGCTTCCCAAGCTTGTCCGGGACGTGTTGCAGGGGTAGCTTCGGTCGACAAGGACCGGAAATCAAGGAGCAGTGACAGTGTAACGGGGTCCTGCGATGGCTCAGGATGAGGTTGATGAGGCATGGATGCCTCACTCCCGCGACGTGCGTCCGACAAGTCGTCGAGAGTCTCGGGATCCCGCTGAGGCTGAGGGAAGCTAGCACAAACTGAGCCGGAGGCGGGATCGGGTTGATAGAGCGCCCTTTTCGTTGGATACCGGGGCGCCTTGGGCATAAATCAGTTGTATCTAATGTAGTGTGAGAATTCAGTCAATAGGAAGAGGAGTAGGAGGCAGAGATGCCAACTCACTGTGAATTCCGTTCGTGACCAAGTAGGGATAACGCCAGGCGAATATCAAGCTTTGAGGGACGTGTGAGGCAAGGGGTTGCTGAAAGCGTGAGAAGGAAGGTCGTTGAAGAATTGGGGACAAGTAAATAAAGCACAAAGCAAGAGTCAATGAGGTAAAGTGACTCACTCGGGGGTCTGTGGCAAACAAAGATACAGCCAAAACTCGGTGCTAGCCAAGATGTCTAGTAGTGTGAGCTGAGAGGAAAGGGCGCGAGAGGAGAGCTGGCAAGGGGACTGACAGAGGGCAACGGTCGGTGACAAGGGAGTGACTTGTCTCACAAGCCTAAGAGGGGGCCTGGTAGAGGAGAGGAGACGGTGACGACAGACAGACTGCGAGGCGAGAGACAATATCGGTTGTGAGGAGAAAGATTCGGAGGGGATGATGAGGGCGATGAGGAAGAGTGGAGAGGCAAGTGGGTAATCAACATCTTTTCAAGCTAACAAGGCAGGGTGATTCAACCACGGGTGTCAGCACCTTCCTTCCCCACGAGCCACACTCGCCCCACTGGCCACTGGCCGATTTCCTACTGCTACTGCTGCGGTGCGGTGCGCTAACCCACTATGAGCGCGTATTCGTATACACGAGCTGCCGGTGCGTGATGATCGTCATGACTGTATGCTCGGCGACCCACTGGCAACTCCCACGTGCAAGACGATCACGCAGCGCTAATGAGTGTTCCAGCGATTCAGCGATATCAAAGATCGATATCTAAGTAGCCATTTCTGCCACTCAGCCACTCAGATAATCGGCCATGATGTGCCGTTTTAGACAAGGGACGCTGGAAGCAAGAGCAGCCTGCGGGCGCCCGCAACTCGGCTCGCATGAGGCTTCAATCACTGAATGTTAACACATAACATCGATGAATTGATCTACAGGGGGAACGGGACGAACGGGGCCAGAAGTATTTGTAGTCGCCGCAGTCTCGCTGAACTCAACTGCGGAGGTATGGTACCCCGCAGGCACTGATGATGCCAGCACGAATGCGCGTCTGCGATTGAATCGACCCTCAAAGATACGCCGAACGCCAGAGTGATCAATCGGGAAGCGTGGGCGAATGACGGGGATGCGGCTTTGCATGTCGACAAAGCGATCGGTCTCGTCCTTGGCATTAGTACCCTGCGACCACAACTCGGCTCCATTGCGCGGATCACGCACAATAATCTCCCTGCCCAACAGTTCCTAGCGAGATCAGCGGTCATTCTACTACGCGGTCCGGCCTCTCGCCAATGGCGTCTAGTGGGCTCAACTGACCTCCACAATGTCTTCGAGGGTCACGATGCCCAGTGCTCCCCTTGACTCGCCGGGGTGTGTCGAAATCAACAGAATGTGGCTCACTCCGGTCTGGAAATAGTTCATGGCTGTCTTGTTAGCCTGGCTCATGGAGAGGCCTTCACTGCTCACCTTCCACAAGGGAAAGATCGGGTGGGCATTGCGGCAATGCCTGCGTAGTGAGGGAGCGCACCGTCCTTTTCTCAACAAGGTCATACCCAACGAGCGCCCGGAGAAGCAAGACCCCACTGTAGTCAGTTTGCGCAGTGCGCAGCGATCATGCTCACATAAATAATCCCGGTCGGGCTGCCTCAAAAACAGGAATACGAGTGTGTCCTTTCCGCAAAATCTGGCGTCAGCTCGGAGTCACAATCCGCCAGGCTGCCATACCTCCTCTATTAGCGCCTCATCCACGACTCGGTCGGATGACAAACAATACGTGTCGCCGAGTGGTGTCTGTGTGAGCCCCGCAAGCGCGTTAGCAGGCCGAGCAGCACAATGAAGAGTTGTGAGCTTCGAGCTGATCTCACCATTATTGTGCCCACTGTCTTTCCCGAAAACTCGAGCACGTTACCTAGGAGCAGTAACTCATCATCCGCAAGTTTGTCTTCGACACCGAGAGAGACGAAAGCCTTGAGTTCCGCCTTACGGTATCGTACGCCCTCGTCGTGCTTGCCAAATAGGCAATCGAGAATCTGGCGTTAGCCACGAAACGCCAAAACATACCATGGCCATCGGCTTGGCGATTGGGTATAGAAGGAAGACGAGTCCGCGGACGAAGGGGGCAAAAGACGCTCCGATGGTGAGTCCATATTTGTTGCAAATGGCTGGGTTAGTCGCCGAACCGGGACAATGTCCTCACCCTGCGGAATGACTCTAGTGGAATGTCAGTTCACGCTTCAAGCCTGTGATCGCTACTCACTCGCCAAAGATGAGCTGCGTGTCAGCATTTCCTAATGTCAGCGGCGCGGACACTTACCTCGAGTGCAGTTGCACCTAAGATTGCAATCCATCCACCCCCAATCTTTCATGAGTTATGCTCTGATGAGTCCCACAGGGGGTTGCCGTTAAAGACGACACGAACGCACCACGCTGTCAAGAAAAACGGGGAGTGACGTGTTGATGAGTGTGTTGCCTGGGGTTAGCGTCGCAGCGAGATTAGACCGTCCACCATGAGCGGCGGGAGAGGAACCAAACAAGTTAGGTTCTAATCCTCTCCTCCTCCAATTGGGTCCCTCGCTGACGTCGCGAACGCACGTCTAACTCACAAAGAAGAAGCACGACGAGAACAAGATGCCGCCCTATCTTGAGGAGGTTAAGGACGCGGGGGGCCTGTTCCTGCTCCTCGAGCGTCCCCACTTGACTCAATACCTGCAAGTTGATCTGGCTTTCAGCTGAGATTGGAGTGTCGAACTCACCGTGTCGAGACCCATGAGCCCAAGCGTCAAGCCAGAAAAGATGCCTCCGAGGAGCACAAGGGCAACGGCGGTAAGAATGTACCAAACGAATCTAGGGTCGGAGGGGGTGACATGCACATGCTTGGTGACTGTTTGTCAGCAGGCCGGAACGGCACGGTGAGAATGTACGCGCCCGATAAGGTACTGTTCAGAGTGGTGTGCATGATGGCAAGGGCCGTATCATGGGAGACATCCATGAGTATGGGTGTTCGAGCTGAGATACGTTCTGGTTGAAGAAATGGGCGTTATGGTTGAAGAATGGGAGAAGAGATGTAGAATGATGAAGAGTAGCGGGACGCGGGATGCGAAAGGAAGGTCAAGTTGACGTGTGCGGTGAGAGAATCTGGCAGATGGTAGACGCAGCAGATCCTCATACCTCAGTCGCTGGTGGCCACGACACAGTCCGCCGTCCGCCGTCCTCCTCCGCCCCTCCGCTCGTTCGCCCCTCCGCTAGCCGCCAGTGACCCATTGAACTTGTGTCGGCGTGGAATGCTTGGAAAGCTATTCACGTGCGAATGGTAACGTATGCGATTGGCTACGAATTGCGCCTCATATCACGACACACATTGCTCGATACACGTTGGAAGAGCTGAGATGTTATCCTTGCTTCTGTCTTCAAATATCTACATATAGCTGGCCAAGACCCCCGTCTCGCGTCAGGCGTCTCCGCGCCTCGCCGCATTCCCTTCGGCTGAGCCCCGCTTATGCCGCCCCCCCGTCGCCGGCATTGGAAGCCGCCGGTATGGCTAATGGGAACTTTCGCGACCTCCACATGACGTCGACGGAACTTAGCCGAGATGTGCTGCCAGCCCGAGGCAAGATTCGACGTCTTCAACGGGCCTCCCATCTTGTCGTTGCTGCGTTTCCGTCTCCGTTATTCCCGCACACGCCCTCACATCATGTCTCACCAGGTGTCTCGTGCGGCGGTCATTGGCGCCGGCCAGATGGGTCTCGGCATCGCCTACGTGACCGCCCTCTTTGCCAAGCTCCCCGTTGGGCTGCACGACCCGTCCTCCAACGGCCTCAAACGCGCTATGGAGAACCTCGACAAGATCTTCGCACGCGACGTGGCCAAGAACCGCTTCTCGCAGGAGGATGTCGACGCCGCGCGCGCCCGCATCACTCCCGTCCAGGGCGACGGCACTGATGCAAATGGGGGTAACCCCGTGCACGCCGACACGGACATCGTCATTGAGGTGAGTAGGAAGTTTCGGAGCTCGAGAGGTGGGGCTGGTGCATCAGCAGCAGTGGCCTTCCCTCTGATATTCCGTCCTATCTACGCACCTACTTCCCACCAAGTGATGACGCACTCACTGTAGGCCATTCCCGAGATCACCGACCTCAAGCTTGGTCTGATGCACCGCCTGGCGACGCGCCTTCCTGCCCCCGCTATTCTTGGCACCAACACCTCGTCCATCTCGGTCACGCGCCTTGCTGCTGCCGCCTCACAGGCCGATGACAACGGCGAGTCGAGCGGACGTGTTGTTGGTATCCACTTCTTCAACCCCGTGAACATGATGTGAGTGTGAGCCAAGTAGACAGATGTTAAGCAGCACCCTGCCTAGCAAGTCTGTCTGATGATGTTTCCGAGTTTGCAAGGATTGGGCAGTTTCCTTGTTGCTAACGCACAGGAAGCTCTGTGAAGTCATCCCCGCCACGCAGACAACGAGCGAGACTCTCCGCCGTGCCAAGGCATTCGGCGAGGCCTGTGGCAAGAGTACGTGCCCCTCCCGAGACTGCTGACATCCAGCCGTTGCCGTCTCATCTGACAACCCGGGCTTCATCTCAAACGCCATCCTCATGCCCATGATCAACGAGGCCATCATGCTTCTGGAGCGTGGCGTTGCCACGAAGGAGGACATCGATACGACATTCAAGCTTGGCATGGGCCACCCAATGGGCCCACTCACCCTCGCCGATCTCATCGGTCTCGACACATGCCTTAACATTCAGAACGTGCTGTACAACGAGTCCAGCGATTCCAAGTATCGCCCGGCGACGCTGCTCAAGCGCATGGTCGACGCGGGCTATTATGGACGCAAGTCGGGGCGCGGCTTCTATGAGTACAGCCAGCCGGGCAAGTGAACAGAGGCTCTATGTCATGAGTGCAATGTGACTGAGTGCACGAGGCAGCCGGGCTCTGAAGCTGGTCGATGTCGAGCTAACCGATGTGCAACAGCCGGACGTGTGCGAGTCTAGGAGCTAAGCATGAGGTGGCACAAATTCGAATGCATGCTCCCAATTACTCGGGCTCGATGGTGCTGGTGCAGTGAACACTACGCCTCCTGGACTGCGGAGGACGATGGTGGTGAGGGTGGCCCACTGTTGAACAGTGGCCGTGCGGAGTGCTCAGCTATTGGATGGCTGCCTCTACATTGTCGGACATGATTGCTTGTTTGCCCTTTCTCATCAATATTCTGCATTGTCTAACTGGGTGAGCTACACATTTCGCCGGAGAAGTGTGCCAGTTAGAGCTGAGGTTCGATCCCGGTTGTGAGTACTCACAGGTGACGGTTGAACGGCCCCCGGGTGGTAGTGAGTATTCATACTAAGGGTTGAAATGGCCGCCAAAGCCCGAACTCCAATGCCATCTTTTTGGACACCATTGGGAGGCGCACAGAGGTCCAGCGTCAGCCTACCTTTTGGTCTTCCATACTCCCTTCCACGCGTTAACTCCGGTCCGGCGTGATCACCAACCCGCATCCATATCACGCCAGAATGTGCGCAGAGCTCGCCGCATCAGAGGCCATTGGCAGAATCGGGGTGAGCGTCTTGGGCAAGGAGCGTCGGGTCTGGTGTGCGGACCGTTCTGAGCAGTGCTTCCATCAAGTGATGACTAGGCGCAGTTGAAGAGGCTCTCCTCCCTGTTCATTAGCAGTGTATGGGTCTATGAACATTTGAAGAACCCTATCAATGACCTATAGCCGCTCGACCTCCTCTCCCGCGTCCGCCACGTCCTCCTCGGCCCCTGCCTCCACCAGGTCCACCACGGTTGCCGTCCAGAGTGCCGCCATTCATGCCTGAGTTGAAGTCACCCATGCGGCCCGGAATAGCGTGTCTCTGCTCAGACCGCTGAGCTTGGGCGGCAGCCGGAGCCTGTCTGTGTTGCTCTCTCTGTCCATGCTGCCGCTCTCCCAGACGCGCCTGAGCCATCTCCCCGCGCAGGATGTTCAGGCCGGGTACGTTCTTGAGACCCATCTTGCCCACCGTCTTCGCGAGCAGGCCAGGTGGCACCCACATAGGGCCCTGGGGCTCCGTCCGAAGAACTTCACGGGCGAAATCGTTGGCGTGCGCGACAAGGTCAGTCTGGCTCCACCTCAGCTTCTTCAGGCTGGAATTGTAGTAGCCCAGCCACGCCTGGTATGCCTGACCTTTCGCCTCCTCGTCCACGGATGCGAGTGCTCGATTTGCCGACGTTCGCGCCTGAGCCATCGCCTCAGCATCAACGGGAGGATAGTCATGCAGTGAGAAGGTTTTCATGGTCGAGTCGCGCAGGAAGAAGGACTCAAAGTCTGCGATGATCAGAACGCCGTGACCCTTGGCTCCGGCACGCGCAGTACGTCCGAGTCGGTGTACGTCTGTCGTCAGCTTCCACGACCAGAAGGGTAGAGTAGAGAGACGAGAAAGAGAGTAGGACAAGCGTCGCCCACAGCAAGGATTCAACGCGTGGGGAAGTCTATAAGGCGGAAACGGGATACACTCGCATCTTCGAGGGACCGACGCGGGCCTCTCCACTCACATTGCTCGCCAGAGGCTGGTAGTCCGATCTGTACGACACTGGTGACGCCCTGCACATCGATGCCGCGGGCCGTCACGTCTGAGGAGAAGAGGACGCCGTTGGGAGAAGCGCGGAAGTCGTCCGTCGCCTTGGTGCGCTTAGATTGCGACATGCGCGAGTGAATCTGCCACACAGGGAAGTTGGTACGCAGGGCCTGGAATAATTCGTAAAACAGACCAGCAGCACGAGCAGTGGGAAGGAAGGCCATGACTGGAGTCAGCTGCGAGTTCAGTCAACGCCGCAATCACTCACCCTTGAAGCCGCCGCGCTCCGTGCTGAGACTCTCCTCGCGACGAAGCACCTCAATGGTTGCGGCAATGATGTCCTTAGCGGGAACGATCAGAGATTCCTGCACGACATGCTCGTGAGCGTTGATATCCTCGTCCTTGAGAGTCGAGATGAACTCGTGGTCGGGGTTGAGCGCGATGGAGGAGATCTCGCGTAAGTGGGCAGTGTGAGTAATCGCGCTCACCGAGTGTACTTCGGCAGGAACGGTGGCGGAGAAGAGCAGCGTCTGGCGAGGGACTGTCTTGCGATTGGGAAGGCTCTCGAGAATCTTAAGTAGCTCACGGCGGAAACCCTGATCAAGAAGGCGGTCCGCCTCGTCGAGCACCAGCGTAGCTACCGTAAGCTACGAAGCGGGGAGGGGGGCTTGACTTACCCAGGCGACCAAAGCGGGGCTTCATGTCGGCATTCTCAAGTAGGTCAACGAGACGGCCGGGAGTGGCGATGAGTACGTCGGCGCTAACGTGTCAGTCGCGGGCGCGCATAGTCTCTCCTCACCGCTTGCTTCTAAGATCACGGATGTCGGATTTGATGTTTGTTCCGCCCACGACGCATTGCACGCCGTACGGGCCATTGGCGCCAAGGAGGCGCTCGGCCTCAACGGCGATCTGCTGCGCCAACTCGCGCGTCGGCGAGAGCACAAGAATGGATGTATGGGCCTGGTTGGGATGCGGGGCGGATATCATGCGCTGAATTGAAGGGACGAGGAAGGCCATCGTCTTGCCTGTGCCGGTCTTTGCTTGCGCGAGTACGTCGCGGTTCGCAATGATGGCGGGCAGAGTTGCGGCTTGCACCTACTCTTAGCCAAAGTCATGATTTAAAACTTACCTCAGTGCAAAACTCGAAGGGAATCTTAGCTAGAAGCTGGGGGCTGATGCCCTTGAAGTCGGCAAAGCGCGTCTCTGTGGTAGCCTGTGCGACGGTCGAGACCGGCGTCATAACACCAGAGGGAAAGGCTGGGGTACGGTCGCCGGGCGTAGCGTCGGCCTCGGCCTTTCGCTTCTGCAAGCGCGGGCCACTGCCGCCGAAGCCACGGCCACGACCGCGACCCCCTACACGTGTGCGATTGTGTGGAGCAGACATGATGCGACAAGTGGAGAAGAGAGCAAGTTGAAGGAGGAGGGTGAAAGATCGTGAGACAGTGAGTCCTCGCAGGAATTCTGATCCCGTCTGATCCCGCATCTAACATCTGAATCGCTGCTGCTTACCATGCTGCCTACTGTACCCACCCTTGCTGGGAGCTGTCTAAACTCCTATTCTCTGCTACTCGGTCGAGACTATCCACGCTGTCACATGTCCGAGTGATGGTGTCGCATTGACGGCGCACACGTTTTGTCATTTTCGGTGATTTAATCAACAAGACATTCGGACCGGAGTCGGGCCGGGTCCAGCATGTGACCGAGGCACAACCCTCCACTTGGCGGCTCGTTTGCTCACTCCCACACTCTTTTATCCACAACACCAAGGCAGACGCGGACCAATGGACGCCAAAATTCCTTTCGGCACAGATCTGTGGACATCGCTCAATATGGAGCACCCACTTCGCGGGGAGGCTCGGGACAGCGGTGCCGTCCTTGTGCACAAATCGATAGGTGGGACGGACTGGTGGCGCACCACAGAACGGCACTCAATGGATGGCCCTACGCTGGGTTTTTGGCATGAGGGCGGAGACGGGTTTGAAGTCAGTGCTGAGATCTGTGTTAACCCGAAGACGCAATAGTAAGCTGCCACCTTCTCATTGCCAGCAGCACTGACCGGCAGCGACCAGGCGACACTCTTCCTGTACATCTCTCCCACACAGTGGGTCAAGGCAGGTATCGAGTTTGATGCCGATGCGCTATGGAATGGTGCAGTGGTCTGCAACCCGTACTCGGACTGGTATGTTCCCGCGCTGTGCAATTTAATGGAGTCTCGCTGATACCAGGTCAATCGCCAAGCGTCGCCCTGAAGACTCTGCCCGATACACAATTGCGTACACGCACAATGAAGTCAAAGTGTACCTCGGCAATGATATGATCCGCGAGGTTAAGTGGTTCGGGGCAACGCGCAGCAACGACGCAACGTTTGGCGAGGCACTCCCAGGCAAGGTGTTCGTCGGCATCATGGCGTGCTCACCTAAGGACGGAGGAGCGGAAGTCAGCTGGAAGAACTTCACGTTCAGGCAAGGTGTGCGTGCACGCTGATCGGGAGTGGAATCCGTGATGTAAGCCTGCGTCACGGATGAATGAGGGGACGTGAATCAGAGTAATTGGCTTGACAAGGCCTCAAGGCCTGGTCGTGCCTCTTCAGAGATGGGCAAATTGTGAGGGCAATAACTCAACGGGGCAGTGCAGTAGTACGCTGCAGCCTCTGGCCCATTGCGTTGGATCTTTAACTGCTCGTCGCTTTCACATCTGCATTGAGGTGCTCTCCTCATGGCTTCCACGAGGCATACAACGGTCGACATGTCCAGCGGCCGCGCGTCCACTCGTTGTCCACTCGCTCAACTTGGGTGGCGTTCTCGGTGTCTGTGTGACTCTATGGTATTTACTTTGGCGGCAAGCCTAGCAACTGAGCTGACGCCCATCAGCCGGCAGAACGACGAATCGTCATATGATTTCTGAGATTAGTCTGCGTTTGGAGACTTCGAATCCATTAACAACCCACTTATGACATCATTCAATCCGTGTAATGACTAACTCAGTGTCTTACAGACCAGAAGGACTGCTCCCCATTAGCCCAGCCCACATCCTCCTGGCGAATGGGCTCTGTGCCTGTGATGGCGTGTCTCTGGGCATCTCTTCCAGTGACACATGAGAGTGGGCCTCCGCAAACCTATGGGCCCTGTCCTCATCTCGGACAGCCTTAGTCCCAAGGCAACTTACCGCACCTGTCTAACGATCTCCGATGACTAAAAGGCACACCTTTGAGCATCGTGTCGTGCGCAATTAGTAGCGATCGTGCATAGATTCGTGATCAATGCGCAGGCTCCTTTCAGAGCTGATACAGGCCGTGCAACATGTACATCCATCTTCATATGGAGGGGAACTGGAACAGGTAATAGGCGAAACGATCTACCCCGACGATGGCGACTGAAGCTGGTTACTGAGCGAAGACATGGGAAGCGTGGCAATTGGGGCGTTCTCGTCTCTCTGCCGTCAGTCGTACAGCGGAATAGAGACAGGGCCATGCCGCGGGACTTCGCAACATCTCCCACTCAACCCGAGCCTCGCCGCGGCGAAGATAATGGATATCGTTGAGGCGCTGTGATCTGCGGACGTGTGCGAAGTTGCCAAGTCACTGAACTCCCTCACCTCAGCGGACCTGGCTAACTCACAGCGCTCTGATACGGGCGTCTGGAGGAGCTCGGTAAGCTCTGAATGGGGTGTGTTGACCATACTGACGGCGTGGGAAGGTGCAAATTCGGTGACAGGGCGGAGCACGAGGACTCCAGGCCAACGTGAGGAACCCCGCACAACCTCAGCAGGTGTCGAGGGGGTCGAAGGGCGAGGACGAAGGGCGGGCATGTGATCGCTAATGCGATGCTCGAGGACAACAGGGGCGGGGCATTGTTCTATGGGGCGAACGCGAAGTCTCTGCTGTTAGACCGTTGCAGAGTGAAATCAGATACTCACCTCCGAGCGGCGCATGGCTCTCTGCACAATGATGGACGCCATTGGCTTAGGAAGGTATGAATGGTGTGGTGCGAGTAAGAGGAGGAGTGGGAGATTGTCAGTGGCAAAGTTGATGTTGTGTGGCCAAAGGTAAACCAATTGAGAGGGGTAGGACAAGGTGGCGAGAGCGGGGTGGGAAGTACAATCGCTCTCGTCCGACAGCGATGCGAAAATACCAATCCAGTAGAACTGGATCGGTGGCGGCTTAGGGGGGCGGGCTATGGGCACGGACAGGAGGCAGTGTTTGTTCGAATTCCGATAACTAAACGCATCGTTTCGTCTTGTGCTGCTGCGGCTTGAGGAAGACCTCCAGAGTTTCCACGGAGGGAGGACGGATGGTCCGTCATGTGTCCGCAGGCTCACGTATGAACCTCCTAAAGGATGCAGATTCTTGTTTGAACCTCCAAGAGCTGACTGTTCCGAAGTTCGGCTGCCAGTTCAGGTTGCTGCAGAAGCAAAAGGAGCACACGAAGCCTTGTCATAAGACTCTGGTCTCTTCGCCTTCTCAACGGCACTCGTATCATGCTTGCAGAGCATAGTGCTTGCACAGTGAGATTCAACGAGGCTACATGGTGAACAAGGTGGTGGTAGTCCGTAAACGACCACAACAGGTGTGGTTCACAACTACTCTTTCTCAAATTGCTTTGCACACCGTGCGAGTTAGGTCAGTGGTTCGATTCGGTCGCCCGCCCGTTGCCTTGCAAAAAGGGTACGATGAGGCCACCGATAGACATAATCAAGCAATTAACCATGTTGGATGTGGCCGCCATTATCCCCTCATTGCACGAACTCAGCGCACAGTTTTATGGCACCTTCGTTGAGCTCATGATGTCCAATATGCAAAAAGTAGACCTTGGATGGTTGGCTCGTCTAGGTGTATTGATGATGTGGACACCAGTGCGCTGCGTGCCCACCTAATAAGCTGAGCGCCTCGGGTTTGCCCGATGTGACGACTGGCAGAAGATGTCCTCACGTTTGACCGGGCGCATGCTTCTCAACTTCAGGTCTGCAGCAAGATCAAACCACGCGTCGGTGGATTTGCAGAGAGAATGCGGAGCAGCATACGCTCAATTCTCAGTCCCAATGTCCCCCCATCACTTCCTGTTCCACCTTGTCACCACGACACAGTTGGGCCTGTTCACCTCCTAGTCTCACTTCTGCCTCGCCAGTGGTCCCCACAATACCGCCTTCCATGTCCTGCAGCGCGACTTACCACATCACATGTAATCAGACTGGCTTTCGAGTATCCGCCCAGCATGCTTCCACTCCTCACGGGCCTTGTGAATGCGTCGTAGTTACGTGACTGTGACGAGCTGGGCGAATTGGCCGAGCGTGAGGGATGGTGCACAACTCGCCGTCCCGCTGTACCATCGTGATAGTGACGCGGGTAGTCCGTGCGCCCTGTGGGCATGACGTGTGGCGAATAGCAGGGACTGTCGTTCTGTGTTTTCGTATCCACCTGTACCTGGCCGCGTCTCTTTTCCAACGACACCACTTCACCAACCTTGCAGCTGCTCGGACAGTCTCGTCTCTCGCTAGCAACGATCCCACCTCTTTAAGCTTGGCCAATGACTTCTGCCGTTGCCGCTGCCACAGAGGCCTCATCTATCTTCACCGCAGCATCGTTCACTTCCCACTTCCCCCCCGTGACGTCAACAACCACTCTCAAGCCTCCCCAAAAGCCGCCTCGCAAGCCAAAGACGCGCGGGCGCATTACACGCGGCCGTGTTGTACCCGCTAAACGTATCACTGAGCGCACCCTCGTGTGGCCTGGGCTGCGGGAACGCATTGCCGCGGAGGAGGTGCGGCGCAGCCAACTACCTCGCCGTGGCAGCTCTTCTACTCCCTCGAGCTCTGATCCCTCGACGCCCGAAGACAAAGATTTGCCGCACGACATGAGCATCTTCCTGGAGTCGTCCACGGACGACATCGAACCAAACGAGTTCCGCATCCCGCGCTGGGATTGTGTCGACTTTGGGGCGCTAAAGGTGCGCGCGAGCGCGTGAAGTAGACTATGCTGACCGCAGCGTGAGTTCAACAAGAAGTTCGCTCTCGGTGGAACCTGCACGTAAGTCCCATCACACCACATCTCTTGCCAGTCTTGACGTCAGGTTACACCTGCGCGACCAGCCCATCAAGCAGTCGAAGCGAAAGACAGCCGCGGAAGTTGGGTTGCGGGAGGGGGACACAATTGACATGCGGTACTGGTTGTAGGGATGACCTGGAAGCGAAGAAACTTCTATTATGTTGTACCAAATTCTTGTATCTTTTTGCGACTCAACCTCTGATCTCTATCTGAATGCAGTCTCGTTTGCACATTATCTGACCGTTCGTGGATATGCATACATTGTGACAGACATACTACGGCATTACCAATGATAGCGGGGGCACTCTCTCTCCCGGCGCATCGTGTTGTGACTCGGAGCGACTCTCTACACCATGGGCATGCCCATCGGGCGGCCATTCATGCCCTGCATGCCCGACATGCCCGACATGCCCGACATGCCCGACATGCTCGACATGCTCGACATGCCTTGCATGCCTTGCATGCCTTGCATCCCCTGCATCCCCTGCATGCTTGACATCCCTTGCATGGGGATAGGCATGGGCGGCGCATCGTCGCGCTTCTTGATGACCTCCACATAGTTGCCCGGGAACCACCCCTGGCGGCCGTCGCGAGTGCGACCGCGCCACCAGCCCGACTCGCCAGATTCGCCGCCCTCGCGACGCTCAAGGACGGCGACAATTTCGTCGGGCTGCAGGCCGAGCTCCCATTCTTCACTTGGCTTGAACTCCCACCGCGCACGCGCGAATGTGAGCTTTGTGGGGTCGAGCTGGCCGCTGGCGTCGATCGCGCCCGCCTGCTGCTGCTGGCTCGCAATAAGGAGCTTGACCAGACGGCTCATGAGATACGGCAGGCCGATCGCCGAGAGAAGGAAGAGTAGGAGAGGCTTGGCCGAGGGACGCGGCGCTTCTGCGCCGTTGGGCCCCAGCCCTCGGCTCCACTCGTTGGCCCAGCCCTTCTCTGGACCCGACTTCTTGCCGCGCAGCCAGTTTAGAATTCGTCGTCCCAGGCGCATGATACTGAAGACGCCTAGTACTTGGCCGAGGTATGTCTTCAGGCTGCCAAGCTGGTCCGCAACGCCCACCATGGCGAAGAAAGAGCTGTGCGTCGCCATGTATGTGCTCTCCACGAGCTGCGCAAGCGAGGTGAACGCCGTTACAATCGATTCGATGACTGCAAATGCTGGTGCTGTTTGCTGCTGCATCGCGCCGGTGAGTGATGGATACTGCTGTTAGTCGACCGCTGGCGCATTGGCTGATCGCGACTCACTTCGCCGGGCCCGCCCATTCCGCCCACGCCGTAGCCACCCATCCCACCATACCCTCCGTAGCCGCCCATGCCTCCGTAGCCTCCGCCGCCAAAGCGACTGTATGGCGACGAGTACGACGAGTAACCCCCCATGCCACCTCCGTACCCGCTGTACCCGCCCCCATACCCTCCGTACGAGCCCATAGAGCCCATACCGCCGTATCCACCGCCAAAGCTGTTCATTGTTGAGCCGTATCGAGATCCGTAACCTGGAGCAGCAGAAGGCAGACCGCAAGAGTGGCAGATAACGAGAGCGAGCGAGGAGATTGCAAAAGAGGCACGTCAGCGCGGACATTCAACGTGAGCTTGGGCCTACTTACCCGACGACACGAGCGAATTGTCCGCGAGTCCTGCTGGGCGGTCTGGCAACCGGGGCGCGACACTGGAGCTGCCGACTTCTTCAGCGGCGGTGGTTGTGATGGGGGCCGGTGGTGGGGAGGAGGAGACAGCAGCTGGAGAAGTGGAAGAGGTTGCTGCTGCGGCGCTCTTTGTCTCCCAGGGTTTTGGCCGCGGTGGGAGCGAGGACATTTACTTGAAAAGAGTGATAGAGAGAGAGAGAGAGTGCAGAGAGAGATGGAGTGAGTCCTCGGATATCGGTCTAGTAGAAAGCGGAGTGTTGTAGGTGGGCGACGTTGAGTGGGGCTTTGGCTTGGTGGAGAAAGGGCGCCGGCGGAAGCTATAACCGACGGACCACGTGGCATCGACTCCGGGCCTTCTCCGATCTCCGCACTCCGTCATATGTCTTGTTGCACGCGCACTATTCCAGCCATCAACCACTCCATCCCTCCGGCCATGGCTGCTCCGGCCCTCTGTCCTCTCACGTCGGGCTCGCCTCCCCGCAGCTCGCGTCTGCAGGTCATCCGCAAGCCTAGTCTTCGAATCCGGCAGGCGGTTCGCGGTGGGTACATGGGTATACCCGTGCTGACAGTCAGACAACAATGTCCCATTGCTCATGAGGCTGCAACACAAGGGAGACCTGCGCAACACAGATAAGGCGCGGTTGACGAGCTTGGCATGGGCCGCACTCGAGTTGAGCGTCGAAGTCTTTGAGTGGCTGCTCCTCGAGTACGGTCACGACGATTTTGAGCTCTCGAGAGTAGGCCGACTGCTCACTCTGTGATTGACCTCAGGATGCGGACAACAATAACATTTTCCACTTTCTTGCTGCCGCGCCCGCCCCCCCAGGGCTTTCACCCTTCACGAATCAGCTCTTCTCTGACCCGCTCTTCCCACCGCGGCCCCCGCTTCCAACTGAGCAAGCGATTGAGCTAAGCCTCCGCATGACCGAAGTGTACTATGACCTCTTCCGTATCGTCGATTGGTCCAACTCGTCGGGCAAAACGCCCCTCCATTATGCGGCACAGGTGGACAACTCGCCATTTATCGACCTCTTCTGTGAGCTAGGCGCGGACGTTGACCTCGCCGACCTACAGGGCAATACCCCGCTTCACTATGCCAGCGCATGGGGACACCTGCAGAGCGTACGAGTTCTGCTGGAGCGAGGCGCACAGATGGGTTTGCGCAACCTGGAAGGATTCACGCCGGCCGACTATGCGTACTCCAATTCCGCACGCGTCTCTCTCGACAACATGGCTCGGGAGGTGAACGAGGAACGCCGAGCGCGGCGCAAGGAAGCGAAGCGGCTGGAGCGCCAGGCGCGCGAGAGGGAGGAGAGAGAGCTGGTGGCCGCGCAGGAAGCATGGGAGCGCCAGCAGGCCGAGACTCGTGAGCAGGAAGAGCGCGAGCTCGCAGAGGCGCAAGAGGAGTGGGAGCGCCAACAAGCTGCGCGCGAGCGAGAACGTGAAGCTACCTCTATGCGGATAGCTCAGGTAGCGGGGTCCGACATGTCCAGCGATTGCCATGGAAGGGAATCGGATACAGGGACGAGGCCGGATTACTTTCAAGCACAAAACCAAGGCGGATTAGACCGCTCCTTAGAGGAGCAGTTTCGGGGGACGGGCTACGATGTACCTCGCAGTGTCTCTGCAGCCGCCAATGCCGCTACCCAAGCACGCGACCGCCGCGGGTCAAGCCGATCCGAGCGCACGCCTGTGTCGAACGGTGCCTGCGTGCGCGATGGTTCGCCGACGCCGCAACGCAGGATGGGAATGCCAAGACTCGCGGTCGCAGGTCCGACACCACCGCAAGCCTCCGCACTCGGCCCGCCGCAGCAGCCTCCAACGCCGACATTGCCCCAAACCCCTATTCGACGCACTCCCCATCCCACTCCGCCAAGGTCGCCTTTCCCGGTCCAACCGGGCATGCGACGGACGGACTCGACGCACAGTGCCAACAACAACGCGCCCCTTCTGCAGAACATCTTTTAACTTTCGCATTATTGTAACACTTGATCTGTACCGACCAGCGCATCCGTCGGAGGAGCGGACTAATATCTACGCCCGGAACGGTTCGGTACGGCAGTAAAGCCAGCTCGACGCGGTGCTGTCAACTCGATCGTACCCTAGCACGCCCTCGACGATGTTCAGCACAATGCTCGCTGTGGGGAGGACATCCCGCAGCTGTTTGCCACCCTCCAGTTCGAGGCGGTCGAACGTCTGCCCAAGCGCAAAGGGCGAGAGATGCAGAGTGATGTCAATCAGAGGAGGCTGGCGGTGAGTTTTACTGTGTTCTCACCAGGAACCAACATACCTCATCCGTGCGGTGGTGGTTGACACGGCACCACTGAGTAAGGTAGTCATGCAGCAGTTGCAGTGTTGGTGAGTGTGAGCTTTCGACGACGACAAGGCTCCTGGACGCCTGCACGCGCAAGTTGTACGGTGGGCGGAGGAGGAGGTCGTCGGGTCGGGGGAGGGAGCCAACAAGCGGAAGATACTCGGGCTTGGGCACAGTGGGACGTGCTGAGGCGGGTCCGACATGCACAGTCTCCCAGTCATCGTTAGACTCACGCAACCCAGGCGCCGCGGGCGCAGCCCCGGGCTCGAGAGTGGTAGGCGGGACAGCAGCGGGAGGTGAGACTTCAAGTGTCTTGCGAATAGCGTCGCCGAAAAATGCACGACAGTCATCCCCCTGGCGCACAGCTCGCGGGATGGAGAGAACAAAGCCGCCACGCTGTTTGCTCCACTCATGCGCGGGCTTGTTGTCTGCCGAAACCTCAGGTTAGGTGCTTCATGGAAGCAACTCACATCGATGAATAGGCGCAGTGTCGTGCCTCCTATCATGTCCACCATCTTGTCGCCCAACTCCTCGTCCTTGCACACGCTGCTGGCTGCCTCGGCCCACGCCGCGACGAAGCTCGCTGTCTGTCGCACAAACAACGTGTCGTCATTGTAAACCCCGCCGAGGGCGGTGTGGAGCATGCCCCACTCTGGATTGACTGTTGGCGCAGTACCGAGAACATCTTTGAGCCGCGCAAAGGAGGGCGACGTAGTCGGCTCCCAGAGGTCGCGGACGGCGATGCGGACTTTCAGAGACCTGCTCTAAGCAATCGTCGCTGACCGGGCTCACTGCTTCTCCATCGGGTGCGGGCGGTGGAAGGGGATGGGTTGGGATTTCGCGTTGACATCTGCCACTTCTATGTCGAGCCAGTTGGTCAAGCTCATCCCTTTCTGATTCGTGGCGCGTCGCGTCACGTCCAAGCGGGGCGGGAGCTGAGATCATCAATGAATGAGCGCCACAGGGCGGCGTGCACTGCGGTGCTGCTTCTTGCTTTCCTTCAGGGGTGTGCAAGCGGAACGGATGTGCGGGAAGTTGCTGGGCGCTGCCCTCCACTAGATTGGCTGGAAAGAATGAGGACGCCAAGAACCTGGGACCCTCCAGCACGGAAGGACACGGGAACACTGACTGGTGTAAGCATCTTTCACTTGGTTGGTGAGAAGCGCGAATTGTGGCCATGTCGTGGTGGTTAGCCCAGCCCACCGTCCCGCCTTATGCCCTTGTCCCACCTGCAGTTATCGGCAGCTGACCTTCAAGTGACACGCGTTGAGTTCTTGGCAAAGAATGGACTGGACACGTCAGCAGGCCACTGGGTATATATGCAAAGGTAGTCAGCGCACTCCTTTATCAGGCCGTCTGCACCGTAAACTCGCATTCACTTCACGCCACTCTCACAATCACTCAGAATGCCGCGTCTTCCCCCAGCTTCAAAGGTCACCTTGATGGACCGAAAGAGCTGTGAGTTTATTCCCCTGCGCCGCTGAGACCTAGTGCGCGACGACTTTGAGGCCAAGAAAGGGGACCTTGAGAAACAGATCTCAGACCTGCTCGGCGAGGCATGGACGATCGACATTGACCCCAAAGTCATTGTGCCGTACCACACCGAAAGCACAGAGGGCACCCTCGGCGTCGTACTCAACTAGTGCGTCCCTGCGCTGCCCCAGCTCACACCAGCTACATGGAGGCCGCAGTCTATCAGCTCCGTCGCTTCGTCAACGAGTACGGCGACACGGGAAAGGCTGAGATCCACGCCGCCGTCCCGAAGCGTGTGCTCAGCATGGACGTGGACGAGGCCGAAAAGTACTTGTACTGTGGTCCGCTGGTCAAGGATGGTGTACTCTATATCGTGTTCCGCAGCGACCGACTTTACGTCAACCTCGACGACGGCCTCGATCCGATCAAGCTCACCAGGGCGCTGTCCGAGACTCCGGCCGCCAGTGCAGCCACCCTCTCTCCCACGGTAAAGGTCAGCATTGCAAAGAACTACGACCCCAAGGCCGAGCAGCTGCGCGTTGCTGTCGCTGAGGCGGTCAATGTCCCAGACTTGAAACTTGTCCCCAACTTCGAACATAACTACGGGGCGATGAAGGCCGCGCAGGCAGCGGGCGTCTCAGTCCGCTCCGGCTGGGAGGATGCTCTCGCGCGGGCCACCGCCGATTACTTTGCGGAGTTGGCGTCCCAACTGAAGCGCCACAAGATCGCGACTGACGATATACTGCAGGAGGCGTTCGTCGATGTCGTCTCCAAACGCGAGGTGGTCCTCAGGGCTGTGGGTGAGCTCAAGAAGCCCGGCGCCAAGTGCGAGAGCAGCTTCGAGGACGGTCGCCTTTACATTAACTTTATGCCCAAGACATTTTGGGTCAATGCGAGTGAGGCTGGCTCCATGCTGGTTGACCGGCTTAGCGAAGTGGCCTAGAATTGAAGTCATAGATTGATCACAACATGGGATGCAGAACATTAAACCGTCGATGAAGAATCGCGTCTGTAGTTATTAGCATCTCAGAAAGATCTTCCGAGACGATCTTCCACTAAGTAGGAAACATTGCGCCGAAAATCTCGTCAAACATGCACAGCACAAGGTGTTGATTGAGCCGTCGGTCCTGGAGCGCACCCCACACGAGATGTGCCGCGCGGCGCGCGTTCCCACGCCCAATCATATTGGCTGCGACATCGGGGATGAGCATGCCCAGGCGGCGAGATGATGTAATGCGGGCGTCGAAACGTTCGTTGTCTGTGCGGGGTGCCGAGTCGGGCCGCTTTGCCCCTCCAGGGAACATGGTGTCCTGGAAGATGCGGAGCAGCTGGTCAATCTTGCGCGGCGCAGTATAGCGCTTGAAGATGTCACGCATCTTGCGCTCGATTGTGCCACCCAGTACCTGCTGTAGGATGATAATGATCGCCTGCCGCCGCAGCCAATTGCTCTCCTTCAAGTCGAACACCTCGATGAAAAGGTCACAGATGGGCGCGGTGAAGCCTCCTGGCGCGCCCTCTCCTCCCAGTGGCTGTAGCGCTTGGGGAAGGGCATCATTCAGCGCCACTGTAGGATCTGCCTCTGATTCTCCGGTCACTGTCGTGGCGGTCGCCACCGGTGATGACGCCCCGGTCGCAGAGAGCGCAGCTGTGGAGGGTTCGCTCCGAGCCCAAGGGCGAAGTACTGGCATCAAACCCACCAGCTCGCCGGTCATGCCTTGTACGCCGTCGGCCACCTCAGCCAGCTGGCGGCTCAGCCCCTGGGTCATCAAGTCAAGCATAGGAGGTACAGAGCCCTCTTCAAACCCGCTGGCGACAGTTCGATAGAGTGTTTGCACGAGACGTGTAGGGGCAAGGACGCTGCTGGCGCTGTACGGCTGCTGGGGCCGCTGCGACAAGAAGCTGCGCACTACTGGAGTGTCACACAGTTCCTTCTCTGCGAGGAGACTCTGGACGTATCTCTCAAGGCCCGCGCGACGAGATTCAATCAAGCCTGCGTTGGTCAACGGTACGAGCCGCTTCCCTGGCAAGTCGGTGACGTGGCGCATTGCCGTGCTGAGAGACGGGTCGTCACGCAGGACTCGGTCCAGCTCCCAAAATTCGCTGTAGCGGTGCGCGACATGCCATGCGAGCACAACGCGGTCGTCTTGAGTCTGTGTGATCTCCACCGTGTAGCGCACGACTTGTCCCTCCGTCACAGCGTACGGAATAGTGCCGCGCGTGCGGCCTGGGACAAGACGATTCTCCTCCTCCTGCCGCCGATACTGACCGACCTCAAGCTCAGCTGTGCGCAACTCACGACGCAGCGAGCTCTGTGATCGATTCAGCAGCTTCAACTCCTTGGCATTGCCCGTTAGCTCGGCCTGTCGGATAAGCCCATCGAGCAACACGTCCTGGTCCTTGAGCTCAGTGATCCTGGCCTCAAGTCGGACGATCTGTCCTGAGAGCTGCAGGTCGCCTAGCCCAGCTCCCTCAGTGGTAGGTGGGGCGAGCATGTCTATGGCCGATTCGGGGTCAGGCTCGTCGTCGGTTAACGAGTCATCCATGAAGATGCTCTTGGAGCGACGGTGCAGGCTTGCGTCGGCGCTGCCACGCCTCGCAGACTGACGTGCGAGCAGAGGAGGGGTCGAGATAGGCCGTGCGGGCGAGTTGGCCACGCCTTTCAAATCTTCTGCAGATCGAGAGGTGATTTTGCGTCCTTCAAGCGGATGGTATGTATCCCGGGACGGCGTCCCCTCGATGAGACCCGGGGTGGACATGCTTAGCGGATCGACAACTAGATTGAAGCCTGGTGATTCTGGCGAATGCGGCGGCTCCAGCGAGTCGGACACCTTACGGCTGCCTGCGTCTTCGGCAATGATCTCGTTCAGAGCTGCTTGAAGCGCCTCCATCCGCTGCGCCTCGAGGTGCTCGTACTCGTCGTCGGTCTTGTCATCCGAGAACAAGGGATCTCGCTCTCTCTGCTCATCCCCGCCCATCAGGGTGTCAAGGTAGACTGAGCGCCGCGGTGGTGGTGTGGCGGTTCTAGGGAGAATGATGCCAAGACTAGGCGAAGTGGATGCAGATCGTTCTGGCGTGATGCGTCGCTTAGTGAGGTCCGGCGCTGTGGTTGTCATAGTGGTGGACGGCGCCGCGGGTGTTACGGGCGTGAAGCTACCATTGATAAGGTAAGGCCGGGGAGAACGCCGTGGCGAGCGCGATTGCTGTTGGTCACTGGTACTTCTGCGCTTGGGGACTGGTGCAACGAGACGGCGCGTTGGCGAGACCGGTGGACTGTGCGACCATGTCCGAGTAATGCGTGGGCGGGTGGAACTTTTGAGCTCGCTCAAAGCCTTGAGGTAAAGCTCACTGTGTTGAAAGACGTTCCAGTCCTCCTCCGCCATCTCGGCGTAAACCTCCTTCTGAGCGGCGAACACAGTACGCTTGCCGTGCTCGACCTCCTCATCCGTGAGCGCGCTCTTCTTCTCTGCGAGCTCGGCGACCGTCTCTACTAGACGTGGTGGTACAGCGATGCGGTGATCTGAGTTGAAATACGTCGTGTTCAAGAATGCCAGGTCGTCCTTCATCGTGCGGGCGGTCATGCCGCGGTCCTCAGTCTCGAGACCTAGGCCGCCGGACTCGAGTGGGTCTTTGAAGCCCTCAACTGTAAGCCAAAACTGGACGAGATGGGAGCGTCCTCGGCGTTCCATGAACTCTAGCCAGAACGCCAAGCATGAGGGGTCACCGAGGATGGTTCCGAGCGAGACAGCAACAGGTCGGGCAAACAAGGAGTCGCTCTGGCGGTTTTGGCTTTCCGCCTTCCCTGAAAGCTGAGCGATACGACGGTCGATTTGCCAGCGCGCGCGCTCCAGACGATGAACGTAACGCACGGCTCGCCGACGGTCCTTGTCCATGTCGTTCACAGTCATCTGTTCTGCGGCGCGCGCTGCGCGGAGCTCACGGTCGACATCGGCACGGAGCCGCCGAGCTTCACCGAGAGTACGAAGCTTGGGCAGCGAGCGCATGAACGCTTCGAAGTCCTTGGTCGTTGAGTGAGCTGTGATGCTGGTGGCCGTAACCTCCGTCTTGGTGGCCCTCGGGCTGGTAGGAGGCGCAGACGGAACGCTCGAAAGCGCAGACAGCACTTTGTTGACTTGGTTGCAGACATCAGCTCAGGACACGACCAGCCAACTCACCGTTCATGCAGAAGCTTGGCGCCGTGTTCGCTAATTTGACGGTTCCAGAAGTCGGGGTCGCACAGCATGTGAAAGATTGGCATTGCGATGGCGCCGAGAACGATCTCGCGCACCATGATTCTCACAACGTCTGTCCGCTCCGTTTCGGGGAGGATCACACTTAACGCGCGCTGGATGTGCCCGCGTAGATGCCCCTCGATAGCAGCAACGTCCGCGTCGGGGGAGACGTTGCGTGGCGTGAGCGCAGAGTGTGCGTGTGTGGGCAGCGGAAGAGGGAGACCTTTCTCGGGGCTACTCGGCGCTGCGGCGAGGTGCTCAACGGAACGGAAGTGTTGCAGGTGCTCTGTGACACGGGGAACAATCCGTGCGGTGACGAGGGAAGGCCAGTCGACTGCCTCGGCTTGCTGAATCGCGGTACCTAGCGCGTGGCGGATGATACCCTCGACAGCGTCTGGAAATGCGCGCGACGGCGAGATCTTGGTGTACCATGGTAGCACGTAGAAGGTGCGAATTAGACCGAGGATCGCGTCGAGGCGCGTCGCGACGGCAGGATCCTCGAAGCCGGGGACAGCAGCGCGACTCACCGCGGCTAATGGGGGATAAGGGAGCGACGCGGCTGCAGCTTCCGCGAGGGCATCGCTAACAGCGGCGGCCGCGGTGATACTTCCGGCGCCGCCTGCACCTCCCGCTTCCCGCTCCATTGCGGCGATGACCTCCTCCCATCGCGTGGATGTGGCGAAATCAAGGGGCCGCGTTGCCACACGCTGAAGAGTCGAGAAAGGGGTGGCAGGGGAGCCGGCTTCCGCGCGCCCTGCGGCAACCAGCACTCCAACGACGCCAATGGTGAGCGCGAACGCGCCGAGGAAAGGCGGGATAATGATGAGCCGCACAAGTGTCCGGGCCACGAGGGAGAAGGTCACCAACACGATCGAGGCGAAAGAGAGCACAATGATCGCTTTCTGGCGGTGGGACACGATTGAACTCTGCGCTGTTATCTGACTCATAGACGAAGGGCGAACTGCCGGCGGCAGCGGGGAGCCGCGAGGGCGTTTGTCACCCACGAGATCGCTCATTGCCGCAAGAGGTGACGAGGAATGCCCTCGCCACCTCAATGTATGATGACGATGGTGCCGGAGGTAATGGACAGTGAGAGGAATGCGGGAGTTGAACCAAGCGAAGACAGCTCTCGGTCGAAGTTGGGTGGCAACAGTTATGAACAGTTAACAAGACGCGTCATCACACGCGACACACGCGACTCGCGAACCGTCCTGAAAATAGCCGGTACATCCGGCAGTTCGCCCAAGTTCCGACCTTCTCATAATCCCATCCGTCACTTCCTTGAGTCTCTTTGCATCTCATGCGCAAGCCCACCCATTCAATGGGGCGTGACGTGGAACATACCACCCTCTAGCACTACTGGATTTCGTCCGGCGTGACGATCACCCATCCCTTATCCGCGGTGACGGGGCGGCCTTGCTCGGCTTGCTCAATAGCGAACGTCTCGTTCATCTTGGCAATCTCCTCCATGTACGACGCTTTGCGGTTTACCCACAGCTTGATGCCGTCGTCGCGGTTGATTCCATGGAAGATCATTGGACCATCCGACACAGGGGTGTCGCCCGCCGCGAGGACAGGAAGCTTCCACTGGTCAATGTACGAAAGCACGGCGGCCCATTTGCCAGTCATCCACGTCGCGGGCGCCCATAAAGTGGGCGTGAGGACAAACTGGCCGTTCGAGTTGTTGTATACCCCTTCGGCGATCTGCTTGCGTGCGGTCGTGAGCACTCCAGAGTTGTTCAGCAGGAGCGACACGCCGATAACATTCTCTGGGGGCACATTATAGCCGTACTTCGGGTCCGAGGCCACCATTCGTACCAGCTCCTCGGCCGCGGCGCTAATAACGTAGACGTTGATGCCATTCGCCATTAGGCGGTTGTAGAGTTCGACCTGGCCACGAAAGATACGCGGAGTGTTGACTTGAACCTCCACTAGGGTCCCGTTCTCGTCTGTGAACGTTGTCTTTACCGCCCCGTTGAGGGTCATAAGGTCATCTACGTGCCTCTTGAGCTCTTCAAGCTTGATGCCGCTAAAGACGGCCGCCGCCCACCAATAGCAGATGTTGTCGTCTATTTCGCAGAGCCGCAGGTAGTAGCCGTACATGGACTCGCCATCGAGGAAGGGCACAACGCGAAGAGCAGGGTCAAGTACATCCTCGTGAAGCACGCCGATGCTCTCAAGGTATGGCATGAGAGACTCTTCCAAGTCGTAGCGGTCGCTCGTGTTGTCCCAATCGAAGATCGCGTAGTTGGAGGAGTTGGCATATCTCGCGATCATGTCATCAAGCGAGCGAGCGGCTGTCTGGGGCCAGTGTTCGAGCGATGGGCCGGCGAGCTCGTGGTGAACCCTCTTGCCTACGTGGGGCACGGCCGCGGCGAGCACTGATGGCAGGGCGAACAGGAGCCTCATAATGCAGTTGACGAGGTCAAGAGCAAGTGGATGCACCGGCGGGAAAGGAACCGAGGTGACCGACATGCTACTTCTGAATCTTGCGCGGCAAACGGGTGCAGGCTCTGATGTCATATGCCATTATCGTGTGCTGTGTCGGGCGATTGGCCAATCGATTAACGCCAAGAGTGCTGAAACAGCACACGCAGCAAACCCAGCGATTCCCACAGGATCGCACAGAAGCGTGAGCATGGAAGCACTGCGAGTGAATCTGAGCAGCAAGGTCACGTCAGTCGGAAAAGCATGGCGGGAGCAAGCCCGACTCAAGACGACACGTCACGTCGAAGACAAAAAGATAGGACATGCTAGGCTGGTCGTGGCGGCTGTACGGCCCTTCTTATTGATCTCTCAATACCACAGCCCCGGCGGCTGTACGACCGTTAACAGTGATTTCTCACCACCGGGTTCGAACCCCCACCAACTGGCACAAATCTCCGACGATAAGTGGCGCGCTCCAGTTGGGTCACGTCAAGTTATGCAGGATAGGGGAATTCGATCTATTTGTCCTGCATACGGGAGCAAAACAGCCAGCCCGCCCTCCGGAAGCAAACGATGTTCTGCATGACTGCTACCTAGTAAGGCGCACAAGAGCAATTGTCTTGAAGAGTTCTGATTAGAGTAGCAGTATCTACAACGCTCCATCGTCTGTAACAAGCGGCGTGGGGTCTGGAGCACGTCCGTATATGTGAATGATTTATCGCATTTTGTCCAGGCTTGCAGTCTTATCACCTAACTTTGGGAATCAGGCCTCATCGAATGACATAAATACTGCGCGATCGCGCGCGACAAAGTGCCGTGCTCGTATGTTCGAATCCGACTGTTATCATACAGTGAGTGGTTCGATGTGGCGAGTTACCCGAGAGACGTGAGTGATGGATACCCGCGAGTGAGAGATAGAGCGTACAAAAATTAGGACATGCTAGGCTGGTCGTGGCTGCCGTTCGGCAATTCCTCGTGATCCACACGACCACAGTCCCGGCTGCCGTTCGGCAATTACCTGTGATTCACACAACCTGGTTCGAACCCCCATCAACCGGCACACATCTCCGACGATATGTGGCGCGCTTCCAGTTGAGCCATGTCAAGTTATGGTGGATATGGGAATTTGATAAATTTGTAAGGGATGCGGGAGCAAATTGCCCCTTCACCGTCGGAAGTACTTGCATATGTTCTGTCATAGCCACAGTTAGCCGTGGATACTATCCACATGCACATGAAGCGCCAAAGATTATTGTAATCCCATTAGTTATCTTGCGAGCGGCGTGAATCTGCATTGATCTGTAGCGGGCGCTTGCCGCAGCAATGGCGTCCAACAGGCTTTAGGATGCATGTCCGCAAAGTGCTGTGCGACCATCATCAGTACCCGTATGTTTTGGAAACCCAGAGACGGCCAGGTGCTGGGGAAGCAGCACACAACTGCAATCGCATCGGTGTGACTAGGGCATTGGTGAGCGTCACTCTCCTGCAGTTGAAGGACGACATGTGTACAGTAGGGGTCACACCACCCTGTAGCCTCATACCCTGCCGTGCACGAGTCTCGTTTGAAGGAACCACCGGACCTCGGTTCGAGTGAACTCACTCGCCATGGTCCCAACTAATCCCACCGAGAGAGACGCTGTATGCTGGGCGCAGGCTCGCGCCGTATTCTTTGTCACTGTAACCGGACGGCGTCCCTCCCACGCGCCATCATCCCCGACTACAATGTCGACCTTGTTTTCGACCATCTTCCCCAAACGGCGCATTTCCTCTTGCCCTATACCTCCGGCAAGCGCGCAATGGCGAGTGATACGATGCACCCGCCGGCGGTGTCATAACTTCCTTGCGCCAGGTCCGATGAAGAAGCGCATATGTGCTAGTGCTCCGGGTTCTTGTAATCAGACTCCCACCGCAACGCAGCGAACACGAGCGCAGACGGGCTGATCGCGGCTGTATCAATGTACAACATCCTCGGAGAGACGCGACGCGACAGATAGAGTGCGGTTCCGGAGCTGAGCTTGTGAGCGTCAGGGTGACTCAGATGCGCACAGAAGGAGGTGCCGATCAGCTGCACCATGCGCTGGAAAGGTGCTCACCTCACTTTATCACGATAGCAACCCGGGAACAGCGGAGTGCATCTGGCATCGGGGGCCTAGCGCAGCTTGGCAGAGGCTGGAATGGGGATGGCTCCAAGGGGTGGCGTTCCGCCTGGTTGAAACAAGGGGCTGCCGAACCGGAACCGACATGCTTACGTTCCCTTGCTTTCCTGCTCTGATTGGAGTCTGCATGACAGCTGTGCATGGGCGCACTGGTTACTGAAATGTTCAGGAGTATGGCGAGCGGGCAATGTCTTCGAAACGTCAGGGATGTTCGCGCATGGAAATGTCGACTTCCAACGGCCTAGCAGCATCCCAGTCCGTTCTGCACATCGCACGGGCGCACAGACTTGCGACAACATGAGCGCTGTACAACAAGGAACGACAGTGTCCCGTCGTCTTGATCAATGCGCATCACAAGCGCTGTGTTGACGGCCCCACAGTGGATGCTTAAATGAAAATAAGCTTGCCTGAGAGGGAAGGGGAAGTCTATTACGACATCCCGCTGCCGCGTCCTTGAACGAATGTCCTTCTGAGGCGCAGCATCAGCCAGCTTGGCGTCTCAACAAGGCAACTCTGGGAAGAGAGGCAATGCACTACGCACCGCCATACCGAGTACGAATGTGACTCACGCCCACACCAACATCTTCATCGTTTCTCTTTGTACTAGTATCTCGACTCACAATCTGGCGGCGCGTTCACGCTCCTTCACCCTCTCAATCGCTCTACATATCACCTATCACCCCATCATGAGGGCTAATTCCGCCCAGGCCCTCTCGCACACGCTCACACTCCTCCTGGCTGTCGCTGGGGCGGTGGGACATGGCGTCTTCCTGGCTGCTCTTCTCGAGTTCGACAATCCCGGCCCCGCGGCTATCGCGAGCGGTGCTCTCATCGGCTGGCTCGTGGTTCTCATCCTTTATTTGATAGCGACGTGAGTCAATCCCACCCCACCTCCTGCCCCTTCTCACGTCGCACCCGGGTAGGCGCTCACATCAGCATGCTAGCCCCGAAGAACTCGCGCTTCATTTGGACGATTACCGATGTCTGCGTCCTCCTCACGTTTGCGGCGGCGGGCGCCGCGGGGACGGTCTATCTCGCTATTGTGAACTGGGCGCACCTTGACCACTGCCATCACCGCCTGGGATCCGCTTGCGAAGCCTCAATTGCTGGAGGCGCTGTTAGCTGTGTTGTTGTCATTGCAGTGAGTACGCCTCTCGTGCCTGTCCTTCATGCCGGTTTGCTCGACCGGACCGAATATGAGCTTGTCACTCATCTCGGCGCCAGGCCCGGCGTCCCCTGCCAGCCAACTTTGAGTGTAAAAGGTTGTCGAAACCCATCCGATGAGCCTTTTGGTCAGCCGATATGCTCCGCATGATGAGCATCTGCTCCACATCATGCGGGCTGCAAAAGGCTGCCAGCCCAACAAAGCGCGCTAGGCGGGCTTCTGCATCGTCTTGCCTTGCAGGTGTCAAAGTGGTCCACGATCTGAGAGCCTGCTTGAAGCGTGGACATCCAGCAGACGCAAAGATGAACGGTGAATCGGACGTCGGAGAGGCAGCCTGCAGCGGGTGGGCGTCTGGGTCTACCAACTGCGAGATGGCCACGATTGCACAGGCTCTTAGACCCACTCTCAGGCCATTGTGGCGCTCGTGGATATTCAGTTTCGTCGTGGATGTCGAGCCTCCCCTACCAGGCTGAAACTAACCCCAGCTCTTGGCCTCGGCCATCACGGAAGCGTGGTACATCTCAAAGCACCATGGCAAGGAGGGCTGGTACCTCTCTCTCCGGTGGATTGGACAGAACACGGCACAGGCCGAGCAACTGAAACCGCTCATGTACACAACTCAGCCGCCCATGGCGCCCCGGCCGCGGCAAGGCACCTTCATTCCCCTCGTGGTTGCGGCCGTCCGGCGCTCAAAGGAGTACGAGGACCTCCCGCTCGTTTCGCCCTCCTCGGGATCGGCGCCGCTCCGCATCATGAACCGAACGAGCTCCGACACGGTGCGCCGCTCCGCCGAAACTGTGCGGGCCTCAACCGACACTCTGCGCTCCTTCCACACTGCTCGCCCCCCTTCCTCCCGCCGACGCTCCGGTTCGGGCTCATCCATCACTTCGGTGTTCAGCAGGAAACGGACGCCATCCGTGTTCAGCCACAGCTCGCGCCGATCAAGTGAGGAGGCCGCGACGCCGCTCGTGGGTGCCATGGAGTTGCCGGACGATCCGTTTGCACGGTCGCCCCGCAGACTCAGCGACCGTGTAGAGGAACTCGACGACGCCGTGTCCTTGCGCTCAGTCCCTGTCAATCCGCAGACGCGGAAGCGCGCGGGCGTCGCGCTGAATGCATGGCCCTGGCGACCCGAGTCACCCACCAGCGATACGGTCGGCACCGCGGTGTAGTACTAGGTGTAGCTTTATTTTGATGACATTGATGGACACTTCGGACTTGGCGGTGCGCCTGTACATTTCCGACCAGTTTCAGCAGCACCATGCTTCCCTGCCGTATGCATCTCATGGATTTGAGGCGCAAAGCGAACCCCGTGTTGATCACACACGCCGATCTTGGAACAGCGATCAAAAGCAAGGGGGTCCAGGGCTGTGTGCATCGTCCACCACGTGATGGTAGCGTTCTTCGAGTTTGAAGATCATCGCGCATCAGTTTGATCGCCTTCTTCCCTTTGCTGGATTACGTCGAGGGTAGGCGGCTGCGCGCCAGCGAGTCATCAATAGTGGTCCAGTGGTCCATGCGGTAGAGAGGCTTGCGCGATCATGCGCGATTGCTCATAGAGCGTTATCAGTAGCAAGACATGGCGTTGATGTGATTGCGGTCTAGACTGTTCGTGCTTGGTTACTACGTTGTGAGGCCCATGGAGCTGCACGGACGTTGGAAGCTGCATCATGCATCATCATCACCGTACCACTCATTGCACAAGAGGTGGAGCTCTTGGACAGTTTCTGAACTGTGATTGGATAGCCACTGGATCTCCAGCGCAGTCTTTTCTTTGGACGATGCCAAGGATGGATTAAGAATGTAAAGTTACACTCGGTGTCGGGACCCGAAGGTGTAGAATGGAGCGTGACAGCGGGCTGGTGCAGGGCACAGGATCGGCAGATCGCCAGAGAGTGCACCTCCGTTCCTCAATTTTGACTTCTCCGCCGTTCAACCATGTCCAACTGTGAGCTTTGAATCTCCCTATCCCCCAGCTCGAGCTAGTTGTATTCCCGCAGAATGGTGAGGAGGGGCAGGGATGGGATTGCTTGTTATCAGGTGACATGGAAATGAAGGGCGGAATGGCCCTGGCTGGGTTGCGTCATTTGGTGAATTCCTCAGAGATGCCGCCTCGGCCTGTGGCATCTCACTGACTTTGTTGCATTCATGGCTACGCCCGCTCTTCTGGCCTCCGCGCCTGCGCCGCCGGTCTTCCTCGTGCCTTTAAAGTAATGTCACGCCTTACTATCGCCTCCGTCTCCAATATGCCCCCGCGCCCACCCGCCTGTCGTGCTGCTTGAGCTCCCGCATCTTGGAGCCATCTTCACTGCTGCCACTCGCTACCACTGCACTCAATCATCTAGTCTCGAGTGCGACGGCCACCTCATGCGCGGGGCTTTCGAGCCTGGTCCGCCTCCGACACCGCTATCAAGATGAAACCAAGCACTGTGCTAACAATCCTGTACGGCCTCAATCTCGTCACCGCCCTCGTCGGCGCCGGGTTCCTGGCGGCCTTTCTGGGTCAGCTCTACGCAGACGGTGCGTCTACTTGACAGTCTTCCGAACTGCCGACGCGCAAGCTGCAGCTGACAGCAGATCCACTCCTGGTGTTCCAATTGCCCGTCGCCATCTGGGTAAGCGGCGTCGCGGCCTTCTTTGGTCTGCTCATCGCATACCTGGTTGTCTGGTGCGTGACGTCGCCACATGGCCGCCGCCCGCTCCTGCTCACGAAAGGATCATTTTCCGCGTCAGCCACTTCGAGAGCGGCTTCTCCACGGTTGTGGGGGACACATGTGCTATCCTCTTGTTCCTGCTTGCCGGCGTCGCCAGCGCCGCGGGCTTGACGAGCGAGAACGTCTTCCGCCTCAATTGCCGTGAACAGCCCATGTGGTCCGATGTCCTTGCCCTCTGCCTGTATGTCATGCGCCCGTCACCTGCGCCCGTCACCTGCGCCCGTCGCCTGCGCCCTCACGATGCTGACCGCAGCCCGGCCGCCATCGGTGCATCCATCGCCTGGGGTCAGGTCGGCCTCCTCCTCCTCACCTTGGCCTACATTGTGATTGCGATGCGGGACTACCCCGACGGATGGAAGGAGTCCATGTACAGTCTGAGCAATCCCCGGAGAGTTAAGCCTATAATCCATCTTGACAAGACCGACACAAACTCTCCCGCATCATCCTTCGGCTCGCCCTACAGCACTATGGAACGCAGACCTCTCGTCGGCGTCATACCAGATTACCCTCCGCGCGGCGCCCCCGGACGCGATCACACGCATCGCCCGTCAGACTCCATCTCCTCTGGTTCTTTCATCTCTTCCATGTCTCCCCTGTCACCCGCGTCGCCTCCCTCGCCAAGTGATAGCTGGCCATCGCGCTGGGGCACACCGGCTCCTCCGCGGCCTGGCCGACTTCCAGCGGGCGGCATGTATGCGGCCTACGCCGATGCCTTGCCCACAAACTCGTACTGGATCGATGATCAGGCAATCCGACGACCTCAACCCTCTCTCGAGATGGACCGTTTGAACTACCGCCCATCAGAGGATCTTGAACGCCTGGTCACCCCCTCCTCACCTCCGCGCTCGCGCCTCGCACCGAGAGGACACTGCGCCAATGTCTCTAAACCCTCCCTCCGCTCTCTGAGCACTCCCTCCTCGCCAGGCCGTCTGGTAAATCCCCCGCCACTTCCGATGCTCCCCACACACGCCCAACATCTTCAGACGCCGCCATACGAGCCAGGATTCGGCGGGACGCGGCCGCGCTCCGACTCCGCTTCCTCTCAGTTGTCTCGCATTGAGGCAGATTACAAGGCCGCTGCGCTTGAAGCTCGCCCCCTTTCACGAGACTTTGAGACAGTTTCAGTAAAATCAAACGCCCCATCCTGGCTGCAGTCGCCCGGCATCTATCCGCCGGAGAAATATACATACACGTACGAAAAGCCTCAACCTCTCACACCGCCGCCCCTCACGCCCCCCATGTCCACGCCAGCGAGGTGCACGACGCCCACGGAGCTTAAGACGCTGAGAGAGTTCTCGCACTACGGATCAGGACTGCCCCCGCTACCGCCCGCGTGGGGAGTGGACGAGTCCGCTCGGGAGCAGGAACACCAGCGCCAGCTCGAGCGGGCGAGAGAGGCAGAAATTGTGGCGAGGGCACACCGCAAAATGAGCCTTGAGGTCGAGAATGCAGGGCCTTCGCGACATGGACCATCGCGTCGCCCGTCTGAAGTGCCTTCGTCGTCTCCACCCAGACGGCCTCAGAGAACAGTTAGCGACTACAGCGAGTTTGGATATCCAAGCGAAGCGAGACGTCCTCGTCGGACATCAAAACTCCCCCCGCCCATTCTCCCAGGGGAGGCGCTGGCGCTGCCCCTCCCCCGCCCGGAGTGGGAACCCCGAGTCAAGCGACCACCGGGGTTCCAGTTGTAATCTACACGGACACTTCTACTGGTATATAATGAAAACAATTGTGCATACAGCGAGCTGTGTGGAATGAGGGCTAAGTGACTGAATCATGAATGCCCTGCAACTCCTGCGATGTGCCAGATCCCCGGCGGATGCGGATCTGAGACATATCAATTGATTGAATGCCGCTTCGCGTTTCTTATACCCTTCGCGTCGCTTCCGGCTTTTGCATCTCATCCTTCTTCTTCTTCGCCCATCTATCCATAGCACTCGAACTCTTGATCTCCTGATTCGTTCAGACTCTCTCACAGTCATGGGTAACTCTCCTCCCGCAGACTCGAACGCGGTCGACGCCATTGCCGTCAAGGTGCCTGCTCCCGAGGCCGCGAAGGCTCAGACCAACAAGCCGCTCCCAAAGATGTCCCGCACCCAGAACACGCCAGCATCGGCCGGCCTGACCCCGAAGGCTCGAGTCGTACCGGCCAAAAGGAGTGTGCTGTCGCGCCTTGGGAGTGCTGTTCTCAACATCGCCTTGTTCTGCGTCGGCACGTTCTTCCCCGAGACCGCGACGAAGGGTCTTCGTCTCGTTCGTGTGTATCAGCTGACTCAACCAACGGCCGAGCTAACGGCAGCGTTCAACCCGGAGCTGGGCATCTACGTTATGATCCGCACGTTGAGCTACACGGTCGCCCTCGTCGCGTCGGTCGCGTATGTTCATCCATCTCACCATATTTGACCTTCCTTGACTCCCACTGACACCAGCGCGCTCAAGCTCGTCTTCGGGGTCCGCCCAACTCGCATGGTTGTCGCCCAGCCTCTTCCTGCCACCATGTGGGGTATCGCCGGCAGCTGGATATGGGTTCTTAATTCTGTCTTGCGCTATGGCCAACCCATCACGCCCGACGACAAGCCGAAGCTCTGGAGCCTGGCGGGTATGACCGCGGCGAGTATCGGCCCTCTTCTCATGGTATGAGATTACCGGCATTGCGTTGACGATGTTAACTTCAGGCATACGTTGTTCTGCGCCGTGGCACCGGGCGTTAATCCTAGGCTCCATCAGGAGCCCTCGGCGTCCAAAGGCGAGAGTGGATAGGCGCTGGAACCGTGTAGATGTTGCGGGGCAGTCGGACCAGCATGCATTATGACAACCACGATGGTGGCTCTCGTCTACAGCGCGCATCCAGTGCTGCTTGAACGCAGTCAGTTGTGCTGGCAAAGTACATTGGCTTGCCCACTCCGCCAGGGCCGTAGTGCGCGTACTTTGCAGAGTTGGTCGCGACGCTTTGTGCGAGCTCGGGTACGACTGGCGCTTTGATCATGCACCAGCATGTGTCCTCAACAATAGTTGCGCCGAATGTATGCAGCGGCTCGAGGAAACCCCTTTCCTCAGCCTCTTTGACCACATGCCGGCCAGCCGTCAGAACGAAGGGCACCTCTGCCCGCTTCCCGCTTGCGAGTAACGGACGGACGAGCTCGGCCAGCTCCCCAAACTCGTCCACAGCCAGGTGGGGATTCCCCAGCGCAACGAGACCGACGTCCTCCTCTTGCGCAGAGTTGAGACTCTCCCACGCCCCTGCCAAATCGGCGCGCCCGATATTCACCGTCCGCTCGACGTTGAACACAACGCGGGCCGGCGCCTCGGGCGTCACTCCACGGATGTGGAACATGGGCGAGCCGGAAGACGTGCCAAACGCTGCGCTGAACGCTTTGAGGTCGCTCTGCCTGGGACGCAGATTCTCGAGACCACACACGACGACTACGTCATGCCCTGCGGCCCCTCCGACGCAGTACCCAAGGAGCGGCCAGAACAGGCTGCCCGCCGCTCCGCCAATCTTCAGATCCGCATCAACGTCGACGCGAGCACGCGGGAGCCTGGCCGCATCAACATGGGCGCCTGCAAGCGGTGCGCGGCCCGTCAGCGCGACGGCGACATCAAGCATGTCAGGATACTTGAGCGTGCGCGCGCCCAGCACGCTATTCGCGTACACGACGGCGTTGCTCTCCGCCCACCCTACGCTCTCGCCGACGCCGGGCGGCGACGCGAGAAAGTACGGCGCGCACGTTCTGGACGTCCCGTCCGCCCCGAGCCTCTCGTATGCCGCCGCGAGGGCGAGCGCAGGTTCCGCCTCGGCGGCGGGGACACCGAGCGCCTCCCACTCCCGGGGCACCGAGACGGCGTTGAGCGTCGTGGGGACGGCGAAGCGCGCCCCGAGGCCCGCAAAGTGCTGCGCAAAAGATAGCGTAGCGGGGCCAACGTAGATGACCGCGTCGATATGCGCTCGCGTCACGGAGGTGAGCGAGGTTGCGCCATACATTCGGGCCATGGAGACGACGAGGTCCATCGCCTCTTTCGCGCCCTGGCCCGCCTTTCCAGATAGCATGTCCCGGTCTGCGGGGGTGAGCTCAACCTCGGCGGCCAGACTATCGAGGGCAGCCAGGGAGATCGCGAGCGTCCTGCCCGGCAGGGCGGCATTTAACATCCCACCTTTAGAGGTGGTGGAGATAGTGACGGAGGTCGCGGCAGCGAGGCGCGCAAACCGCTCCCGCCCGACGACTGCAACGGGGATGTCTTGCCCAAACACCGTGCCCGCTACGAGTGCGCCGAGCGCCATGATCTCATCCGGTTCGCCGAGAACGAGCGCCGCCGGCCCGCGCCCGGACATGATGCACTCGAGCACGCCGAGCGAGCCGGAGCAGCTCCCACGGCCCGCGGGGAGTGCGAGGACGCGGCCCGCCATGCTTTGGCCCGCGAGGGGGTGGTGGACATCCACGATGCGGCCGGTCGCGGGGTCCGTGCCGCCCCAAAAGGAGAGAGGCGTGTCCGAGTACAGGAGGGGAGCGGAGGCGGAGCCGGCGACAAGCAAGTGCGGTGGCCGCCGAGTTGGCATACCCTCATCGCCGCAGGCTGGAGTTAGCTCCGGCGTGCGAACGCCTACCATCGCTTGTGGTGATGGTGCACACCGTCATTGCGTTCGTTAGTGTCAAAAGGAGACATCAGGCGACAGAATGGGCAAGATGAGAGTTGCCGACCGCTTACCGCCGGCATTCATCGGCCAAGGGTTGGCCGGTTGGCCGCGGCCAACCGCCTTCGGTGTCTTAGTCTTAGGCTCAGAGGAGGGAGACGCAAATGCGTTGCTCCTCTCCTCCCCCGTGCAAATCATGCATGCCAGATTGCAAGAACCTGCCGACATTGTTCTTTGGAAATCAGTAGCGTTCAGATAGGGCGGAATGGTGCGGAAACGCGACAAGAGCCAGTGCACCATAAGCGTCACCGTAACTGTTACTCGCAGTCCAATCGACCTGCGTTTCCTTGCTAATCGTCGGCTTTTTGTGGTTGTAGCTCTCAACGCCAGAACGTACAGAATAGATGTCCGAGAGTATGGCCATACTATATATGGGCACCAGACGACGCACGGACATCATTGAATCGCCTCGTTATATCAGTCGGTAGATTAAATGACTCTTAATGCGGATCTTTGGGTTCCGGTTGATCATTCGGTCGTGGGTTCGAGCCCCACACGAGGCTTCTCTTTTGCCTGCCCCCCATCTGCGTCTGCAGCGATGCTCGTTGGAGCGCGCGGAAGGTGCTGGGAAAGGCGGAAGACAAATCTGCGGATGAGCGGAAGCAATTTGTTTGGTTCCGGACCATCACCGGCCCGACATGCTTATCACCCTAGCCCTCCATCCTCGCTTCCTTTCTGCTTTACAAGATAATGGCGGTCAAAGCTACATTTTCCTCTATCTCTCAGACTGCACATGAACCTGCGTCTGCCAAAAGCCTACTTGCGTTCAGGCAGGTCACAATAGCCATCTCTCCCGCCCATGTAGACTTGAATTTATTTGCGCATTTAGTCGGTGAATACCATCAGGCGCTCCGACAAGGGCAGCTTCGGCTTCTCTGCAGGGTGTTGCACAATCTCGCCGAATGGCATTATGGCTGTGCACTGGTGTCAGCGTTCTGCGCGATCTGCGCCTTATGAATATGGATTGGCAGCTTCATGGCTGGCCTCTTGCGCCCACCTACCTCCCAGTCCTCCGGAACCTCGATGACCTGGCGCATGGCTGCGTCTGCCCCCGGCGTAACCTGCGAGAAGTGCTGAAGGTTGGCACCCAGCCCCTCGGTCGCGAGCGCGGTCCACACAGTGTGCTGCAGGATGCCCGCGCCGTTCTTGCTCCACACCGCCAGCTCATCCTTGCGGTTCGGCATCTTGGTGCACCACTCCCCGAGCGACTTCTTGTCATCAAAGAACACGACGGTAGCGTACGCGCTCATGTACGCGTGCTCCCACTTGGTGCGCTGCTGCGCTTCCAGCTCAGCTTGGGTCAGCCCCCCCCCGCGGCGAGCCGGGCTGAACGCACCGTTCGGAAACGTCTTCTGGTTCTCGACCCACATCGCGTTCCAAAGGCGCTTGTGTTTGTCACCGAAAACAAGGGCCACACGCAACGTCTGCGAGTTGTACGCCGTCGGCGCGAGTTTGATCGCCGTCTCCACTAGTTCGCGAATCGCCGCGTCCGAGATGGGTGAAGACGCCTTGAGCGCATACACGGAGCGGCGAGCCTTGAGGGCTGCAAAGAACTGCGCAGACGAGATGGCAGAGGTGCTCATGCTGTCGATGGGGATGTGTCAGGTATCAACTGTGCCGTGGTGAGGTAGGGTGAAACGAGTGATGTGCAAGACGAATGGCTCGGCCTCAGACGCGGGTTGAGCCGTGTCGATATCGTCAACTTGGTTTAGCCGAAGAATGTGTTCTGATGGCCCACTCCAGGGCCTGGTAGCTGAGCTGTACAAGCATGGTTAGCCTTTGGACAAGCACGGGTGCCAATCCTCGGGCGCGCGGTGAGGAGCTGGCCTGTATTCTCAGCATCGTCTCTGTTCGTATAGTGGCTAGTATGCTCGCTTGTCATTGAACTGACCGCGGGAGACCGGAGTTCAATTCTCCGACAGAGAGCATCACAAAAGTGTAGTGTAACGTTTTTGCCTGTTCTACAACTGTGTGGGACGCAGAGACTAGCTGTGGCTGGTTGATGCATATGATACATCCCATTTAACCGAGAATACAATACTGTTTCCCCCTACGCCGCCTCCGCTGCCTGCTTTTCAATGGTATAACGCTCACCGAGCTTGCCCTCGCGCTCCAGCAAGATCTGCAGTGCGATAAGCTTGGAAAATGTGCGGGATGACGCGAGGTTGCCGACATTGAACATAACGTTGGGTATGCCGCAGTCGCGCGCGATGCCGCGGATCTCGCCCTCGACGTCTGTGCCGTACACGGTGCTGAGCTGTGCGGCGGCCTCCTCTCCGAGCGCGCGCGCCACAGTGTTCTTGTACCCGCCGTAGCCAGTGGCGAAGACGACCTCGTCGAACTCAGCCTCGCCGTCGGCAAAGCGAACGGTCTTGCCGGGCCCAAAGCTCGCGATCTGGCCCTGCCGCACCTTGATCTGGCCCTTGATGATCATTTGCGACGCACCCGTGTCGAAGTAGTACCCGCCGGCCTTCTCAACGGCAAGCTGGTAGAAGCCCGCTCCGTCTGGCCCGGGGTATGTGCGGAAGCCGGCCTTCTTAAGCCCGGCGAGCAGCTCTGCGTCGACCTGCGACAGCCACGCTGTCGAGCGCTGCTGGAATGCCCGCCCGACCGGGGTGGGCAAGCTGCGCGCCGTCATGTCTGCCAGCTCGATGTCGGTCTTGTCATTGAACAGGCCAGCCTGGAGTACGTGCGTCCCGTTCTGGATAGACATGATGAAAGTAGGCGAGCGCTGCAGCATCGTGACTTGTGCCCCGTTCTGCACGAGATCCATGGCAATGTCGTGACCTGAGGTCGCTGCGCCAACGACGAGCACGCGCTTGCCGGCGCTTGCGCCACCTCCAGGGTGCCACGAAGAGTGCAGGATCTTTCCCTCCCAAGTGTCCTGGCCCGGCACGGGGGGCGGGAGGCGGGCCTCACCTCCAGCGATACCCGTGGCCATAACAACATGGCGAACGTGCATGATGCGCTCCGTCACGGTTCCGTCTGGCTGCGTGCGCAGTACCATGACATCCCACAGCTCCGAGTCAGGGTTGTAGCGCGTGCGAGTGGGGTCAGTGGTCGCCTGCGTCCACACGTTCAGGTCGAGGGCATCGGTGTAGTTCTCAAGCCAGTTCGCGAGCTTGCCGGCTGGAATAAACTGCGGCCACGTCGACGGGAAGGGCATGAAAGGCAGGTGGTTGGTGTAGACGGGGTCATGGAGAGATAGCGAGCTGTAACGCAGCCGCCAGTTATCGCCGATGCGCTTCTCGCGGTCGATGCAGAGCGCGTCAAGGCCAAAAGACTTGCACTGCGCGGCCACCGTGAGGCCGTTGTGCCCTGCCCCAACTGCTGTTAGCCAGAACGGACGCCAACTCACTGATGAGGACGTCGGGGTCACCGCCCTCGTGCGCGGTCTCGCGCGCGCGCCGAGCATCAAAGGGCTCTTTGTCGTTGTGCGTGCCGCGCGGCCGCGCCTCCCCGACCTGCTGCACATGCCCGTGCACGCCGGTAAGAGTAGTAAACAGCGTGAAGATCTTCCAGCCGTCCTTGTACGTCAGGCGGGCGAGAGCATACGCTGGACCGAGCACAGACGAGAACGTGAGGTGCACGGTAAGGAACGTAAGGTCTGGGAAAGGGGTGTCAACCTTAGCACCGGCGGGAGCCAGAGCGAAGTCGGCTGCCTGTGTCCGGTCGAAAGTGGCCTGGGTGTCAGTGCAGCTCAATACTCCATCGTAATGGTCGCACCTTCGCCGCCTGGGCAATCCGCTGGGTGCCAGCATTGGTGCGAAAGTCGCGCGTAAAGACGAGCGCGTCACGCCAGAAGCCATCGGGATGGAACAGCGCCGCAAACGCGTCCGCATCGCCGGACGAGATCGCCTTGTTCAGGCCGGCGATGAGATTGTCGGCCTCAGCGGCCGCGTCAACCTTGGGGGGAGGCACATATCCCGCTTGGTGCGTAGGAAGAGAGAAAGGCGCAGAGGCCGCTTTGAGCTCGCCGACTGTGCGTGTCATGGTGGGTGTGGGCTGACATGCTTGAGGCGGAACGCTTATAAGGTAGCGGGGGACCGTGGGGTGATAACCGACCGGCGGCTGGAATGACCGAGATTACCGGTTGAGGTCGGAGATGCCCACTTTCGGCCGCCGGCAATGCGCCTCTCGGCAGTAACACCAATGAACGATAACGAGCTCGTTCACGCACAATCCATCGCCTCAGCTGCCGGCTCGGGCCCCGCGGGCCATTGTTCCCCGTGACTACGCTATGGGAGTGCTCACGCTCATCGGCTGCACCCCCTTGATGTGTTTGAAGACCCAGCGTCCACTACCAGCCGGTTGCGATGGTAATTCAGTCTCACTAACGCCATTGCCGTCAGATCACTAGCTCGTCCCTCCAAGCTTGCTGTTAAAATGCAGTTAATGCAACAAAATGCTATAGTCCTACTCTAGCCATGCGATGCTAGGAACCGAGAATGCGACCTGACGATCACTTGTTCCACCCAGCGGGCGGACCAGCCGAGGTCGGGCTCATGGGCGTGATGTCACGCGGTCGAGGCGCGAGCGTAGGCGTGGTAGGGGCGCCAGCGGCGGTGCGGGCACCGGGCGTGGCGAAGGATGGGGGACCGGCGACAGTGGGCGAGCGCGGAGTCTGGTCGAGAATTGCAGCACCGCCTGCGCCAGCGATAGCGCCGGTTACCGTAGCAGCTGCGGGCTGGATGAAGCCCTGGCCAGCAGAGACGAAGTTTTGCCCCGCAGCTGGGATGTTGGTGCCGGCGAGGTGACTATCTGCGACAGCTGCGGCGCGGTCAACGCGGCCCTGCACGTCGGCGGCAAGACCGTCAAGACCCAGGCCGGTGGGAGCCTGCGCCTGGGAGGGAACCTGAGGGACACTGGGAGCCTCAGCCTGAACGCTAGGCGCCTCTGAAAGAGTAGCGTTCAGCTGGGCGGTGGGAACAACGGGCGCGGCGGCAATAGGCTCGCCAACGGGGACAGCAGTCGGGGCAGCATTGACGAAGTCACGAGCCTGAGGCACGGACTCGTCCACCTTGGGCTGCGATGCCTGGTGCGCTACATAACCCGCTCCGGCGGCCAGAGCACCGGCACCGAGGCCAGCAGCAGCGGTAGTGGGGAAGGACGACCCAGCGGGTGCCCCCTGGGACACAGAGGGGACAGCAGGGGCGGAAGGAGCGGAAGGAACTGACGCCAGCGTCGGGTCCAAGGGGCGCATCTGGGGTGCGCCGGGGGAAGTCGGGATGCCGCGAGCGGGACGGCCTGGGGAGGTCGGCAGGCCGCGAACTGGAGCTCCAGGCGACGTCGGCAGGCCCTTGGTTGCGCGGATCGCTGGCTGGGTGTTGGAGAGGTCGATGCTGGTGGGAGCGTTGGCGCGCTTAAGACTCGAGTTCGAGGGCGTGCGGAATACCTGCGCACCGGCGGGAGTCACTGCGGCGGCGGGCGGCTGGGTCACCGCTCCGTTCTCGGGCACCTCTCGGATCGTCGATGGCGAGTTCATGTATAGCGGAGAGTCGCCGCTGGCAGAGCGATCTTTGCTGTGCATGTACGCACCGGTTGCGAGGGCACCTGCACCTGCACCCGCCAAGCCCGCAGCAGCAGCAGTGCCAGCGTTTGCCAATCCAGAGAATGCAGAGGACGGGGCAGCAGCGAGGTTCTGCGCATTGCCGAGCTGCGCCATGCTGGGTTGAGCGGCGACGACGTTTTGCAGACCAGCACCAGTCAAGTTCTGCGCACCCGGGACATTGGCAGGGAGGCCTTGCAGAGAACCAGCGCCTGGGATGCTGCTAGCCATGCCCTGGAGGTTGGAGACGCCTGGAACGTTTGTCGCGAGATTCGAGACCTGCGGCATTCCGGGGATGTTCGATGCCATGCCGCCAGCAGTGGAAGCGCCCGGCACACCAGCAACCATACCCTGCAGATTGGACGCGCCAGGAATGTTACCAGCCATGCTTTGAAGATTCGCAGCACCAGGGACATTGCCGACCATGCCTTGCAGGTTTGAAGCGCCGGGAACGTTGCCAACCATGCCTTGGAGGTTTTGCGCGCCAGGAATGTTGCCCGCCATGTTCTGCAGATTCGCACCACCCGGCATCTTGCCCGCCAGTCCTGCGATGTTCTGACCGCCCGGAATCATGCTGGCGAACCCACCAAAGCCACCTCCGGGGGCGGCCCCGGGACCCGCATCAGCGGCAGGTGCGCCGCCAAACCCGCCAGTCATGCCCTGGAGGTTGGTGCCCGACAGGTTTTTTGGAGTGATATTGCCGAACTTGGAGCCAAGAAGACCGCCCGCGAGGCCAAGGAGACCGCCACCAGCAGCGCCAGCAAGGCCAGCGAGGCCACTACTGCTGCCCTTGTCAGCGGCGCCGCCAGCGCCAGCTGAGCCAGGCATCTGCGGCTGCTCTGAGAGCTTATTCAGAGATGCGAAAGAGTTAAAGCCATGCTTGGTGGTCGACGGCGATGGGGTACCGTCAGACAGGTGGTCGAAGCTCTGATTGTTCTTAAGCGGCGTGTACTGCGCGCCCGCGCTCTTGGCACCATAGTTGTACGACGGAGCCGGGGTGACAGCGCGCGAGTCGTACTGCGGGACAGCGGTGCCACCAGACCCATCGCTAACCTTGTGGGAATGCGAGTTGATAGGGGTGATTCCATCAGCAGTGCGGTTCTTCTCGTTCAGCGCTTCGGGATCACCCTCGATCTCGCCTGAGGTGCGCGTAAGGTTGGTCGCGACCTGCGCGAGGGCGGCACCGGGTGCTGCGGCTGCGACGACGGGGTTCGCACCCAGCTCCTTGCCAGTGAGCTTGGAGACGATCATCATGACAGCGCCGAAGACGACACCGAACAGCGCAAAGGCGAGACCGAGGACGGAGATGGCAAAGTCGGCGGGCGGCTTCATCTTGCTCACGATGCAGAGGTAGCTCGTCCGTACGCGGCTTATCTTTGGCGCGTCAAAATCGCCTCCATCAAGGAACGACTGGGCGCCCGTCAGCTGGGTTAGGCCACCCGTGAGGTTGAAGTTTGGGTCCTCAGTCGTTGTGATGACGGCCTGGCGAGCCGTGCTGTTCACAAAGACATTGTTCGTCTGATTGACAGCAAAGTCGTATCGAGCGGCGGCGAAGAGTGACTGGATGAAGTTGTTCGTGGGGACGTTCCACGCCTGCGGGTTGTACATGGTCGTCTCAACGGAAAGATTCTGGAACATGTAGAAGCCGACCGAGTCGTTGCTGACACTCAAGGGCGACTCGTAGCACCCCTTGCGGTCATCGGTCGCAAATCCACAGTTGTTCTGGTTGACCACGCGGATTCCGCGAATCACCGGCATTTCGGCAGTCTGGTACTGGGCACGCTGTCGCCTCCACAGATCAGCGGCAAGGTTGTTCAAGGCCGATTGCAGATCGTTGCGCTCCTTGTACTCGGACTTCATTACGAGGTCGTTCGTGAACCATAGGGAGTTGTCGAGCAGGCGGCTCTGATCAACCGAGTAAGTGTTCTGGGAAAGCAAGAGCGCGGGCCACTCAGGGTCAATGCAAGTTGCATACAACTTGACGTCGACCTGAGCCTGGAAGAGGTCCATGTCGATCGACACTGGCGTTAGTAACTCCTCTAAAAAACGACGCGATGGGAGATGCCACAGCAGGTAACCGGATGCTTCCAGTGTGAGACTCACGTCCAGAGAGGTCGCAGTGCTCGAGCTTATTGTCTGCGTACTGCTGCCCGGTGCCGTTGAAGTTGACCATGGTGCTATTGTTGCCCACCTCGGCCATAGTTACGTTGAACTGCTTCCCCATCTCCCAAAGGAACACGCCGTTAGTCGTGCGGAACTGCTGGCCAGGGTTGATGCTGATAGTCAGTAGCTGTTCACTGCAATTTATGTGAAACACTCACTAGGCAGGCTGGCAGAGGTTGCCCGTACGGCCCGGAATGAATTTGGAGAACCAGTGGTCACTGTCGGTGAGGTTGTAGTTGGGCGAGAAACGACTCGTGGCCTCGTAGCCAGCCGTCGCAGCTAAACTTGTCAGCAATGTCCATGACGAATGTAACGGTCCGGAGGGACGGGGAGCGGAATGCAAGCGCCCCAGGTCGCGTGACGCTCTGACTCCGCCGCGCACCAGCCATCTGGCCCTCATCATCGTTACTCACCTGCCCACACGCCGACGAGGGCGAGGACGCCTAAGGCAAGCAATGCACTGCCCAGGATCTCGGCCCATTTCTTGCCCCGGATCTGCAGGTTAACGTTGCGCCGCACGACGGTAGTGTAAGGCTCACATGGTTGCCCGCAGGGTGCTCGCCGAGCCTGTCGGCGATCTTGTCCGCAAACCTGCCCATGGCGTGCGCAAGCAAGGGGTGAAGAGGACTCTGATACTACAGAGCTTCAATGGAGGAGATGGGAGTTGGAATACACGAAGGAGAGGGCGCCGATGATGGCGGAGAGGAGGGGACGGAGAAGGAGAGGAGGGGGAGTCGCAGGCGAGTAGTGAAGACGCGGTGATACAGGGAACGAGGAGGAGCAAGAAGAAGTCGGACGGCGTGAAGAAAGATGCGGAGACGAAGGCAGGAAATGTGCGTATGACGAAGACAGAAAGAAGCGCACCCAGCAGAATCGAGAGTTTGAGGATGGAAGGTCAGAAGCACAACACCGCTCACTGTCGGAGCACCTGCTGCACTCACTCGTTCACTCACTCTACGCCCAACACCGAAGCACGCCCTAACACGCTAGCAATTTTCCCTTGTGCTGATCCAGGCCCGGATTTGTTCCGGTCTTCTTGGCTCGAGGGCGGTTGGCTTGGCCTTGCGAGAATGCTTGCATCATCCTCACCTGGGCCGTGCAATCTGCGATAGAGGCTAGGGTCTACAGTGGTGCACTAACCCCTATTCCGCCCACCCCCTCCCCCCGCACTTCCTAGCGCTCTCCCAGGAGCCTGAGCGGAATGGCCGCTTCGACCTCTCTCATCCTGGGCGGAGTGTTATTACACGTACAAGACCCAAGGCGAGGTTGAGGCCACATGCCGTAGGAGATCGGGAGGACTCAATGCTCTATGCCCTGACTGACCAAAAGTCTATTCACGCATGCACTAAATCGTCGCACCCCCGAGTTCACCTCACACAGCCTAGCACTCACTCACACCAACTGCAGCCTGTCTTTCAGGTGACCTGCTTTAGTGAAGCGAGCGCATGGCACTTTGACTGCGCATTAAATCGGCTGATCACTGAGGCTACACGGCGCGAGGTTTAACATGCCTGTTGGAGGTTGATCGGCCGCAACTCTCCAATGTTCCTGATCAGTCCCTGTTCACTCACATCCAGAATTTCTCCCCCTCCCGCCGTCTGCCTGGGTGAGACTCGACATCCCGTCGCGGCCAACAGACGCCGCCTCGCGACCCGCGCTACTCTCGTGATCTCCTGAGTCCCAGAAGCGTATCTCACAAACGTCAGAAGGTCAAGAATATCGCACTTCAGCGTCATGAAGGGACCAAACGCCTTGGTGACCATCGACATGACCGTGCACGGTGCACGGTGGGCAGCAGGTGCAGAAGAGCGGGTCAGCTCTCCTTCCAACTCTGGTACAGCTCAGTTCATATGTACCGTGACAACGCTAGATGGGGTCGGCTAAGACCGGCAAGTGACGCACAGGTCCAGTTGTCATCGCTCCACTGCACCGGTGCCCTGCGACTCTGCTGCAAAAGCGCTCTGATCCGACATCCCGACATCGCAGGCACAGATGGGTATCTCATGGAAACGGCAAATCTTGGAATGGGGCACGGCGGAGCTAGATTCCTCCGACACCGTCACCAACAAGAATCGTATGGTCTTTTGGCTGCAGATTGTACAGTAGACAGGGCGAGTGTGATGTGGATGTGGGTAAGGCGTCTGGTATCCGAGTAGAATAAACACACTCCAGCATATCCAACAGGATGTCTGCGGGACGCCCTGGCCGCCCTCCCCTACTGCAAGAGGAACGCACCCGAAAGAACGGGACCGAGCGGCGGAAACTCCATCTTATGCTGTCAGGCGGGCGTGTCAGGGGAGTTTCTAGACCGTCATCAGCGAGCAGCTCGGACAAGTCTGGAATGATTCGGTTCCACAATAGTCCAACTGCCTTGCCACAGACTGAGACAAGCAGAGCGCTGAGCGTCGACTGCCTCACGAGAGGTTTCACCGAGGTATGTACATGATGTGGATATCCATATTGGTCTCTGTTCGTATAGTGGCTAGTATGCTCGCTTGTCATCAACTGTGACCGCGGGAGACCGGAGTTCAATTCTCCGACAGAGAGTACCTGTGAGCCAAAGCTCGCTTTTTGGTGTTTGAGGGGCCCCCTGGAGAAAGTGGATGACAGCTCAAGACAGCCATAGAGTAATTGCCCTCAGACTTTAACACTTAACCTCAATTGACACCGGAGAGACGACCGTTTCAAGCCGCCTTCGGAGGTGGAAGAAGATGCCCTTCCCCGTCTATCGGAGACGGTATGTGTCAGCGAGGCTGTGTAAGAACAGCTTCTTCCAACTACTACATCAGTGGTGAAACGGTATCATGCGTGCTTGCCATGCACGCGGCGGGGGTTCGACTCCCTCCTGATGTATCTTTTGGTCTCGTGGCTTCGTAGGCGTCGCGGGCTGGAGCTACTGACGGGAGTCCAAGACTAACTTGAGGGTGCATCAACGCAGGGAATGGGAAGATCATTCCGATAGTGCACTAACTTCGAGCCTTACGCCTTCGGTGGGAGCCCGGTGCCGTTTGTCTGGCGTAAACTGTCTCGAAGGCGTTCATGAGCGCATTCCATAAATTGAGCGCCGTTAGTGAGCAGTGTTAGGATCAAGATATCATTGATAAGTCGTTGTGTAGCGACCATCTCGCACCAGTTTCAAACTTGCTGCAGCGTGAGGACCAAGATTGACCCTGGCCCCGGTTACGAAGGACTTCTGAACGATCTCGTCTCTCAAATGCACTACTTCAGGTGACGCTCGACAAACGCCATGCACGGCTCAACGTTCTTCTTCCACCCTTCATCTTCTGGGTTCTACAGTCAGCCTGCTTTACCGGGGTGAGTACTTACCTCGAACCCAAAGTCGTAGACGTGTCCCTTGCCCTCGTCATACACCTCGGCGATGTCGACATCCATCTCGACGAGACGCTCCGCAAACTTCCAGCTCTGTACCACGGGAACGATGTCGTCCCCGGTGCCGTGCATGAAGAATGTGGGTGGGAACGTCTTCCGCTTCTGCAGAATCTGGTAGGGCGAGTGAGATCGGACATGCTCGCGAAACGCTGCGTCTTCTCCAAACTTGCTGCGGCGGTACACGATCTCCATGAGGTTGCGATTCTTGGCCACGTACGAGTAAAGGTCGGAGCGCACGAACTGGGCTCGCGTCGGCTCCCAGTCCGGTAGCCCAAAGGCGGCGCGTGCCTCCTCGAGCGGCACGTTTGGTGGCATCTCCCCGGCCCACGGGTTCTGCACGACTGCGTTGCTCGCGTCCCAGTCCTGTACGAGATCAGCGAGCTCCTCGTCGTTTGACACGACGTAGTCATCTGGAGGTGGAGCCCGCGACGCCTCATCGTCCAGATAGTGTTCGGTGTCAGTGAGCCCGTAAACGTTGACAAAGGCGCGGGGCTTGTGCTCAGCGTGCAGCGCAACCATGGCGGCAAGCGTTGCGCCCGAGCTTGCGCCGCCCACCGCCCACCGCTCGGGATCTAGTCCCAGCGGTGCAACGTGATTGCGACACCATGCCGCCGCGTCAACACAGTCCTGGATCATATCGAGCATCGACGCCTGCGGCTGCAGACGATACCCGACAGATACGACGCCGTACCCGCGGTCCCCGAAGGCGCTCGAGACCCAGCCCGTTGGTACGGTCCATTTGCCGCAAGTGTATCCGCCTGAAGTTAGCTAGTGCGACCACAGCTCGGTCAGAGAGCACCGAGACCTTCCAGAACCTACCACCGTGTATCCAGAGCAGCCACGGAGCTCCCTTGCCCTCAAGGCTGCCGCCGTTGGTGGCAGCGGCGCCTTTGAGCTTTGCTGGAGGCCAAACGCGCAGGGGAAGTTGTACACCTGCGGCCGACTTGAAGATGTGGTCCGAGAAGCCTGGTCGACACCGTGGGAGCGGCATTGTGTTGAAGTGGATGTTGGAGAGAACAATGACCGAGCTCGTGGCTTGGATAGTGGCGTGTGTTGTGGGGTCCGGTGCGGGGAAAGCGGGGCTCGGCTAATTCCGGTTCCGGGGATCCGGGGTTGTCAAGATGAGATGATCTGTGCGCGCTCAAGCCGCTCAACTCTCGCTTCAGATATTTTGACATTCCACCCCATCGATGCATTCTCATCTAACACCATCACACTCACACTATCGCTGCTCTTGCTCATCACTTCCACATTCGTTACATTCGCGATGGCATCGAACAACCGCAAGGGCAGAAACTCCACGCCCAAGAAGGCGAAGAGCGACACCCAGTCGCCATCTGCCACTGCGGCACCCAAGCCTGCCTTGAGCGCCTCCGCTGACGAGTGGCCCCAGTGGATGAAGGTGTTCATGACCTGCATGCAGATGGTTACTTTGGCTTCGGCGGCAGGTCTTACAACTTTCGGCGTCGCCTACGTTATTCGCAGCTGGGGCGACCGCTTCCGTGGGTGCCTTGCGTGGCCACGCTGACGGCAGTCGAATATGACGCGCGCGTGTCTTTTGCGTACGGCTGGTCCATTTGCAAGGCGGCGATGATGTACCTGACTACGCTCAGCTCGGGGTGGATGTGCGTTTTGCCTGTCATCTGCTGCTAACTTCAGCACGTTATACGTGGTTGCTGACGTGTTCGCAAAGGCGGCCAAACAGGATCCTGTCCACATCAAGTTCACCGAGGCGATGAAGTATCTCCTCCCGTACGCGATGGGCGGGATGTGGATCGGCCACCTTATGCGGTTCTTCATCTCTATGCCTGACCTTACATTTGTCCTCATCCGCGGGTGGCTTATCACGGTCGTTGCCACCAACGGCCCCGCAATGGCGGTATGTCGGATATTCGGGAGTTGCTGAACGACAGCTGTATGTCCGCGTCAGAATGATTGTCGAGCGCGCCGAGCAAGCTCGCAAGGCCCGTGCGGAGCGACTTCGTGCCAAGGAGGAGGCCGCGAAGGCGTCATAGGGCCACGGGCGCCGGAAGGGGGAAACAATGCAATTATACCCAAGCTCGACAGAGCGGCTCGGCGTGCTGACGTGTCTCCTCGATTGGAGGTCCGTGCTCGGGGCGTTTACTGATCGCCGACGGCTTTGGTAACTTCAGTCTGATCGGACTAAATGCTGACTCGCCATAGTGACACTGAAGCCGTGGACGTTTTGGCGGCAGTTGGCACAGATGCGTGACCTCCTCCTCCAGAAGTAACTGAAGTGGAAAGTACTGCCACATTTCTGGATTATATCTGAAGGTGACACCATGCATAGCCCACCCGACCAAGACGCGCGGCATCGGGTATTGGTACAACGGATAAAGGCGATCGGGGGACGCGCCCAAACAAAGGTGCGAAATACGGAGCGTGTGTACAGCACGAAGGATGCGGAGGAGGAGTGAAGGGGTTTAAAGCTTGATGGCAAAGCTGTGGTCGGTCGGCAGCTTCTCGTGTGCGCCGAGGGGGTTGGTGAGACCGTGGCCACGCTCGAGATCGAGGTTGACACGGTTGTCGTCGTGTGCGTGGAAGTGACCGTGGTCGGGACGGACGAAATCGGCGGGCTCGGCAGTACCACCACCTTCCTGGAAGGCGACCTTGGCCTGGTCGAAGTGCGAGCCGTCGGCTTCGGGGCCCAGGAAGAGGAAGATGAAGAGCCACACAATAACTGTCCCCGTGACGATACCCTGGACTGTGGCATAGTCTGCAACGCCCTTACCCGCCGTAAGATTGACACCCATCGTCCGCATGACTTTGCCTGCGTCGGCCTGAATCTGGGCGGCGGGCGAGGCAATCATGTTTCCGAGCTGATGTGAGCGATGGACCTTCAGTGATTCTGGAACCTCACCTGGTAAGTAACACCAGCAAAGGAGGCACGGAAAGCGGGCGGAGAAATCTCTCCGAGGTAGATGGGAACGACACCCCAAGTACCGAACACACCGAACTGAATAAGGCTGGTGTGAGCGAAACCCGAAATGGGGAAACTCACAAGCCCCCGGCGGACAGGGAACCGAAGGTGTTGGGCAGAATCCAGAGAGGAATCCACGCGGCTGTCCACAGGAGGAAAATCATTGCACCAAGACGACGACCGGCGTACTGCGAGAGATACCCCGCAAAGGCAGAACCGATAGTGGCGCCACCCGAAGCCAGAATGGTGGAGGCCGAGACATTTGTGGGAGTGAGACCCTTGGACTCACGCAAGAACGAGGGCTAAAAATCAGATTGCCTCGTCGATGCACAAACTCACGTAGAGGTCCTGAGAACCGTGGGCCAGGTAGTTGAACCCCGTCATGAGACAGACACCCCAAACGCAGCGAAGCCAGTTAACCTTTAACATGGCCTTCAACTCCTTGAAGAAGATACGGGCCGTCTGCTTGCTGGACAGACCCTCGGCCTTGAGCTGCTCACGAGCAAGAATGTACTGACGAGACTCGGGGAGCATGGCACGAATAATGGCAGCGAGCAGCGAGATGGCACCACCGCAGTAGAAAACACTCTTCCAGCCGTAGCGATCGGTAAGGGCCAAGTTTGCAACAGCCGCCAAGACGTAGCCCAGCGTGTACCCGCCCTGCATGATACCGGAAAGGAGACCACGGGCAGGCACGGGCACGTTTTCGAGAGCACTGATGTCAGCAAACCCACCAGCGAGTCTTGCTCGATCTCATCCGAGCCCAAGCTCGATCACTCTCTCAGCGGATGGACTCACGTAGCGGCCGCTTGACCCCAAACACCGCCCATGACGATACCGAAGAGAGAGCGCACGCCAAGGAATCCGGCGTAGTTGGTCGTGAAAGCCGTGCAGAACTCGAACGTAGCAATGAGGATGAGGTTGACAACCAGTGTCCACTTGCGCCCGAATCGGTCGGCAAGGATACCGAAAGTCAAAGCACCAAGCGAGCGGAACATAAGCGTAAGAGTCATAGAAGCAGCAATGTCAACTGTTTCGCGCTGGAAGTAATGCTCAAGCTTGTCGATAGTAACCGTGACCTGGGGTTAGATGGGATTCTGACCTTCTGGGTCGCAGCCTCACGGTGAAGAAATCAAAGCCGTCGACTGTCCATGCGAACCAGCCGGAAATGAAGTAGAGCCAGTCCATGGGTTTGACCATGGCCATCAGCTTGAATGGGTTGTAGATCACATCGTCTGCCGAGCGTTCCGTCTTCCAAGACGGAAACATGGCGCGGAAGAACGAGCGGCCGTCCTCACGATCGGCGTGCCAACCTTGCAGCTGGCCACGGAACGTGTGCGGCGCGTGCGTATTGTTGCGCCGCCGGCGTGGTCGCTGCGCATCGCGCGCAGTCGACGACCCAGGAGGTGGATATACGTGGACGGGCATAACGAGTGTGGAGAGAAAGAGAGACAGTAGTTGGGAGTCGAGGAAAGATGTGTGATGGCTCCAAGTCATGCCAACCCCGGCTCAGAGCTCGTCTCACCACCGCCGGTGGCGCTGGCGCACGATTGGCGCTACCGTGGGACTGACAGCCCCCGCGCACACGCTGGGGAAGTGGGCGGCAGCCTGGCTGAGGTGAGAGTCAGCGTGAGGGGGACAAGGAGTATGCACGGGCCCCTCAACCGCGCCGTAGAAGCATCGAGGAGCGGTGATGAGAGGAAAAAAAGGCGGTCCAAGCTCCCGGCTAGAGATCCAGAACCCGCAGACCTGGAGATACCTAGTCAACCTGGCAGTCATGCTTGACCTCCTGTCCTAGTTGTACTGGCTGACCCTGCTTTCTCAGTGCTGGTTGCGCTGTTTAGCAGCGCGGAGAGTGCTGATGCAGACGGTGGCGCGTGGCGTTTGGCGCAGATCAGGTCGCCCGCCTTGCCCCCACGAGTGCTCAGGAGAGCGGTGGCGGCGGTCCTGAGGGCGATCCGAGCTCGGAATGCTCGGATTCGCCCGGACCACCGATGCCGGACAGCCTCGCAGTCGCAGCTCGCAGGCGGCGTGTGCAGCCGTGCAGAGCCAAGAACTCGGACGACCCTGCTGTTAGCTCTGGCATACCGCAGGGGCACCGTAGCGTTCCGCAAAACCCTCCAACTTTTCCATGTCTTCGGCAACTGACCAGGTCGGAGGCGGTAGCCTCGGTTCGTCTCAGTTGCTATGGCCATTCATGAGAGCAGCAGAGGGTTGTCGGCCACAGGGACGACTACGTCCGGTCTGCCAGCAACACGGCGCTCCCTGCTCCGCTGCTCGCCGGCGGTCCAGCCCACAATTCGGTGCGGGCATGCCAAACTCCGTGCCCTAGGCACACGCACAGCCAGATCTTACCTACAGCCACGGGGTTATGAAACCAATCCAACAAAGGCCGCCCGTTTTGTGGGCACTCGCCGAGCGTTGTCTCCGTCGTCCTCCGGTGATCAACCGAGCCAAGACTACTCGAAAGAGCACAAAGACCGGCCACGAAAGATGACCGTTTCACACGACAACCGCTCGTTTTACTTCCGCTTTCGCAGATTTCCTCGTCGACGGCTGAGACTGACCCCTGCGGATGCGGAAAAGCAAGCGCGCTCAGCACTTTTTGCCAGATTACCAGAAGCGACTAGGTGAAAAATCCTGCCGCGTCCCGACGGTGCGTTGCTGACGCTATGTGGCGTGCGCCACGAAAGCACCCTCCGACGCCTCGTCGGCGCGCCAGGCAAATTCAACGCCTCTTGAAAGTTGTCGACAAAGCAAACTGTGACCGATGACAAAGGCGGGCGGAACTCATCAGAAGCGATCGTGGCGGCATTTGATGCATATTGATGGTGCCGTATGGAAACAGTCGTGGAAAAAATTGGGAGGCTCATCGTGATCGCCCCCTAAACCCAAGCTACTCAGAAGCAAAGTTTCAGAACTCACAGGAGGTCGCCATTCCAATCTACTAATCTTTGCTTGTATCAAAACTCGCAGCACAGGTGAAGTATCGAGATTGCGAGTTCACGTGACCTCATTACCGATTAACAGCCAGCTGAACTACGGCGGTATGACCATTCCATCTCTGGCTTGGCAGCTGATGTCCAGCTTGCGGCAACGCCGCAACTGATCATGAGCCTGAGTGCAACATCCCTCCTTAGTCACTCAGGTGCCAGAACAGGTGGTATGTGAAGTCGGGTGTCCCGATTACGTCCTCCCGGCTTCCTCGCGTGCGGAAATCGTTCACCTCGCTCTACCGAGAACCCAAGATCGCATACTAGTACACAAACATTAGAGCAACCGTCGCACACACGGCCCCCGGTCCGAGCATCAAGACCATGCCCCAGGCACCTTATGCTGCTCACTGTCCTCTGCGATCACTGCAAAGTCGACGGCAAAGCCGTCCTCGATGAGCTCCAGCTCAATGCGTGGTAGTGGTATCGGCACAGCAGGCGGCGACTTGGCTGTGCGCGAGAAGCGGCGGGACCCCAGTCGGCGGAGTCTCGGCTTGCTCTTTGTCAACGTAAGAACTGATGCGTTGGCTGATGAGGTGAGCATGCTATGTGGTCTGGCGAATGGGCTGGTGCTCGCGGGTGGAATTGGGGGCTCGGGCTCGTCGAGGGTGGTGCACAGGGCGTCGGACGGGAGCTCCGATGCGCTTGGGCCCCAGTCAAAGTCGAGCGATATCTGTGGCGGCGCAGGTGCCGTGGAGCGCAGCGATGCCTGCGACGCGCCCAGGCCGCGTTTACCGAGGATAGCCTCGATGGCGAGGTGTGGCGCGACAACTGATGGGGTGCGAGCGCGCCGCACCAAAGTACCGGAGAGGGAGCGGCGTACGCGCCGCCCGCCTGCACTGCTTGGCGAGAGGTGTGTCTCGTCAACCAGCTTGGACGCGATGCTAAGCTCGCTGCCCCACGAGTGCCAGGTGTCGAGGGCGTCCTCCCGCTCTACTGTCAGCAAGGCTACGGCACAGCGCACTATGTGGGTGCGGAAGCGCGGGGGTGGAGCGCGCGATGTGGCGCGTCTGGAACTCTTCGGCGGGGCGCCTGCGGAACGCTGGCGTCAGGCTCGCGGCGTCAGGCGGAACTCGGCTTACGCGAGAGGATGGCGGCGAAGGCGCGCGCGGCGAGGCTCCGCTCGCGGTGCGGCTCTGGCATGGGGCAGGTGGCGAAGGCGAAGGGCGCGACGCGCTCTATGTCGGGCGCTGATGGAGTGGATGAATACAGAAGGGGCATGGATTGGCGCCGCCGGGGGTCGCGCACGCTCGGGGTGGGGGTCGAGGAGCTCGCGACAGTCATAGGAATGAGTGGCGCCAGACGTGCAGAGCGTAGGAGAGAAGCGGGGGAGACCAGAGGACCAGAGGGCCGGAATAAAGCAGAAAGTGGATTGTTGGGGTGAGGCATGAGTTTTAGAGTGGCAGTCCGTGCGACGCAGGGAGGTCGTCAGCGGCAGTGTCAGTAGTGAGCGTTCAGTACCTGCTGCTGCGGTGGTCCGATGGAGGATGAATGATACGAGAGGGGGCTCCGGCGCCACCCAAGGTCTGTGCGATGCCGTATCCCCCGCTTCACTGTATTTGACCGCAACACTACATACGAGGATAGAAGGCTAGAGACATGCAGACATTGCGAGGCGGTCGAACCTGCAGGGTACGCGCTACCAGTTCGGATGCTGTTTAACACGACGGCGGAAGTCTGGTTCAGGATGGGCTGCTAATGCCACATTTGCATCACAACTTTATTTACGGCCAGCGTGGGGGGAGTCGTCAGCAATCGCGTGGCATTATGCAAGTGAGGTCCTTGGCCTTGGTCTTGGCGGAAAGAGTGAATGACGAGGCGGTGGAGTCCGAGGATGGCGCACTCCGATGTGGCCGGAGGAGTGCAGGAGAATCGCCAACTTTGCGGAGGTCCGCATTTCGGGTGTGCCTGGGGCGGTGGCGCCGGAACTTGGCTTAATGATGGCATTCTGATATTTTCCGTCACATCTCACGGCTGACAACATCACTACGCAACGTGCATGAGTGCATCGCGTATCGTGCAGGCCACTGGGTCAGCAGACATACACACAGTCCCTCTATGCAAGAATCTGCTGCCCAGACGCGATCGTCCATGAGTGACGCCCAACCGCCTCATTGCGTCTGGTGATCTCAATGAACTCGATGAACGCCGAAGTTCCAGGCCCGATCCCTGCATCCAGCCGCATGCAACTCACCGTTGATCAGCCAATTTAGCCACTGTGACCAATTCCGCCAAGGGTGGGGGCGGAGTGGGCGCGGGACGCAGCTTGCTCTTTCGTACATAACCCGGGGGAGCGGGATGCGCGCCCCACGTCCCTCGATGCGCTGTACGACTCGATGACGAAGGGATATGTGCTTGACGGCGTAGAGGTGGGCGCGGTGGGTACGTCGTCTCGCGAACGAACTGACGCCAGAGCGACAACCGAGCAGCATGACGGAGGTGGACGAGGTCTCGTCAAAGGGCCTGCCCCTCGCCGCGCTCGACGTCGAGGCGCAGCGGGCCGAGGCACGCCCGCTCACGCTCCGCATGCCGCCGTGGCTGCAGCCGTATGTCGCCGAGGCGTGCGGCATCGCCGCAATGATCGTCATCGGCCTCATCTCAAACATGTAGGGTCCTCACCACTCACGGCTGACGCCAGTCAATCGAGCCTGACCGGCGACCCCGAGAACCCCACGACGACCAACAATGTAGCGTACGCGTTCGGCTGGGGCGTGGGCCTCATGGCTGGCCTGCTGCTCACGATCGACGTGAGCGGCGGCCACATCAACCCGGCGATAACACTCACGCAGGCGCTCTTCCGCGGCTTCATGTGGCGCCGTGTCCTGGGCTATTGGCTCGCGCAGCTGCTCGGTGCCTTCGTGGCCGGCTGCATCGTCCACGGGCTCTACCGCGAGCTGCTGGACGCGCAGGACAGCCCGCGCACCTGGAGGACGGCTGCGCTTTTCGTGGACCGTGCGCCTGCTTGGGAGAGTGACGCCAGTGAGTCCAGCGCGGGGATGGGTGTGGAGCGGAGGGCTGATGCCAGACGCGTTCTTCCAGGAGGTCGTAGGCGCCTTTCTCCTCCTCCTCGGCGTCGCGGTGGTCACGGACCCGACGGCTGCCGCGGCGTGGCAGACATGGGTCAAGGCGCTCATCATGAACTGGTTCTTTGTGGCTGTCAACGGGTGTATGGGCATGCACCCGGGATATGCACTGAACCCGGCACGCGACCTCGGCGTCCGCCTGTCCTGTCTCGCTTTCGGATACTCGCGCGACATTTTCACCGACCGCCACTGGTACTGGACGTGGGGGTGTATTGTCGGCCCGTTTGTTGGTGGTATCCTCGTCACGTTTGCGTACGACTGGGTCGTGCGGGGACGCGTCGAGCTCACTGTCCCCGCTCTGCAGCGCTTCGTTAACCGCAAACGAAAAGAAAGTTAGGCTTAGAACGCATGATTATTGGGAGTGCACACAGCCGTTCGTCGGTCCAGGTATCGTGTATGCATTATATGTCTGTGCTTCCGCCATAGGTGGCATGGTCAGCGGACAGACGACCGACCGTGTCCGGGCTCCCTATCCTGTGACGGTGATAAGCCGTGAATACATTCAGAGTATACCTGCGTTCTACAATGTCCAGGCGCGTGTGCGATCCTTTTACGAACGCCTCACCTCGCTTCACCTCACCTCACCTCAGTAAAACATCTACTTTCCTTGCCTAAGGGTAGTGCTGCTGGTGCTGCTGGGCATATGGGTACGGGTACGCGGGCGGCGGCACCTGGCCCACCTGGCCTGGGTTGGGCACAGGCGCGTACGGCTGGCCGACGAACGGGGTCTGCACACTGGGCGGGGCGGGGTACACGGTGCCGACGGACTGGTTCATGTTGAAAGCATAGTCATTCGTTTTGGCTTCGACGACATTGCACAGCGACAAGCGCCATTTCCCGTGCACCTTGCTGCGTCCGACGGTGATGGCCTCAACGATGAAGTTGAGGAGGAGGGGTGCGGCGGGCGCGAATGCGCTGATGTCAGCCTTGTCGGGACGGTGCTCACATCATGGCGCAGAAATAGCCGACGAGGATGCACGAGGCAATGAAGATGGCACCGAGGATCAGGTCGGTCGACGTGCGCACAATCCAGTAGTTGCGGCGGTGTGCCCACAAGCTGGAGTCAGAGAGATCTGGCGAGGACGCACAATGTGAGGAAGTAGATGAAGAGGACAGCGCCGTGCCCGATGCCCCCAATGGAGCGCATCCAGATCCAACCGTATTCCTTGTCGGGGTCGACGTCGGCGGCGCGCACCACGAATCGCGTGCAGATGCCGATCTCGATGCCCGCTATGATCATCGCGATCACATACATGACAATCTGGAAGATGAAAGGTCCCCTGCCCATGGTGGAGAGTGAATGGGTGTAAGTGTGCGTGAGGGTGAGTGGTGAGTGATGGGAGCCAGATGGGCGCGCTTTATCTTGTAGCCAGGGGCAGTGCTTGCCCGGGCTGTGCGTGCGACATGAGAGTGAGACTTGTTGGTGCACCAGTAGGTGGGACGCCCTGAGGCGAGGCGCATTCCCGATGTCCAACTTGCTTTGGCTAGTCTTTAGCGTTGCGTTGCCTGCGCACTACCAATCACCGTTTCGGCTGATGACTACGGCCAGCTGACTTGCCAGATTGCCGCTCACAGCCTCAAGCTGTACAAGCTTATTCTCCGCACCGCCTGACCCTCGCTTGCGAGTTGGCGGGTCGTCGCCAAGCCAAGAGCGTGCCTGGTTGATGCATATTCCCACCACTAGAATCAAGGAGGCATGCTTGCATGAGGAAAAGCCTGTTGTTCGGGTTTCATCTGCCGCGGCCGTCCGTGGCTGTGGGCCGCCGGTTGATGTTGGTGCGCACACCATTCCTGCCGTGGTGTGGAGTCGTGGTGGTCCAGCTGGCCGAGTTTGGGAATGTCAGCGTCTCAGTTCTTACAGTCGGCATCCCTGACCATGCTTAGCCGGCCATGGATGGTGTAGTCTGAGACCAGGATCATGAAACGCCTTGTTGCACCTGTTGGCTGACACTAGCAAGTCGCTTGCTGGCCGCCGGAAGTGCTGATGATGAGATGCATTTGTTGTTGCGCTCATGGAGCAGCCGCAAACGTGGCCAAAAAGTGTGGAGATCACACTCTGACGCTCTCTGTCGGAGAATTGAACTCCGGTCTCCCGCGGTCACTTCAAATGACAAGCGAGCATACTAGCCACTATACGAACAGAGATACGATTTGGACGAAGTATAGCTGGTGTATCTTTGGTGTCTACTCGCTCGACCTACCATCACTCCAACATTTCTACTCCCTCCTGGTGTCGCCGGCCAAAGCTTTTGCGCCTCTGTATTGCACTTTCACTGGAACTCGCTTGTACAATATACATTGCAAGCCAATTCGCCTGTACAGTACCTTGCATGCCTCGTCAGACGCGCTGTCTCATGCTGGCGACCAAACAATTGCTTGGAATGAGCTTTAAATAGGCGCCAAGCACAGTTCTACCGCCTCCCGCCAATCCGTCAACCCCCTGGCCCCCTTGGGGTGACTCCTCGAACCCTTGTAATGTTGAAATGAATGCAGTTTGGAGATATTACGAAATTACATGGAACATTTGATCAGTTAGGGTGTGGCCGAAACCTTGTTCCCCCTGGGCACCCCTGAGTGTCATCCAAGCCTCAAGGTCAAACACGCGAATGTCCTCTCTCTCCATCTTCGTGCTACCCGTCCAGGTCCGACTCGGATCTCTAGCTCTAGGCCTCCAGGTCGGCCGCCCATCGCACTCGTGGACTCATGACTTCAGACTCTAGCTCTCGGCACGCAGCCCCGCAGCAGCCAAGCCGCAAGCCGTAAGCCGTAACATGCGTCGCAAGCCCACGACCGAGCTCGCAGCTCGCAGCCCGAGGGCCAGAAAGAGCAAGTGTGTTGCTCAATCCACGTGTGGAAGATCAAGCTTAGGCAGCTTACAGACTGTGACTTCTCAATCACTTGTATTCTGACCGCGTTTCTCTCAACTCCATCCTCGACTTCTCACTAGGACGGGGCATTACTCACGCCAAAAACATCACTCTCTTCACTCTCCATCCCCTCCCCTCCCTCCCTCCCTCCCTCCCTCCCTCCCTCTCCATCGCCATGCCATCCCAACGACGCCGATTGGTGGGGGCAGCGGCTCTTCTCCTCGTGCCCCTCACCCCATTAGCGCGTGCTGCCGACATGCCCTTCCTCCAAACAGTTTACGCCGCCAGCGCACAATGCACTGTCGACGGTAGCAACTGGATCCTCTACCTGGGCGACCAGACCGCACCGTACGCGTGGGATGCGGCCGCCAGCCCCGATGGTTCAGCGTTCCGCGATCGCGCACAGCAGATGCACATCCACACCACCACGCCCATGCAGAGTCTCACCTGCCAGCTCTACGGTACGCGTATCAGTGTCCTCGGTGGACTGCAGTTGGCGGGGGGCGTGAATGCAGCCGACCCAAACTTCTTGAGCATCACACTCGACGGGCAACCCGTCACGCCCGATGCTCTAACTCTCACCCCGGCGAATGATACCTGGAAGTCGACCGTGCTACAGGCTCCCCCGCCCAACGCAGCGCCCCTCACGCCTGGGATGCATACGCTGCAGATTCAAACAGGCGCGTCCTTCCATGGCGCACTCAAGATGTGGGGCATGGTCGCTAACACATCGGTTCAAACAGCGTGAGTAGTCGGTGTTGGTCCTTCTCCCACCGAGTCTGAGCTTACGCCCAGTGGCTGGAAGCCGTACAGCGCCCCGGGTGTCGGCTCCTCTACAGGTCACGAGCTGCCCTTCGTCTTCAACTCGTCCGTTGCAAGCACAATGTACAACTGGGGAGATCGTGACCCGGGGGTCCACAACTTCGGGCTGCAGAGTAAGTCACTTCTCGCACGGCCCTGACGCCAGATGTCTCGTCGCCCGAGATGGCTGTCGCGGTGCGGGAGAAGGCCGAAGCGACAGTGAATTTGCCGAAGAACTCGTCGTATCTGGTCCTTCATGGCTACAGCGGACCCAACTACGGGACACTCTGGCTCGACATTGAGCCTGCACCGCCAGGCGTCTCGACACTGCCAGTCGAGCGCAACACCAACAAGCCATGGCTCGTATACGACACACTCTTCGAGGTCCCGCTCGACCCAACCGCGGAATACACCGTCACTTACACCACGAAGGAGGGCGCCCTCGGTGCAGGCGTGTACCTTGCCTCGACAGGGGTGTTGGAGTATCAGGAGAATACGTGAGTGTGCGCGTCGGCGGAGGATGCTGACGCCAGGCTGAATCCGTTCACGGGTGGCTGGAAGGACGGGACAAAGCCAAAGAAGAGGAATCTTGGTCCGTTCATCGGGGGAGCTGTGGGTTTGAAGTAGCAGGACACACTGACATCCAGGTTGGCGGTGGCATCGGGGCTATCTTGCTCGTCGGCCTCATCGTCTTCCTCTGGCGCCGCCGCCGTGCTGCCAAGAATCAGCCGTGCGTTATCTCTCTCCTCACGCTCAGCAATACTGACGTACAGTGCCATCTCAGCCTCCGAGGAAGGCTCGTCGGACGGCACGCTGGGCGAGAGCGACGCGATGCTCGAGAAGGATGGGAGTGCGCGCGCGTCCCTCCGCCCTTCTAGCATGGGCGGGCGGCCCAAGTCGGGCGTGTCGGATCGTCGCAAGTCGGAGATGGCGATGATGCTCGAGCGCGACAAGCGCAAGTCGGTTGCATCGACCAAGTCCGGCCGAAAGTCGCGACGCCAGTCCGAGATGCCAGCTCAGTGAGCCATCTTTCGTTTGCTCGTGTTTCTAACGCTAGTGTGCTCTCCGGAGACTACCGTAAGGACCTTGAGTCCTGGCTTTTGCCCAGCGGCGCGTACTCTGGCGGAGCGCTGCGCCAATCCCGGCCAATCTCCAGCACATCGGGGAGGGGGTTGCTCGACGGTCTCGCCGTCCCTGCGCACCCGCTGCATTCGCGGCCCATCTCTTCCAGCTCGGGGCGGGGTCTGTTGGATGGCCTCAACGTGCCCCCCAATCCTCGCAATTCGCGGCCAGTATCTTCGCCCCCCGGGCGAGGGCTTCCACCCCTGGACATCGCCGCCGCTGCACCAGCTTCTCCACCTCCAAACCTGTCGCCAGTCGAACAGACCCTCGCCACGCTCACTGGCAAGTTGCCGCAGTCGCCGCCGCGCACCCGAGTCGCATTGCCGCCTGGAGCCGAGGAGCCAGCACCTGCCCCCTTCGCTGTGCAACAGGCAGCGTCTCCAACCGCGTCTGGACCACCGCTGTCCTTCCCGACACCGACGCCCGCCTCCCCCACGGCTGCAGGGCCACCCACACACGCGCCGCCTTCTTCGCCGCAGCCACGAAGCGAGTCCGTCGCCTCTCAGGCGACATTCTTCTCTCTTCCCGACGAGTCGATGGACGCTGGCGACACGACAGTGGGTTCGGAGGGCTTCTTCAGTGCTCAGTCGCATGCGGCGCCCGTGTTCTTGCAGCCCAACTCGTCCAGTTCCCGGCCGATGAGCCGCCAAGCGATACCGAAAGGAGGTGCGTCCGAGGCCGAGGTTATGGACGGCCATAAGGCGGCGGTCGACGAAACGCAGTACGTTCCCGGGACGGCGATGTAGATGGACTTTTGAGTGGTTGGACTCTGCTGGATGTGATGGACTTTTGAGAAGAAGCGAGTGGCATTGATATAGTGCTTGGTAGTTGCGATGCGCGACGCTGCATTGCGATGAGATCTACAGTAGCTGGCGTCGCCAAACGCCAAGACCAGCCAAGGCCGGATTTCATGGCCGTAGCAGTGTTGATGCGCCAAGTGGGGCGTGAAGCGGCACTACGAAGAGGGAAGGAATTGCGTGTGTGGTGTGTCGAGTGGATGGATTGGTGCGCAGATGCAAGATGCTAGAGAGATCGCGAGGATGCGCTTCAATCTGCACGGCCCACTTGTCCGTCATCCACTCGCTCTAGATCACTCTTCTTCGGGTCTCGCGCGGCCGCTCGGATCGACTACACTGGGACCACTTACGACGGCCACGACGGTCACTGAGACCCACTTGTGGATCTCCTCGATCCTCGACTCACTTGCCTGACGTCTTCCTCCGACGCCCTTCCGTCGTCGACAAAAGCTCCGTTGCCACTCACAGGCCATATAAGATGCCCCTCAAGCCTACCTTCTCCGCTCTCACCTTCGCCTCCTTCATAAGCCGCCCTCACACCGACGCTCCATCTCAGCATCTCGCTCCACCTCACGCCGACTCTACCAGTCCCGACCCCGCACGCACTCACCGCAAGGCCAAGTCTGAACCGCCCAGCTTCCTCCGTTCTCTTGCTAGAATGAGCGTCCAAGCCCAGGCTATCGCCCCCACACACATGGCCAGGCCCATGCTCACCTCGCCCAACGACATGCTCTACACCAAGGGCAGCGTCGAGCAGCCAGAGCCCGTAAAGTGGTGGACTGAACTCTCCCACGTCGATGGCGCACCTCACCCGCACTTGGGCAGCGGGGCGGAGTCACCACGCTCCTCCACCGTTGACCTCACCGCCCGCAGCGCCGCCCGCCAAGCTCTCTTCTCCAAGGCCACCTTCCCTCTGGTGCTTGACACCATCGTGTCCCACGCAGCCCACGCCGACCGACTTTCCCTCCGCCTCGTCTGCCGCCGCGTGGCGGCGCACACCGACGCGGCTCTCTTCCGCACTCTTACCGTGACCACGCACGGCTTCCGCTCTGCGGACGGAACCCTTCCCCTCGTCAACCTGTGGCGCCGCCCCGATGTCGCCGGCGCCGTGCGCAGCCTCACAATTACCGACGAGTGGGACGACTGGACGGCCCTCGCTCATGTGTTTCCCGGGCTTGCTCCCGACGTGATCCGCGTCCCCGCTTCGTGTCCGCTCGACATCCTGGGCCTGCAGGCTTCAACCGTTATCGCTTTCGGCGACGTTGTTTCCGCCACTACCTCCGACTGGCTGCGCGTGCACTCCCTCCCGCTGCCGATCAGCACCGATGCCGCCATCGACGACCTCGCGGGGCCCTCCCGCCTCGTCTACACCGTCCGCCACGGCGACCCCGACCTTCTCCTGGTTACCCTCCCCGACAACTGGTCTCTCCCCGACACCGTGCACACCCTTGTCGTGCACATCGCGCCACACCCCAACCCACGCCCCGCGTTGACTCCTGAGGTCTTCAATCGCGCTCACACCGACGACGGTGCCCATACGTATCTCAAGAACCCTCGCCGTTCGGGCGAGTACGGCCTCACAGCGTCGCCTCTTACTACCGTCAAGGGCCTCGAGTGGCTGCATGCCGCCAAGGGCCACTTGAGCTTCCTGGACCGCCTGGCGTCCGTTGTTGCCGCCAACCTCCGCCCCGGCCGCATGTTCACCCTCGTCGCGCCGGAGGCGTGGGACGAGCGCTGGCTCTGCGCCGCTCCTGGACAGAGCACGATCACGTACCGCTTCTTTTATGCCGTCGTGCGCCACGCCCGTCGCCACCATCGCTGGAACGGGCGCTATGCGGAGCGCGCGGTCGCGGATGCCATCCGCTTTGTCAGCGAGGATGAGTACCGCTCGGAGATTGGCGAGGTTGTTTGGCGCCTTGAGACTGAGCTCGAGGCGTAGGCGGGGGGGCGACTCTCGAATCTGTACAGCACTCATCTTTCTCCTCTTCGTGTACGCTTACCCCTTCATTCTGATTATCGACAGTCCGTATGTTGTGATGTACTCTTCCGCATGTGGTGGGTCGGTGTCAGAGCTTACCATTGCTGCGGAGACCACCGACGCTCCGGTGGATCAAGATGACCTTTCACAAGGTTAGATCTCTGTTCTCCATGTTCGGTTGAATTGCTGAAGACCGACACTAGAACACCGGGTGGCGCACTGATAACTGGGAATGCGGCGACGCCCTTCGGTCTTCAGGGCGACAGCTCTGCGGATATCATGGGTGATCTCATCATGTTAAATCTCAGAATGACTGTCCTTCTATCACGACCAAAGCGCACAGTCACTCTCACGGGTCCCAGCTCCTCACTCAAGACATGACACTCTATCTTACGGTCCCCTCCCGCGCGCCAAGCTTCTGGGCAGTAGCGAGGACAACCGTTCCTTGATCCTGATATGTCTTGTCAAGCATATCCGAGTACTCCCACCACCATGAATCTCATCAAGTGACCATGCCGCCACCACAAGCTGACGCTGGCCCGCGCTCGCCGAATACGACCGCCACGCTAGAGTTCGACCTGCACCTGACGCCGAGGTCACCGCTGATCTGGTTTGCAGACGCGGGTGACGAGCCGCCTCAGCCAGGACGCCCGCGCGTAAACTTCCGCGAATGGACGGCGCTGCGGGACGGGCGCCTCGCGACAGGCGATGCGACGGGTGCGCAAGTAAGCTACAGGCTGAGCGACGGGGCGAGCATGTTCTCGCAGCTGTACATGCCGCTCGTCGGGCGCGGCGTGCGCGTCTCCGGCAACGTGGCGGCCGACTACGACGGCTGGCTCAGCCGCAAAGGCCGCGACGACATGGTCGACATCGGCAACACGGACCCGCTGTACGCCGACGACGGGCCGTTCACGCGCCGCTCGCTCAACATCCACCGCCTGGCGCGGACGACGGGGGCGCGCAGCGGCAGCGTCGAGATCACGGGGGTGACGGTACGCACGGGGATGAACACGACCGCGTGAGATTGCCGCGACACGAAAAGCGTCGCGCCGCCGCCGTCGCTGACCCCAGCCCCTCCCTCGTGGAAGTACCCACGTCCTTCGTCCCCTTCGTGTTGGAGGACGGCACGCCGAACCCCGCGTTCCAGTACATGGGCACATGGGCGCCACTAGCTTTCGGCCGCACTCGCGTGCTCGAGGGCACGGGCTCCGCGCAGCTCGGAATCAGCGTGCCGCCCGGCACGGCGTTCATGCTCGTGAACGGCACGGCTGGGCCGGAGTGGGGCGCGCTCGCGGTCGCGTGGGTGGCGCCGCCGCTGCTGCGGCTCGAGCTCGACCGCGGGGGCACCGAGTACGACTTTGCGCCGTCCAACTCCTCGCGGCCGTTCATGGCGCACGGCGAGGCCGTGTACTACTCTGCCCTCGATCCCGAAGATGTGTACACGCTCACGCTGGGGCCGTGGTCCACCGAGCGCGGCATCGCGCTGCACAGCGTGACATTTTACGCGGGATCGTGCGTCGCACTATGCGCGCGCTGACGGCAGGAAGGACGCGCAGGAGCCGTTCAGCGTCAAGGCCCCCGGGGAGTTTCCGGGGTTCGCTGAGGAGCAGCAGGGCGGAACGGGCGGAACGGGCGGAACGGGCGGGACAGGCGGAGCGGAAAAGCCCGTGGAGGCAGGGAAGACGGGGAGCTCGACGCCGGTCGGCGCTATCGTTGGCGGAGTTGTGAGTGCTGTATGGGCGTGCTGATACCAGGTCGGCGGCGTGGTTGTGTTGCTCGTTCTCGCAGGCTTGTGGTGGTGGCGCAGGCGCAAGCGGCACAGGCGCGCCCCGCTTGACGACAAGTTTGAAGTGGATGGCTCGCCGCACTCGCTCGCCGGGCCTCATCTTACGCCGTATGAGGCCCATTCTGCGATACAGCTTCACACTATCGACAGCGCGGGTGTGGGTGCAGGTGCGGGTGCGGTTGGGCTCAGTACCCATGACGGGCTAGCGCCTTCAAAGTCGGGACTGGCGTCCTCCGGGCCACCACTGTCGCCGGTGGCGTCTTCCGGGCCACCGCTGTCGCCGCTGCCGTCCTCCGGGCCGCCACCGTCGCCCCTGGCGCAGACTAAGCAGGCAGTGCTCGCGGTGGTAGAGCACTACGCGCCCGGCTCGACAGGGGATGCCTCGCCTACGGGCAACGACTCGCCGCCTAGTCCCGTGCGAAGCAAGAGTCGTATGATCCGTCCCGCCGCGAGCTCACTATCTCCTGCCCGCACAGCGCCACGGACACACGAGGAGGACGCCGGCCAGCTCCTCCCCCCCATGTATAATCTCGCCTGGACGCCGGGCTCAGCGTCCTATCCGCCTCGCGTGTGATGCCGGGCAACGTATCCAGTGTAGCAGTATTCGAAGAGATCCGACGTGGTGATGCATTCACGTACACGTTCCCCAACGAAAGGCTGCGTGTTCCAGACCCCACATATACCCCGCACGGCGTGCTCGGCCGTAATCGTCGGCGAGCTCCGACGCCGACCGACCCTCAGCCGAGCAAGCCGAGCGGAGTTGCTCGTCATGATCTGAACTCACGCGCCGCATCTATTCTTGAACAACCAACTGTCTTCTGTGCGACTTGATAGTGTTAAAAGCGAGAGGCGCACGTCCCACTCCTGCTCCGCATCAACCCCGGCGAAACTACGATGCCGCCAGAATCCCGCGCACACGAGAAGGAGGCGGTGATGCCGCCGCTCAAGCCGTCCGAAACAACACTCTCGTCGCGTTCAGCGCGCGCAGCCCTCCGCGCACTCGAGGACTTCGAGGCCTCCCCCGAAAACCCGCGCAACTGGGCGAGCCGGCGCAAGTGGCGCACGATGTTCACGGTCGCCATGACGGGCTTCATCGCGACGACAGGGAGCAGCATCGCCGTGCCGGGCATCCACTCCGCCATGGCCGAGTTCGGCACGCGCAACGAAAAGGTCGGCGTGCTCGTCGCGAGCTGCTACGTCCTCGGGCTGGGGTGAGTCACCCCGCGACGCGGTTGACGTCAGCGCGGGGCCGTTTCTCTTCGCCCCCATCAGCGAGCTCTGGGGACGCCAGGTCGCGTACCAGTCCTCGCAAGTGTGCTTTACGCTATTTTGCATGGCGTGCGCGCTCGCACCCAAGTGAGTCTATGGTGGAAGGGGCTGATGGCAGTATGGCGGCGCTTCTGGTCCTGCGCTTTTTCTGCGGCGTATTCGGATCTGTGGGTCCAACACTCGGCGTTGCGACTTGCGCCGACGTCTTTGCGCCGCATGAGCGCGGGCGGCCCGTGTCCCTGTACGCCCTCGGACCTATGACCGGCCCCGTGCTGGGCAGTATGCTCGGCTACTGGATCCTCTACGGCGGCTGGCGCTGGACGCATGGCGTCATGGCCATCATGGCCGCCGCCAACTTCGTCCTACTCTCTTTCGTGGACGAGACTTATGCGCCGTAAGTCTTCCCCCCCGTTGCTGTCTGACCCCAGCGCGGTGCAGAAGAAGCTTTCGTACACCATCAAGCACCCCCTTCCCGATGCCCGCGGCCTCGAGCGCCTCTCCCCACACCGCTTTCTGCACGAGCGCGGCTGGATGCGCGCCATGGTGTCGCGCGACGATGCAAGTACGGCGTTCAAGAAGGCTTTTTCCCGCCCGCCTCGCCTCCTTTTCGGCAACCCCGTAGCCTTCATCTTCTCCCTCTACTACGCGTACATCTACGCCGTGCTGTACCTCTTCATCGTCTCGCTCAACCTGCTCTTCGGGCAACCGCCTTTCTCCACCCCCGGCCTCTTCTCGTACGGCTGGCCGCAGTCCACTGTCGGCCTATGCTATTTGGGTATGACGGCGGGCTTTGGGCTGAGCGCGCTCACCGCCGCCACGATGCAGGACCGCATATACCGCAGGCTAAGCAAGAAGAACGGGGGCGTTGGCCAGCCGGAATATCGCGTAGGTCTCTCGCGGGCCCGCTCACACCAGCTCGTCCTCACCGCCATCGGGATGTGTATCATGCCCTGCGGCTTGTTTCTTTTCGGCTGGACGGCTGGCCGCACACATTGGATCGGCCCACAGATGGGTCAGGCCGTCACCTCCTACGGCCTGATGTTGGCTTTCAACTCGATCCAAGTGGGTTTATCAAATCATGGGATTGACGATATCATGGGGACTGACGACAGAACTTTATTGTCGACGCATTCTACCCATACTCTGCCGCGGCGACGGCTAGCGCAACCTTTGTGAGCACTAATTCTGTCAGCGTCTGACGGCAGGCGCGCTCCGTCACAGCGTGTGTGCTCCCCATCTTCGCACCAACAATGTATCGTAATCTCGGGTGGGGTTGGGGATCGACGCTACTCGCGCTTCTCGCAGCGGTCGCCATTCCGGCCCCTTTCGTCATGTTCAAGTACGGGCAACGCCTGCGCGAGCGCTTCAAGTTCGAGGGCTGAGCATTAATTTGCAAGTGACCACGCCGTGTATACTAGATGCTAGAATCTTGTCGTTCTCGCGCTTAGCGCGCCAAAGCCGGCACGCGGAATCGTGCCCGCCCCACTCTTGCCCGACACGGGCGAGAGGAACGAGGGTATCACACCGTCTCCGCTCTGTCGTCAGTTGTGACCACGCAGCACGCACGTTGAGTATGGGATCCCATGTGAACGCCGGCATCGCGCCGCCGAGGATGCGTTTCTTCTTTTTCTTCTCGGGCGCTACCGCTGGGGCCTCGTCCTCGCTGTCCGCTGGCGTCGCGACGGCCTTTTTGGACTTGGACTTGGCCACCACGGGCGACGAGGACTGGTCGTTGTCCTCCTTCTCCTGCAGCGGCTTGGATTTCTGTCATCAGCTGCAGTCTTGGAGGGAGCTGAGCACGTACCGATTTGCGCGCCTTCTTCGGCGGCGCCTGGTCCTCAGACTCGTCTGCCACGGGGCTCGTCTTTCGGACCCTAGTGGACTTGTCAGGAGAGGCGGCGACGGCCTTGGCCTTCTTCTTGGGCTTCTCGGGGGTGGCATCGGCGACGGCAGCCTTCTTCCTCGGGGCCTTCTTGACCGGGGCAGATTTGAGAGCCTCAAGCTCCTCCTCAACCCCAGCGAGGCGCGCAGACTCCGCCTTGGCGGCCCGGTACTTCTCCTTCAAAGTTCGTAGCACCTCCTTGTACTCGGTCTTGGTTTCTTCTGCCTCCTCCCGCGCGGCGTCGGCAGCCTTCTCGTGTTTGCTCGCCTCTGCCCTGGCCCCTCTGAGCTGTGCCCGAAGCTCAGCTAGTTCCTCCCCATCCCCAGCGCTCTTCGCGGAGGCGTTCTGGAGCCGCTTGATCTCGGCGCGTGCGTCGGCCTCCTTCTCGCCCAGCATGCGATGTGACTCCTCAAGCTTGGCGAGTTTGGATTTGAGCTCCTTGAGTTGCCCTTGCAGTTCGGCCACTTCCTGGCCGTCTCGCTCAGTCGATACGCGCGCTTGGCTCGCAGCTGCCTGCTGATGCGCGAGACTAGTGTTGGCGGACTCGAGCTGGGCCTGAGGTGAGCTCCATTCCCACGTCTCCAGTTCACCTCTAGCGCAGCAATCTGGGCGTCCTTGCTCACCAACTCATCGATGGAGTTTGCGACGCGACTCTCGGCAAGTGCCAGCGCGTGCTCACCCGTTACGCGTTGAGCTCTCGCTGACTGCGCTGCCATCTCTGCCTCGAGCGCCGCCCACTCGTCGTCGGCCGCCGCCAGCGCAGCCTTCTGCGCCGCAACAGCGGCAAGAAGGTTTAACTGTTGTCAGATAATGACACAGACACCAGTTCACCTCGTCGTGGCTCAACTGCTCACGCAGCTTGCTCGACTCGACTTGGCACTGGAACTTTGAGGACCGGGCTCCCCCCACTTCGAGCTGGTGTCGGAGGAGCGCGCGCTCGTCTGCCCACTCCTCAGCGAGCCGTTCTTTGTCTCGGACATTCGCCTCGACTTTACGCTACAATCAGCAAGTGGCTAGCCAGCGGTATACGCACCTGCTCAGCTTGGTATTTACGGACGAGCTCCTGCACCTGCTTCTCGAGGTTCGCGATGCGTGCTCGTGTCGGACCAGGCGTTCCTGGCGCTTCTCCGTCCACGTCTACGGAGGGAGACTGGCTAGCTGAGTCTGCGTGCAGCCTTCGGCGTGATGAGCGGCTTGGAGGTGTGTCCATGGCGGATGCGGTTGTGGCTAAATCTCATCGGCATCGGCAAGTTGTTTGTTTACATCTTGTCATGGTTTTTATCCGAGCCCCCGGTAATGTTGGGTGGACCTCCACTCTGGCGAAGATGACAGTCAACGCGTATCCTCGATTCTCACATATCTCCATCCATCCATAATCCGTCATGAGCGACGAAGACTGGGTCACTGACTCCAACCAGGCTCTTGAGCTGCAGCTTGGTGAGCTCTTCCTCCTCCGAATCTAATCGCAGTGCGCCCCGACGAAGAGGACGCGCAGCTAAAGGGCGCCGATCGCGCAGCCGTCGAGCCCTTCCACCCAACCTTCACGTACCCGATCTTCGGCGACCAAGAGAAGATCTTTGGCTACCGTGACCTTTCCATCCAGGTGAGCTGTTTACAAGAGTCCGCTGACGATAGCTCCGCTTCGCCAGCGGGAGTTTGAAGCAGTACCTGTCTATAAACTACGACGAGAAGCTCGACAGCGAAGACACGCCTGCCGACGACGTTGAGCGCGAGCTGTACAAGTTCATTCCGCCCGACTACACGAAGAGCGCTGTAGATTTTGACACCACTGTGAAGGCGGACTCGGGGTTCACGCCCTGCGGAGACAAGATCGCGAGCTATTCCCGGGCGGCGGCCACGTCCAAAGGCAAAGGGAAAGCGAACGGTGCCGCGGCACCATCTGAAGACGACGACGATGCCGTCGTGTTCGAGGTGTACCACGTGAGATTGACCCCCTCGACAAGCTGACAGCAGTCGACGTGGGACACTCCCCGCTTCCGCGAGTACCACCGGCGCATGCAGGTGTTTGTCCTGCTGTACATCGAGGGCGGCAGCTACATCCAGGAGGACGAGGACGCGTGGGAGTTCTTCACTCTGTAGGTTGTGCCTTCGCGTGGCGTCTAACGGCAGGTTCGAGCGGCGCAAGCGCCCGGCGGGCGGGTACTCGTTCCACTTTGTGGGCTACACGTCTGTTTATCCTTTCTGGCACTATCCCGATCAGATCCGTCTGCGCCTCAGCCAATTCGTCATACTCCCGCCGTACCAGCACCTCGGGCATGGATGTAAGTGTTGCCGTGAGGCTGGAGCGTTGGCTGATGACAAGCACGATTGTACAGCGCACTCTTCGACTACATGCTCAGCCGCCCGGACGTCGCCGAGCTCACGGTCGAGGATCCCGCGGAGGCGTTCGAAGACCTACGTGACCGCAACGACCTACGTTTCCTCGTCAAAGAGGGCGTGCCCGACGACCCGTTGTTCCTTGTTGGCGTGGGGGCGGAGAAGCGCGGAGTCAGATCTGCGTGGGAGGCTGGGCTGCGGAAGAAGTACAAAATCGCGCAGCGCCAGTTCGACCGCCTGCTGGAGATGCTACTGCTGCGCCAGCTCGACCGCAAGGACGCAGACAAGGTGCGCGCTTATCGTCTCCAGGTCAAGTCGCGCCTATACCGCTTCAACTACGTACGTCTTGCTCCTGTCTCATACTTTCACATCTGACAAAATCAGGAGATGCTCTCGACGATGACGCCTGACGAAAGGAAAGAGGCGCTCGCCAAGACTTATCAGTCGGTCGTAGAAGACTACGACCGCCTGCTGAAGATGACGTTCCACTAGTGTTATAAATATATGCAGATATGACCTATCCCTCGACCTTCCAAAGCGCTGCACGGCTACGCTTGGGCTTGCGGGTGACATGCACGGCCATGCCATCGCCGTCATCCTTGAGAGCAAGTACGACGCTCTCCTCGAACTGCGACACCCCAGCGGCCTTTTTCCTCGCAGCTATCGCGCGCTTGGCGAACGCAAAGCGGTCCTGCATGAAGGAAATTGGGAGGTCTGGGCTCTCCACGCACTGCTTGAACAGCTCGAAAGGCAGAGGCACATAGGCTGCGAGCAGGCGCGGATCAGTGGCGAGCGTTCCCTGGGGGGCGGCCTTGATCTGCTCCGGTAGCGTGCGAAGAAGGAAGTCGAGCACGTCGCGTCTCAGGCGGGCCGAGTAATCGCCATAGTCCGACTCATATCCAGCGCTCCCGAAAGCGAAGCCGTTGCCGTTGGGAGCGGAGGATATCCCGACCCACTCGATGTACTCGCTGATGTTGGACGCCGAGATGGCGGAGGAAACGCAAGAGTACGCCACGTCGGCAAGGTCGGGCTCGCCAAAGAGGTGAGCGGCGGCGAGAACCGCGCGGGCGTTCTTCGCAGTGACATGTTCCAGTGAGGGGTCTGTAATTAGCTCGCCTGCCTCGTGCTACAGTCGGTGACGCACTGTAAAGATGCTGCAGGGTAATGTACACGGCCTGAGCGTCAGCTTTGTACAGTCACAGAGGAATATGACCCACCTCCTCGGTAATGTTCTCATCCGTGAACGCCAGCTGCAGCGTGCTTCCGGGCATGAGAGTGATTATGAGGTGTGCGAGGTAGGGGCTGCGCGCGAGGATCACTGTCGTCAGCGTTAGCCCAGTATGAGAAAGGGAGACGTACGGCGGTGCAGCTTGAGCGACGTGTTGAAGAACACCACCTGAATGTCGGCGAACTGCTGCCCGCAGAACCCGCTGTTGAAGATGTACTCCTGGAGGCTGGATGCAAAGGCTCTGGGGTGATGTCAGTCCTGAGACGATGAGGAGCTGCGTCGGGATGAGAGGCTCACGTCTTGGGTTCCAAAGTATGAGCCGAGGTGGGGACCGTCGACGGGGTGGGGGAGTCCGTTCTAGTGGCGCTCATGTTGTGGACGTGTAGTGTAGGGTGGAGGGGAAAGGTGGAGTGTGAGAGATGAATGCTGAGACGATGAAGGGAGATGCTGTGTACGAATGTCCGCCGCGCTGCGGTCTTTTGTCTGTCTATTAGGGTATACGGCGATGACGGTGCCGAGTGAAACGATAGCGAGCGCGAGGAAAAGTGGAATGGACGGAGAGAAAAGGATGAAGGAGAGAGTGCTCGATGATCATGTTCAACTTTGATTGTTCGTGTGCCCCCCCAAACCTCCACCAGCAACCTTCTCTCCACTTCAATTGCCACCAACAACCCCAAATCTACAAATCCTCCTCTTTCGTCCTCCTCGCTTTCTCATACTCCACAAGCACAGAGGACAGGATGAGCCATCGCAGGCGACACCGCGCACCGCAGCCGCGCGTCGAGGTCATCACTCCCGCTGGGGAGGATGCGCCGTCCCTCTCAGTCACCATGCTCGGTGCGGGGCAGGAGGTCGGTCGCTCCTGTTGCGTTATTCAACACCGCGGGCGGACAGTTGTATGTGATGCCGGTTTGCATCCCGCCTACCCGGGGCTGGGAGGATTGCCGTTCATCGACGAGCTCGACTGGTCAACAGTCGACGCGATTCTCGTTACTCAGTGAGTGTCCTACACAACATATCCAGCCTTCTGTTGCCCGCCGGCCAGAGGCCCTCTCTCCGCTCAGTCCAGCTAACACCAGCTTCCATGTCGACCATGCAGCAGCGTTGCCTTACATCATGGAAAAAGTAGGGACTGCGACGGCGAGAGTGGTGCGCTGACCCAGACAAACTTCCGTGACGGCAACGGCAAGGTGTACATGACACATGCGACGAAGGCAATCTACGGATTGACCATGATGGACACAGTCCGCATCAAGTGCGTACTCACTTTGAATGCCCCACCGCATCGCTGACAGTAGCGACCAGCACTCGGACTCGTCAGGAAGGCTGTACAATGAGGCTGATGTTCAGGCGTCATGGCAGAACACCATTGCCGTCGACTATCACCAGGACATTGTCATCACGGGAGGGCTACGATTCACACCGTACCACGCGGGGCATGTGCTAGGCGCGAGCATGTTTCTCATCGAGATTGCAGGTCTGAAGGTGCTGTACACGGGCGACTACAGTCGCGAGGAGGACCGCCACCTCGTGATTGCGGAGGTACCCCCCATCCGGCCCGACGTGATGATTTGCGAGAGCACGTTCGGCGTGCACACGCTTCCAGACCGCAAGGACAAGGAGGAGCAGTTCACGACGCTGGTCAGCAACATTGTCAGACGCGGGGGTAAGGTGCTCATGCCCATCCCGAGTTTCGGGAACGGGCAGGAGCTGGCGCTCCTTCTCGATGAGTACTGGGACCAGCATCCCGAGCTGCAGGGCGTGCCGATCTACTTCGCCTCGGGTCTATTCCAGCGCGGCATGAAGGTGTACAAGACGTACGTGCATACAATGAACGCCAACATCCGCTCGCGATTCGCGCGCCGTGACAACCCCTTCGACTTCAAGTTCGTCAAGTGGCTCAAGGACCCGAAGCGGCTCGACCACAGGCAGCCGTGTGTGGTCATGGCGAGTGCGCAGTTCATGAGCTTTGGTCTGTCGCGTGAATTGCTCGAAGAGTGGGCTCCGGACGCCAAGAACGGAGTCATCGTCACGGGCTACTCTATCGAGGGCACCATGGCGCGTACGCTCCTCGGCGAGCCGGAACACATCGAGAGTTTGCGTGGCGGCCGCAACATCCCTCGCAGATGCACGGTGAAGGAGATCTCGTTCGGCGCGCACGTCGACTACGCCCAGAACTCCAAGTTCATCCAGGCCATCGGTGCGCAGCACGTGGTGCTAGTACACGGCGAGGCGAGCCAGATGGGCCGTCTCCGCGCTGCCCTGCGCGACTCGTACGCCACGCGCGGACAAGAGATCAACATCCACACACCGCGCAACCTCGAGCCGCTGACGCTGACCTTCCGCGCCGAGCGCGTTGTCAAAGCCATCGGAAGCCTGGCCGAGCAGCGCCCCGAGCACGGCGCGCCGCTCAAGGGTCTCCTGGTCTCCAAGGACTTCTCGTACACCCTGCTCGACCCCAAAGACCTCCGCGACTTCACGGGTCTGAGCACGAGCGCAATCACGCAGAAGGTCTCGCTGCCCATCGGCGTCGACTGGAGCGTGGTGCGGTGGCACCTCGAGGGCATGTACGGCGAGGTGGAGGACAGCGTGGACGCGGCAGGGCGCGAGGTGATGACTGTGAGTTTGACGACCATGCGTCGCTGACATCAGGTCATGAACGCGATCCGCGTCGTGCGCGTCTCGGACGTCGAAGTCCAGATGCAGTGGAGCTCGAATACGAGCAACGACATGATTGCCGATTCGGCGCTCGTCGTGCTTCTCGGCATCGACACGAGTCCCGCGACAGTGAAGCGTGAGTGTCCCCGCCGCCGCAGCTGACAGCAGTCACGTCCCATCCCCACCCGCACGCGCACCACGACCACGCGCCGGGCTCGTCGTCGGACTTTGACACGCTCCACATGTTCCTCGAGGCGCACTTTGGGGACGTGAGCCGGCCAGGTGTCGCGGGCCACAAGCCAGAAGAGAAGGAGGGGAACGGCGGGGCGGACGGGGAGGCAGAGGCAGAGGCAGAAGCCAAGGATAAGGACGACGACCTGCTCGCCATGACTGTGCGGGTTGACGGGGCCGAGGCGACCGTCGACCTCATCTCCATGAAGGTGGCGAGCGAGAGTGATGAGCTGCGCGAGCGCGTCGAGGCCGTGCTCGAGATGGCACTTACTACCGTCACGCCTCTCTCGCGCCTGTACGCCGGGCAAGGGCTGGATCATGTACACGAGCTCGACGAGGCTGCAGCCGAGGCGGCATAGTAGATGTATGCGATGCAGGCCGAGACAGTACAAAATACATTCCAAAGGGAGCTCTATAACACAACTACTGATTTGCAAGGAACTCGGCGGCCAGGCCCGCGCCAGTGCCCAGCCCACCTGTCCCAGCCTCGCCACCAGACGAGGCTGGGTGGACTGGCGGGAGGCCGCGCTGCGCGCGCCACCTGTTCGTCACGGCGAAAACCTCTTCGTCGGCAAGTTCACTGGGGTCAGCGCTGCTCGTCATCTGCACTGAAACTCACCCAAACTCGCGCAGCCACCGCTCCGACGCCTCCCAGTTGCGGTGGTCCAGCGCGTCATCGCCATGCAGCGTAAACTCGGTGATGTAGCCATGGAACGCCTCGACGAGATCGTACTTGCCGCGCAGCAGGATCATGCGGTCGCGGATGCTGGGGAACAGTATGCCGTCGATCGCGTGCTCGTGCGGCATAGTGCGCTGCACGGTAGTCGGCATGAGCGACGGCGGCAGCTTGTACTCGTGGTTGATGCGGAAGTTGTTGAGGTGGTACGTGATCAGTTGGAGAGCCTCGGTTTTGCGCTCGGTCGCCTCCTCGCCCTCCATGCTCTTGCGCAACTGCTCCTGCAAACGCCGGCGCTCTTCGACCTGCGCTTGCGTCATGTTGTTCGGGTTGGTGACGATGCGCGGGCTCGATACGGTGTCCGGCACTGAGTTGGTGATGTGCGCGACGGCGGCGCGGAGACTGCGCTGATGCTCGGCTTCGGCGTTGGGGCTGTGCGCACTCTCGTGCAGCGAGCTCGGCGTGCTTCCGGGGCCGAGACCAGTGCCGGAGTTGCTAGGTGGCGGGGGCACCACGCCGACGGCAGGCGACGTGCCGGAAGACACGGTGCGGATGCCACTCGTCGCGCCGCGCTGCAATCCCGCGCCTAGAGGCGGTCCGCCCCCGCCCATCCGAACTGGAAAGCCGCCTGTGTCGACCACCTCGTTGGTGCTTGTCGCCATTGTGGATGGCCCAGGTCCGGGGACGCCCAAGTTGGCGGGATCGGGGAAGAGAAAGTCCCACTCGCCGCCCTTGGAGAAAAACTCGCTCAGCCCGTTCAGTGGCGACATGGCTGCGCCGCTGCCGCTCGCACCAGCGGCGGATGTCTCACCGCGCGCCTTCTTGGCCGCCTCGGCCTGGCCAGTAAAGTCGAACATGAAATCGTCGTCGTCATCGTCGTCCTCGTCCTTCTTCCCTCGTCGCTTGCGTTTAGGCGCGTTCGCTGGGGTGGGCGGGAAGTGGGGCATCGGCCCGCGCGCAGCCTTCTTAGACAAGAAGGGTGTTGGGTCGTTCTTCCCGCCTTGCTCCTTGCTCGCCTTGAGTTGGACGAAGGCCTCGTAGGCTGTATCCGTGTCGGCGCGGTTCAGGATGGCGTCGAGCATCTGCGGCGTGAGGCCGAGGCGCGGGAGACATGAGCCGAGGCCTGCAGCCGTCAGCATCGAGTTGATGGGGTGCCAAGCTAGCTTGGCAGCAAACAAAGACAAAGGCAACTTGCCTTCACCAAAGAACTGGGACATGTTCTTGATCATGTTGCGCAACTCCTTGTTCTCATGCAGGAGATTGCGCACGAGTAGTAGCATGAGTTCGATGCGTTCATCCTTGTCGCCAGAGAGAATCTCGACGCGGGCCTCGAGATCGCGGATCTATGGTAAGCAGGGAAGGTGGAGTGGAAGGGTGAGAGGGTGTGGGTGTGGGGAAGGGTGAAGGTGTGGGGAAAGCATCCCGCGGCCACGGTGGAGGGGTGGGGCCGCGATGGCGATGAGAGCGTGACCAGTGATGGTGGGATGGATGCGGATGGAGACGCGGAGTGCTGCGGAGACCGGGAAAGATGAGGTGAGCATCCCAGGCCGGGATCGCTCGTCGTTGGCCGGATGGACGCTCTCGCCACCGGAGGGAACTCACGTATTGCTGCTGTCAGTGTCGCCGAGCGTGAGAGACGCACCTGTTTCCTCAAACGAAACTCTCGCTGTGCGATGCGATTCTGAGCCTTGCGAATCTGCGTTGCACTGGCATTGTTAGATTCTGGCGACTCTGACATTGTTTGTGTTTGTGGATGAGAGAAGAAGTGATGACTAATGGCGAGGACGTCAAGATGGGCAGAGGGGCCAGCGGGGGGGGAGGCTGGAAGAACGGGCCGGAGGGCGTCGCTTATCATGCCCTTTCGAGCCGGCGGTAACTCACCTCGTCTTTTTCGAGGGGTCGTCGTCGGGGGCGGCGGAGCCTGCGCGGCTCGAGTCGCTGCCTGTCATGATGGAGTGTGGCTTGGCTCGGAGGCCGAGGGCTGTGGAGAGATGGAAGGTTTAGACCGGTGGGGATGTTGGGGGGAGGTGAGGAGTTCGGTATTGAGATGCTCGGTTCAGCGGGGTTGATCACCGACGGAGTGAGGAGGTGAGGAATGACAAAGAAATCGATGCTGATTGCTGAATTGTCGACTGCGCACCCAGATGAGAAGGAGATCTAGGAGAGCGGATCGAGCGAGGTGGATGGAGCGGATCGAGTGGATCGAGAGAGACGCGGGGACGGCGACGGAATACGTCACTGGGACTGGCACATCTGCGTGTGCGGGCGGATGATGCGGACGATGACCGTTGACCGCTGACCGCTGACCGTTGACCGGGCTGAGTTGCCAATGGAAGACGGATGGCGACGCGGCTACCTCTCTTGACGTACGTACGCGAGAGACAGAGACGAGTGCCGAGATCCGAGTTGCATTCTAGCGCAGGGAACACGGAGCTACAGAAATAGTAGGCTGCAACGCAGATCCGCCGCAGGAAACGAGGCAGCCAGCAGCCAGCAATCGACGGATCCTGGACGCCATCAATGCCTAGCGCCTCGCGGCAAGGCAAGCAGACACCGTCCTCGCCTTTCGTTCGAGGACTGGGCGCCTCGCGCCTCGGTCATGGGTCAGCGGAAAGCAAGCGCTCGAGCGCTGCGTCAAGAATGGAGATCAGCAGATGAGGCGCTGCGCCGCGCCGGGCCCGATGCTGGCGTCGGGAGGCTCAGAGCCAAACCACGTGGGGGTGAGCCACGAGCGAACATGCGTTCCTCCACTTGCTCATCAACCATCCACATCCTTGTCCACGCACAATGCTGGCCAGCGCCCTCGTCGCCCTCGCCTCCATCGCCCTCTTGCATGGTGAGCTTGCACCGAGGCCACTCTGCTGACAACAGCCGCGTTCTCGGCGTATGAGTGTGAGTGCTGACGGCTACCTCGCGAGCCCCAGGCCTCGCCTTCCTCTGTTCTGCTCTCGCGCAACGCGGCGCGCAGCGGGCGCGCACAAGGAGCGCAAGCTGTACAGGCGTATCCCCGATACGTGTATTCTGGACCCGCCTGGTTGCACGCGAACCATGCCCAAGGTTTACCTTGACTCGACGGGCAGATGATAGCTCACCCTCCTAACCTCGCACTCGCAATGTCTGACGCTAGATCTGAGTGCGCTCAAGGCTCTCGGGCAACCTGGCGCGTCGCTGCCAACAAGTGTGAGTTTACGCTGCATAGCTTGCGTGTCCCCTTCGCGGCGAAAAGGTGTGAACAGCTGTTTTGCACGATGCACTTACGCGACCGCTGGCTGTCCGCGCATCTCCTCCTCCCACTCCTCCTCCATCTTTTTACCCGTAATACCCTCTACCTCCTCTCTCTTTCTTCGTTTCTCCCTTCTCCTCCCCCCGATCCCTCCTTACTAACCCCAGATCATCGCCGAGGCCCTCGTCTCCCTCGTCATCTTCATCCCGGCCATCACCCTCGCCTACCCCGCCCTCCAGGACGTGACTTTCCGCGGGGAGCTAGCGAAGCGGTGAGTCTTCTTGCTGCCAGGAGTCTCGTCTTAGCTCGCGGATTGCAGGGCAGCTTACACTGTGCTCGCTCATCTGCCTTGTTTACACTCCCCTCTTCACCCCACCCCGAGCCCCAAACTCGCCGCTCACTCCAGCACCCCAGACGACATGGACGCGCGCATGGGCTTCATGCGCCTCAGCGCACGCGGCGCAGCCCTCTTCGGCGACCGCGCATAGACTACATCTTATGCATAGTAGTAGTGGTACAACTATTGACCTCCATCCATCTCGCTCTGCTCGTCTGCTGCAGCGGCTGCTGCCGCGCCCAAAAGTAAAGAAAAGAAACACCGGGACATCCGCCGATCCGCAGGTCCCAGTTACATCCCCACCGTCCCGTTGTGGAAGATGGTCGAGGCCGGGAGGGGGTGGGGCGGGCCGCCAGCGGGGATCGGGACGCTCGGCGGGCGGGGCCAGCCCCTCTCGCCATGCTTGAGGTCAAACGCCTTGATCCTGGCGTCGTACGCCAGCTTCAAGTGGCCCGTCATGACAAGGAAGTCCCAGATCCTCGACGCATTGTTCACGTCGAGACGGTGGTGCAGCCGGGCATCGCGCCGGCGGAGCTTGCCGCCCGTCGCCTCGTTGCGCACGACCATGGACAGCTTGACGGCCTGGAACCGCAGGGGCGCCATGCGCGTGTGCGACGCAACCGTCGCCTCCATCGGCGTGAGCAGCTCGATGCCCTCGGCATTGCGCAAGTCCTTGGGCTTGGGCGCCGGGCGCGCGCGCACCGGCGGCGGGTCGCGGCTGACGGCGCGCGAGTCCGCCGGCGGCGTGCCGTGCAAGTAGCGGTTCTGCCCGGCATTCGCGCGCGCGCCCGTCCGGATCGGGTCGGGCTCGCGCGTCACAACCGGCCGCTGGCCTGCACGCGCGGCCTTTTTGGTGTCGTAATCGTCGGCCTCTTTGCCCGTCGTGATGCCCATACGGCGATACTCCTGCAGCTCGGCGATCCTGCGCCGCAGCTGCGTCTCGTGCAGCATGCCTTCGCAGAAAACTTCAAAGTCCTCGGCCGTCTGCAGCTTGGCGAGCGGCTTGAAGCGGGCGATGAGCTCCCTCTCCTCCTTCGGGCGCTTCCGGTCCTGACCTGTGAGCTGCGGTTAGCTATGTGCCCATAGAGACGCGAGCTCACCAGCTTGTACTGCGTCAACGAGCGGTCGAAAATAATGTCCTTTGCCCGCACACGCTTGTCGAGCTTGTACCGGTAAATGTTGAGGAGAGCAACCTTGACCTCGAGCTCATCCGCGTCCTCGACTTCAAGAGTCGGCTCGGTATCGGTCGGCTCCTCCTCTTCGCCCCGCTTTCGCTTGCCCGGCGAAGTGCTACCCGAGGCCTCGCCTTCCTCAATCTTGGGCTTGACGTCCTCCTCCTCCTCCTCATCCTCGTCGCCGCCTTCATCCTCCTCTTCCTCCTCCTCCTCCTCCTCCTCCACAGGGCGCGTAACCTTGGCCATCGGCTGGTCGGCTCCACCGTGCTCGAGCACCAGCCCAAACTCCAAGTCTTTTATCACCATTTCCGCGTCATTCTCGAGCTCATACTCAAATTCGAGACGGCCAGGCATGAAGCCGCCGACCTCGTGGTTGGTCGGAGCAGACGTGAGAGTCTTGGCAGCCTTTGCGAGTGGCTGAGGTCTACGCAGCTCCTCTATCCTCGCCTTCTTGCGGCGCTGGAATTCATCAGGGTCAATGTCGAAGGTGCGGTCCATGGGTGGCATGAACACGCTGTAGTGCTCGTCTTCAGGCGTCTCGTGGGGCATCTCAGAGTCCTTCTTGACATCTGGCCCTTCGCCGACACCGAGGTACACTTCAATGTAGTGCCGCTCACACTCCTCCTTGGTACGTGTGCCGACGTGGTCGGCAATCTCAATCCAGTTGCCTAGACCGTGGAGTTGGCAGCCGTTAAGGAGAAGCATTTCCTCGTCTGCGCCCCAGTCGCTGCTGAAAATGGGGTACGAGTGCTGTTCCTGTTGTTAGCACGCGTGCGAGATGCTTAGATACTCACAATGACCTTGTAGTCGTGCCAAGGCTCATGCTTCTGGACCTTTTTGCCCTCGCTGAAACAAGTGGGGCAGATGTCGATCTCGGTGCAGTCGTGATGAGCGCACTTGATGCGGACAGTATGGGTGATGTCGATTCCACCTGGGGTTAGTTGGCATGCCCAACGACATGGGCTCTCACAAATGTCGCAAGTGTACTTGATTCCGGGCTCGGTGACTGGAGTGAGACGTGATCACGGGTGTGGGTTGGGTTGGGGGTGTATACTCACTGACGCGATCTTCCGGGCCGGAGGGGTCCGCGGCGCGAACGCGACGTTGGGTGACGGTCATGTTGTCGTGGTTTTGGTCGTTGTTTGTGTTTTGTTCAGCCGACCCCCTCGCTGGACCTGCCATCTAATGACGCAGGAGGTCGATGATGAGTGGTGGAGAGGGGGATTGTGTGAGGCGTGAGCAGGCGTTTGTGATGAGGGCCGGTGGGAGTGCGACGGCGAGTGTGGGATGGTCGGGTGACGGATGTACGAGAGTGGAGGAGAAAGTGGAGGGGGACACGAGGGGCGGGCACGAGCCAAGGCGATCGCCGTCCGGGTCCGGGAGCGGGGGCGGTGGGGGAGGGGATGGACGGCGGCGTCGGCGCTCTGGCGCTTTAGGCCGCCTCTGAGGCTTGTGTGTAGAGGGAGAGGGAGGTTGAGGAGGAGGAGAGGAGGATGTTGTTGTTGTTGATGATGTTGATGGGGGAGTGTGCGGTGGAGCGGGAACAGATCAAGCCACGAGCCCAGGAATGTCGTCGTCGGCTCCTTCCCCCCGAGCTCGTCACCGATTCGACCGATTCAATCTCGACGCGTTCTGCGCACGTACGTCCTCCACCACTCGATAATTTCGGCGAGGGTTTGTTCGCGCGCGCAGGCCGCCTGATTGCCAGCGCTGTTGCTAGCTTTGGACAATGTAGTCGTAGTCGATAGCACGACGTGTGCGAGGACAAGAGGAGATGTGATGAGAGATGACTCTGGCTGCTTGGCGGGGTCCAAGGAGGCACAGGGATGAAATGAGAGGAACCCATTCACTCAGGGCACATGGCCACATGAGATAGATACCGCCGCGGCGTTGTGCCTGTGGCACCTCGGAAATAGCAGGTGCAGCCGGGCGAGCACTGTTGTTCTGGGAGGGAGGCCTGTTTGCTGTTTGGGATGCATACATGTTCAGTGCGCTCTTCATCTACCATGCGCTACGCAAACCTACAGTCGTCGCCTACACCCCGTTCATTACACGCACGTCACACACAACGCGACGCGTGACAGTACATGACGATGGCATCGGGGGAACGCGTCGACATGAGGAACGGCCGAGATTACACGATGCCCAACGTCACCGATCACGGATGTGATGCGCTGATGGATGTGGTCGAAGAATGGCTCAAGGTACTCTTGCCCACCTAGCACACGCCAGCCGCGCGGCAGCATCCGAGGCGCGCTCCTTGGAGCAGCTGGCCTGGGAGGTGGACTGTGGCGTGTCTGGTGCGGTCAGTCACGGCGGTCGCATGTGCCTGAGGCGATTGCAGTCGTCTCAACGAGCTTCATCCACAGCCTCACCGCCCAAGCCTTGCGACCTCGACGTCAACGACAAGAGTCGTAGGCCGCACCCCGCCTCCAACCCCGCCTTGCCCGTGCATGTCGTTCCATGAGACGCACCACGCTCGGATGAAGCGGAGGTAACCGATTCTCGGGCCAACGACTGTGCCTCGGTTCAGCCGGCCCGGGCCGGACATCCGCCCCAGCCCACCACATCCACATCCGATCCACGTCGCAACCCAATCTCTCAACCACCCATGACATTCGACACCATCATCATCGGCGCAGGCTGGGCAGGCGCCGTCGCCGCGCGCGAGCTCTCGCGCTCCGGCCGCAAAGTGCTGGTCCTCGAAGCGCGGGACCGCGTCGGCGGCCGCGCCCGCACCTGGGTACACGGCGCGCACGCGATCGATGTCGGCTGCTCCTGGATCCACGGGTACAAAGAGGGCAACCCGGCGCGGGGCATTGCGGAAGAGCTGGGCGTCGTGAGTATCTCGTCTGGCAGGACTGACGCAGGCCGCGCACCTCCCCAAACCCGCCGAGCCGGGGCTGTATGGCCCCGCGGGCCCGCTGCCGAAGGACACGGCGGTCGCGTTGAGCGGCGCCCTCGCGGCGGCCGTCGCGGGCGCGCGCACGCCGCACCCGCCCCCGCCGCCCGGCGCGTCCCTCGCCTCCGCGCTTTTCGCGGATACTTCCCCGCTCTATGCTACGACGGACAAGGCGACCGCCGAGGCGTTCGCCCGTACCCTCGAAGTACCGCTCGGTCTCAAGCTCGAAAATGCCTCGGCGCGCTGGGCCGGGTGGGAGGCCGCGACGAACTTTTCTGGCTCGGACGCCGCGCCGGAGGGCGGGTACGAGGCGCTGGTGTCGCGCGTGCTCGACGACGCGAAGGCCAACGGCGTGCAAGTCCGCTTGAACGCCAAAGTCACGGGGATACGCGAAGGCGACGCCGGGGTCTCCGTCACCGCCGGTAGCGGCGAGGAATACACTGCCAAAACAGCAATCGTGACGATCCCCCTCGGCGTGCTCAAGCACTCGCTCGACATCTTCCGCCCGGCCCTGCCGGAGCGCTACGCGTCCGTCGTGCGCGGCGTGCACGTGGGCGTGCTTGAAAAGCTCTTGCTGCGGTACACGGAAGCGTGGTGGCCGAACGCAGCCACGACGGGGGGATACACGTTCCTCCCCACCGCCGCGCCGCCGACTGAGGGCAGCTCCGCCCTCGAAGTGCTCGAGGGCAGCACGCTCATCGTAGCCAACTTTGCCGCGGGCACGCTGCCCCCCGGCCCCGCGCCGATTCTGCTCGCATACCTCTCCGAGACGCCCGCCACGCTCCTCAAACAGGCTGACGCTGGCGCGGCGTTCCACACCTTCCTCCAGAAACGGTTCGGCGTCGCTGGCCCCCCGCCAGAGGAGGTGCACCTCACGTCGTGGCTGACGGACGAGTACGCGCGGGGCGCGACGACCACGCCCAGCGTCATAAGCGAGGGCGAGCGCTCCCCTATGGACTTTAAGGAGCTGAGCCGCCCGCTGTGGAATGGACGGCTGGGGTTCGCGGGCGAACACACCGAGATGGAGAACCGCGGGAGCGTCGCGGGCGCCGTCATCTCGGGTCTGCGCGAGGCGGCGCGCGTCGAGCGCCTGCTAAAGAAGGGTCTGTAGCATGGAGTGCAATGAATAGCAAAGCTCAGTACTGCGCGTGCAAAAAGACACCTGAGCCCACGCCTGACGTGTCAAGACCTCTTCCGCCCACCAGGCCGCCAGCGTCAGTCATCAGTCCGAAATTCTCTCCCACCCCTCCCATACCGCCAGAGATAACCAAAGGTACATCGACTCGCTTAAGCAGCAATGGTGACCTCGACCTCGACTCCGGGCTCGAGCGAGATCGACGTGATCTGCTTGACGACCTCGGCCGACGACGTAAGGTCGATGAGGCGCTTGTGGATGCGCATCTCGTAGCGGTCCCAAGTCTTGGAACCCTCACCACAAGGCCTGGCGTCAACATCCTTCTCCTTCTCGTCCTCCCCTCCCTCGCCAATACTCACGACTTGCGGGTGGTGTGCTTGAGCACCTTGGTCGGGAGGCGCACGGGGCCCTTGACGCGCAGGTCGCGGTCCTTGGCGCGGTTGATGAGGTCCGCCGAGAACTTCTCGAGGTTCTTCACGTTACGCGAGGTAAGCGTGATGCGGATCTGGCGTGAGCTCTGCCACTGCCGTGCGCGCTTGGCCCGCGCTACGCACCTTGTGGGTCTTGGCGGCGGACGCGCCGGTCTTGTCAAAGTCCTTCTCGGCCATTTTGATGCGTTTTGTGTACGGGGCGACTTAGCACCAGGTGTGTAGAATGCTGGCGCAGGCAAAGTGACCAACCGTGAGTTGAAAGCGATGCGCGAGCCGCGAATTGAGGCCGAGTTTGGGACAAAAGCGTAAAGAAATTCAATTTCTGCGCGTGGCGAAATACTCCCGCCGCACGTGGGATTACGTGTGGGCAGATTTCGTTCATCTCCTCGGCCCGTTGCAGAGCATCAATCTCCTCGCCTCCCACCCCCGCCGCTATGGTCCGCCTCATCACGCACAACATGCTGGCGTGCCATGCGCGTGCGTATCCCCCCCGCGCAGCTGACAGCAGGCAACTGCACGAAAGACAACTTCCCGCTCGTGTTCAGCGACGTCGAGCTCGTCGTGCGCGAGGCCGAGCTCAACCCCGACTTCCTGCGCCGCTTCCTCCCCAAGCTCGACTGGGCTGCGCTCGTCGACACGGCGCGCTCGCTCGGCGACACGGCGCTGCCAGACGACATGCCCGCCGAGTGGACCGACGCGCAGCTGCAGCACCTGCACCACGTGCTCCTCGAGGTGCGTCCGCCGAAGCCGCGCTCACACCAGATGCACGTCGAAGAGGGCAACATGACATGCCGCGGGTGCGGGCACGTCTACCCCATCCAGAACGGCATCCCAAATATGGTGAGTGCGCAGCGGCACCGCCAACTAACCACAGCTCCTCGCAGAGCACGAGATCGCCCGCTAGTTGTACTACTGTATGCATGTTATTTACGTCTCCTAGCGGCGCCCGTAGGGCGGCTGTTGGTAGCCGCCGCCGTACCCGCCGCGCTGGTTGCGGAAGCCTTGGCCGGTATGGCCGTGTCCGCCTTGGGCGCCGTGGGCTCCGTGGGCTCCTGCGCCGCCTGGTGCACCTGGCCCTCCTGGTCCGCCCGGTCCGCCTGGTCCGCCAGGCCCAGCGCCGAGACCGGGTGCACCGTGTGCTCCGCCGAAGCCAGGCCGCCCATACCCGTTCTGGAAACCTTGCCCGTGTCCGCCTTGCCCGTGTCCGCCCTGCCCGTGTCCGCCCTGCCCGCCCGGCGCCTGTCCGCCCTGCGCATATCCGCCCTGTCCGTGTCCTCCTTGCCCGTGTGCGCCCTGCCCCAGCGCGCCCTGCTGACGTCTCGGGTCGCGCTCAAATCCGCGTCCGTCGCGCTCAAACCGCCCCGGCGCTTCGAAGCGTCCACCAGCAGGACCAGCGCCGGGGCCAGCGCCGGCGCCCGGCCCCCCTGGTCCGTCGAACCTCGGCGGACCATCGAAGCGGCCTGGCGCGTCGCGCCCCCACTGCCGCCGCTGCGGCCCCGCCTGCGCTTGAGACGGGAGCCCGCGCATCCCCGGCGGGGGGAGCGGCGGCGTGCCCGCCCCCGGTCCTCGCGCGATGCCCCCCGCGAGGCCGGGCAGGCCGCGGGTCGGTGTCGAGTTGCCGGACGGAATGGCGGGCTTGGCCATAGAACCCCCCAGCCCCGGCAGCCCCGGGAGGCCGGGCACGCCGATGCCCGGCGGCGCGGGCTTGTCGTCGAGCGGCAGGCCGGGCCAGCGGGATTTGGTCGCCTCCTCGGCTTCGGCGCGGAACGCGCCCTCCTCGCCCAGGTGGTAGCGGTCTATCTCGTGGTTGCCGCCCGGGCGGGCGCGGCACCAGAAGCGCGCGGTGAAGTCCTTCGAGCCCGAGCAGAGGATGTGGCCGAGCGGGTGGAACGAGAGGGAGAAGACGGCTTCGTCGTGCGCTGCTTCCAGCAGCGTCACGGGCTTGCTTGGGTCAGGCGCCAGGAGGGACCAATAAGCGATGGAGCCGCCGGCGTCGCCGCTCGCCAGGAGGTTGTGGTGGATCGGATGCCATGCGAGCGTGTTCACCTCTTTCGTGCCCTTCAGCGCCTCGAGTTCGCGGAAAGTACGGATGTCGAAGAGACGGATGTATCCGTCTCCGCCGGCTGTGGCGACAATATGCCCCTCCGGGTTCCAGGACGCGGCGTTGACGACCGCTTTGTGCGAGTGCAACGTGCTCAGCTCTTTACCGGTGCGCGGGTCCCAGAATTTCACCAGCATGTCCTTGCTTCCGCTCACGACGAGGCCCTTGGTCGGATGCCAGTCGACGCAGCGCACATCCCATCCGTGCCCCGAGAGCTCGCGTTCAGATGACGCGGCGCGGTAGTTCCAGATCTTGACCAGACCGTCGTCGCCGCCAGTCACAAACCGCTCGTCGTTCGGACTCCACGAGATGCCATGGCACGCCTCCCGGTGCCCCTGGAAGCCGTGGATGTTGGTCAGGTGCGGCGTAAAGTACTTGATCGTGCCGGCTTTGTCTGTCGACACCAGCGCCGTTCCGTTATGCGAGTAGGCCATGGAGCGGATGCTGTCGTCGTGCACCTGTGTGATCGACTCGTAGTTGAACGACGCACCGTTCCACAGCGTGAACTGCCCTTTGTCGTTACCCGTCAACAAGCGACGCGCGTCCGGCGTCCACTGCACCACGCGGGTGGGGGAGCGTTCCTTGTTGATACTTGTATGCACAAAGTAGTCGCAGATCGAGGTCGACGGGTCCTTTATGTGCGCCACGGGAGGCAGGAGGTTGATGATGTCGCTCGGATTAGGATGTATTGGCGGCAACGTAATGGGGATGGCCTGCTTCTTGCTCAACTGTCGTCAGCCGCGTTCACTCATACACCTCACCATACGCCACTTCTGCACCCCGCCCATGTAGTCGACCGTCCTGCGCGGCTTGTATTTCCTGTTTGTACGTGTATCGCCGGCTGGCCGCGTCACCGCTGCCTGGTATGCGGCCTGCTCCAGCACCTCCTCATTGTCGGGATGGTTGGGCTCCAAGTAGCGCTTCGGCGCCCAGGTGTCGGGCTCGCGGGGCCGGGACGGCCCGGCCACTGGTGCTGTGGATGGCGCTGTTGCTACTGCCATCGTAGATGTGGGAAGCGAGGAGACAACGATTGAGGGAGTGGTGATGCAGAGATGTCCAAGTGGTTAGTCCAGCTCGTGCCTGGACTGGCGGGATCAAATTTGTACAAGCTCACATCCAAGTCGAACACTTGCGACAAAGTCATCAACAGCCAAATCCACTCTCACCACCACCATCATCCTCCCCATCCACAACAACAACAACGACAGCAATCACATCACTACGTCGACATGAGCCTCAGGCCGCGTCACTAACCATCGCACAGGCACAACGCGTATCGTCCACCTGCGGCACCGCCCTCCTCGCTTAAACCCCCGACGCGTCCATCCACCCTCTCTTCGACCCCGGCGCGCAAAAGTCGCCCCCCTGTCTCCACACCCTCCCCCACCCCCGCTTCCCGCCTCTCCGCCCCACTCCCGCGCAATGGTGTACGACCCCGTGCGCGACTGTGACATCCCCAGTCCGGCCGCCAGTCGGCGCCCCTCGCTGTGGGAGACGCCCCCGCCTGGCGCGCCACACGCGCAACCGTATCCTCAACATGGCGGCCCACCCCCTCCCCCTGCGTTCCAGCACGAGCGCTCTCCCATCCCCTCCCCCTCAGTCCGACCGGCCAGTGCTGGAATACGCTCTCTTCTCAACGACGAGCCCGACGCGTACGCGTCAAGACGTGGGTCTGACCACACCACCGTTTCCTCCGCGCCCGACGAGGAGCACTCATCCCGCCCCCACCTCGCAAAACTCCTCAACGAATCGGCCCCGCCACTTCGCCCCACCTCGTCACACTCTGGGCATTCGGGCTCCCCTCGCCTCTCCTCCCCGAGCGTAAACCTGCATCCAGGCGGAGCACGAGGCGCTGTCGGTGTGCGTTCGCCACACTTCCACTCCAATCCCTTACCCCAACACTTCGTCTCCTCCCCGAGCACAGCGTACCCACACGATTTGCTGGTTCCCGGCCCCTCCTCCCGACGATCTTCCATCGACACGCAGTCGATGCCGCCACCCGAGCCACCCGTGGGCGTCATGAGGCACGAGAGCGCACCAAGCCTGTACACGCGCGTATCGCCCGCCGGCTCCGTCTCTCCCCGCGCCCACAGCATCGGCCTGCCTCCGGCGCCGGTGCGGCGCGGCAGCGTTTCACGCCCCACCTCGGCGCGCGGTTCGAGTGGAGGTTTCGCCGCACCACTTCCTCCAGCTTCGAGCTCGCCGGAGGGCTCGGTTCGCCACCTCTCCGAAGAACGGAGCGTGGGTCCCAACGGCCGCCAGGCCCCGCCCGCGAGCAAATACAACCCTGTTCAGCCGTCAACATACCGTGCCATTACGGCCGATGAGCTGAGGGGGCTGCGCGAGCGCGCGCTGGCCAACAACCCGCTCCGGCGAAAAATGCAGCGTGCCGCTCCCTCATGGTCTGCACCCTCGCCTCGCGTGGAGGACACGGACGCGCCGCGCTCTGGCGGGCCTTCGCGCCGCGGCTCGACGGCGTCCAATGTCGAGAGACCATACATGGGCAGGAACGGCGACGAGCCCGCGGTCGGCAACAAGCGGCCCTCGGCCGAGGCGGCGGACGGCGACGCGAAGCGGCAACGCACATCCTACGTGGGCAACGTAGCGGCGATCGCGTCGCACTACAACCAGCGCGCCGAGGTCGGTGTTGAGCAGCGCGAGTACTCGCCGATCATTGGGCTGAAAAAGTTCAACAACTGGGTCAAGAGCGTGCTCATCGGCAAGTTTACTGCGCGGCGCGGGCGCGGCGGCGGCGCCAAAGTCCTCGACATCGGGTGCGGCAAGGGCGGCGACCTGAATAAGTGGAAGCAGGCGCGCATCGCGCTGTACGTCGGCATGGACATTGCCGCGACGTCGATCGACCAGGCGCGCGAGCGGTGGCAGACGATGCGCGGGAACCGGTTCGAAGCCTTCTTCGCCGCGCACGACTGCTACAGCAACCCGATCCACGAGGCGCTGCCGCCCCAGTACACGGTGCGCGAGCTGTACGACAACGTCAGCATGCAGTTCTGCATGCACTACGCGTTCGAGACGCCCGCCAAGGCGCGCATGATGATGGAGAATGTCTCGAGATATCTCAAGCGAGGCGGTGTGTTCATCGGCACGATCCCCAATTCTGCCCTGCTTCTGTGAGTAATCGGGAGAACCCCCGTTCCTGTCGCGAGACATGCTGACCCCAGCCACCGCCTCGAAGAACTGCCCGAGGGCGAGCTCACGTTCGGCAACACGTGCTACCACATCACGTTTTCGGAGCGCGAGCACAAGGGCTTGTACGGGCACGAGTACCGGTTTTATCTCGAGGACGCGGTCGAGGATGTGCCAGAGTACATTGTCGACTGGGACAACTTCGTCGCACTCGCCCGCGAGTATGGCCTCGAGCTTATCTACCGCAAGACGTTCAATGACATCCTGCAGGAGGAGCAGGGCAGCCGCGACTTTGGCCCGCTGCTCGGCCGGATGGGCGTTATCAACGAGAGTGGCGAGAGCGCCATGGACTCGGACCAATGGGAGGCGGCGAGTGAGTTGTCGCGGGGTGGAAGCTTGGACACAACTGACGGCAGACCTCTACATGGGCTTCGCGTTCGAGAAGCGCGGTTGATTTCTCGCGCCCACACCTTCGTTCACATGGTGACCTCTGTCATCCGATCAGGCTTCGGCCTTATACCAATTTGCGATACCTTGCTGGAGACAATGTACGAGCGCTCGCGCCAGGTGTAACAGCCACTGCATGTGTTATGTGTACACTTTGATTATGCAGGTGATATGGGGACATGCGGGGTAGTGCGTGCAGGTGGGGTATCTTGGGTATCTTGGCGAGCATGCTCAGGCCTGGGGTGTTGATAGATCCCGTCGCTCCCACACCTGGATCACCGTCTCGCCCAGGAAAACCATTTCCGGGCGGACTTCGTCGACACGGAGGTCCTGCATTTCGAACCACTTCTCGCTGTCGCCGCCGCCGCGCCCGCAGCGCTGGTGGATCTTCCAGGTCGTCACGCCCTCGTCCGCGGGGTCGCGCTTGCCGGACGCCTGGCCCGCAGTTGTCGACGCGACAGTCGTGTCGAGCGTGATGTTCGAGAGTAGGTCGTATACCATGTGAATGGGATCAGACGGTTTGGGGTCGACGTCTGAGGTCAGTCTGACTTTTACCCCGATACTCACAAGGCCCCATCTCCACGCCCCGCATAGGGAAGTTGACGATCGTCGGGTTCTTCTCCTCGACGAAGTTGTTCTTCGTGAAGCGTTTGATGTGCAGGATCAGGTAGGGCGGCAGGGCAGTGAGGTGGTGGCGCTTGAGCGTTGGGCCAAACTCCTGTGTTGTCAAGCCGTCAAACTTCGCGAGGATGGTGGACAATGGGACCTGCGGGATAATCTTGCGGTCGTTGTTGTCCTGGAACAGCGGTGTGGGCGGGAGGTCGAGGGCAAGGAACAGGAATGGTGAGGACACGGTCTGAATTTCTGTCGTCAGCGCTAGCTGCGGGTTTGACGCTACCTCGCGAAAGATCGAATACGGGGCGCGCGTAGTCCTTGTGAATGATGACCTGCTGCGTCTCGATCTGAACACGCCCCTGAAATGTTGTGTAGATGATGCTCGAGTTGCGCTTCTTGGTGCCTCCCAAATCGCGGTGAAGCGTGTTGACAAGCCACCCGAGAAACTCAACGGGGTCGCCCTGCTCGGTGGTGCGGAACTTGCCCGAGCTGCGCTTCGTGACCTCTTGGAAGAACTCGTGTGGGGATACCTGAGCCTTGAAGAGGCGCGGATTCCAGAGACGACGACACAATGTCGCGAGACGGGACACCAGCTCGGTCGGCCGTGCTTTCTCCTGCAGTTGTGGCGTGGTGGGGTTCAGGAAGAAGTCACGCACAGGGGGCACGTGCAGGAGTAGCTGGACAATGACGTTGAGGTAGTCGTTCTTCTTGATGTTGTTCAGGCCGATGTAGCCGGGGATGTAAGGCGTCTTGGCGAGCGTGTACGAGGGCTCGCGCAAATCGCTCAGCCCCTTCAGCCCCTCGGCCGTATACCTCGGGTTCAGGACGGCGAGGACGTCCTTCAGCGACGGGTCCGTCACCTCATATCCTTCAGGCAGGACGTAGAACTTCTCCGTTGCGAGGTTAAGCCACACACGGTGGTTTTCGCCTACTGCGTGCCGGTATGCCCAAGAGCCTCGCCCACGTCCCTGGAAGTACTTGCCACACACGAGACATGCGTACACGTTGATATTCGAGAGCGACTTGGAGCACAACCGCTCAAAGTCAAATTCGAGATTAGAACGGGAGACCTGGCGTTAGCCCGGGGCAAGCGTGACACTACGCGTTAAATGCAGGAGGATAGGCAACGGTTCACTTACGGTGTCCAGGTACATGTCACGATGAGACAGGTCCTCCTTCTCTGGCTGCAGTTCCTCCTCCTCGTCGCTGCTGTCGTCCGCATCGCCGTTAACCTTTTGCGCCCCGTTCCCGGTCAGCGGCGCAGAGGCAAAGGACGGAGCATCGCGTGCCGGAGAGCTCAAAGTTGCTGGAGCTTCGGCGTCGAGCTTAGGCCGCTTGGCGGCAGGCGGAGATGGTGTCGACATCGGGGTGGTGGAAGTAGCGAAGGAGGTGAGGTGGAGCTGATTACGATCGGCGAGCTAGGAGAGGCGTGAGAGCTGAGATTGGTTGAGGTGCAGCTATAGCACGCGGCCTCTGCGTATTGCTACAATCGTTGGCGCTTCAAGTGAACGGAACGAGGACAAGATGACGGGCTGAGCGTTGCAGAAGTCGAGGTCAAATGCATGGTCTCGGCGTGATGAGGGTGGTGTGGGCAGCATGGAGTATCGGAGCCAAATACACGTGGATTTGGTCCCGCCCCGTATTTCACGGATATCTTACATGTGAGGTCATTTTGATGGTTTCATGTCTCGCAAGCTTCATGCTCTGTTTGTTACAGAGGGCAAGCAACGGGTAGAGAGCATACCAAGTGCTACAAGTGGGAAAGGTTGGCATTCTGTCTGGTTCTTTACCGTCACAGCATCTGGCACTGTAATCCTCGTCCCCCGGCAATGGGCACAGATTTGCTCGAGAGCGGTTGACCTTTTCTAAATTCATTGAGTCTCAAACGGTTTATAACAATGAGGGAACATGTCAATTGAGAGAACCCGCCGTCTGCTCCGTCCTAAGCTCGGCATGAGTGCTACCTCCAGCGAGTCTGCGTTGTCCTTCCCCCCATGCCAGGAAGCCACAAGGTTTGCGTTGTGTGCAGATTGTTAAAGGAGCATGCATCGTGGAATTAGAGCGACACTGGTGCTGGCAGAACGTCCTCACAAACGTAGCAGTAACAGATGGCCGTCACTCGCTAGCGGCGAGGATCGCATACACCTTTCCTCCTCCCAACAATCTCGAAGCAATTCTCCTTGCAATCAGTCTGGATTTTCAACAATCTGAACAATTCACGCACCCTCCTCGTTCTGGTCGGCGAGAAAGTCAGAAGATCGGTTTGACCATCTGTGCTCGAGCTCCACACCCCGTCTCCTCTTTTTAGTCCGCCACTTCCCCAAGGTCTTCCGTTTCCGCACCCTCTGGCGATTCCCTTCACCAGTGGCTACCAGCGCTATAACCGTCCAACTGCCCCGGTGTCTCTCTGGTCTCTCGTCTTTCCATCAGTAGTCAGAAAGTCTCCTCTTCCAGACCATGGCGCGGTCACGCTCAGCGGCCTGCCCTGCCCGCTACCTCCTGACCGACATCTCCATAAGCCCTATCGATCCCGTTATCTCCAGCCTGTGGCTATGACCGGCTCCGGAGAGCGGTAGCCTCGGTTGCCAGCCACTTTCGCGACCGTCGGCACGGGCGCATTCCTCGGTTCGTAGCCTGAGGCCATGCACGCCGGCGTGAGGCGGGACGCCACGCCTCGCGCCTCCGGTCGACGACGTCTGCTGGTCCGTATCCGCCGGTGAGGAGCACATGGGCCGTTTCGTAATGCTTCCGTACAGTCTCCATACCCTATCCCCTCATCCTTACTTTCTCCTTCTCTTTCGCTCTTCCCTCTTAGAGCTGTCTCGCGAACCTCGCAAGCTCTGCTGACATGATCTGCACCCCTTCGTAATCTCATCCCGTATCTCTAGCTTTGGAGCAGGCCCAAGGCACACGATCAGCGACACCGCGTGGTGCATCCATCTCATCGTACGCACGTCCACGGTCCACGCGCCGCGACGATCAGGCCCAGGCGCTCCACGTTCCAGGCCGATCATTCCCTCGCCGATCACCGTACCTGCATGAGCGCGACATGATCGCCGAGGGCCTCGGACGGCGAGGGATGGCGAGGGGCGCTGACGGCAGCACGGGCTCCACGATCGTCGATCCCCGGCCATCTGCGCCGTGACGTCGATCTGATCGACGCGCCGTGCCTGATGTACCATTCCAGCGGGTACGTACGGCATATGGCTACCACGGCTCCACACTGCACCAAGCACGCGCTCCGCGCCCGGCGATTTTCCTCCTTGGAAGTCTGGATTGTGATAGCGCGAGCCGGTATTCGGCTGCTGCGGTGCCGAGGTAAACTGGGAGTGGCGGGAGTGGCGCAGTCATCAACGCTCTCGTCCGCCTTCGAGACCAGGATGCATTGTACAGAAGGCTAGGATAGCACTGTTCGGGTGGATGAGCATGTATGCATGAGGGTGGAGCCGCGAGTCCGGGAGGCCGCGGCAGGTGCAGTGGTACAGTGGAGAATGGCGTTGAGCCATATGTGATTGATGCAATTGGTGGCGAGTCGCCAATGACACATGTATGTGGCGAGCTCGAGCGTGGAAAATAGACAGAGGAAGGAGGGCGTATTTTACTTCTTGCGCTTGGATGAGGATCCTATGCCTGCAATCGCCCGTTTTTGGCGAGTGGGCAGGCGAACACTCTGGTCAGCAAAACATTGTGTCAATTCCGTGGTTGGCAGGACACCAGGGAATCGCTTGGCTGAGCTTTTGGGATTAGCAACAAGGAACCAAAGAAAGAGGGAGCACGCACTAGACAGTGAACGCGTCGCTGAATATTCTCGCCAAAATTTCGGTCGAGTCATCCTTGTGAACCTCGGGACCAGCGAGGCTGCTGCTGTCAGAAGACGCCAGTATATATGCCAGTAATTCTCACGAGGTAAGGTCAACCAGAGTGAAGCGAAGTGAGAAAGTGCCTTCCGTGCGAATACCAAGATCGTGTGCAAAGAAAAATAGTCCAGGATCGCCGTTGAGATCCTTGAGGCGCTGGCAGACGGCACCCATTGATCCGACCAAGACTCGCGAATAGTAAGAGGTTGTCGACAAACGCTCGGGATAGGGTGTCTCGGGATACAATTGGGAAGGGGTGGAGACCGGCGACGCTGTAAGTGGAAGGGACGACTGCTGGGTCACGGGAGAAGGCGCGTGAGTGTACAGTGACCCATGAGACGACCAAGGGCGGTGTGGGTCGCTGGCCGTCGACGACCATGGCCGTGCTCCCGGAGGCCCGACGCTCCCTCTGTCCCACTCGCCAAATCCAGAAGTGTGCGGACGTGGTTCGCGATAGGATGGCTCTCGGCCCCATCCGCTGTCTGCTGAGCTGGTTGCTGGCCGATACGACGACCAGCTGCTGGAAGCATGCCGCTCGCTGCTATAATCTGGACCTCCCATCGTCGATTCTGGGCTCCAGGCAGAGGGATCGTGGATGGGAGGCGGCCGCATTTCGCCAGGCATCGGCCGCCTGCGCGGCGGAGGAGGCGACCGATGATGATCATACTCCTCCGGTGGAAGAGAATAGGCGCCGACCCAAGCAGGCGAAGCCATTGGGTGCTCGGGGTGTCCAGGTGGTGGCCAGCCGGGAACGGATCCGGATCCTGGCGTCGGCGGGTAGGAAGGGAGTGGTTGCGAGTGATATGATGGCGAGGGCGAGAGTGACGGGCGGCCTGGAGATATCAAAAGGGCATTAGAGGCGTCAGCTCAGCCTCAGCCAAGGTTCGCAGTGTGTGCAAACACTTACCGTAGGATGGCCAAGCGTATGGTCCAGGCGCGGGTCCCGTCATGGAGCGGTGTGGTGCGCGATTGAATGTCGAATGTGGCGCGTCATACCGGTGGGTGGAGGCTGTGCGAGACGCTGTGTGTGTGAACAAGGCGTACTGGTCCGGTCGTGCACCAGGATGCATTACGATTGAGCGCTGTTGTGTGCGATCACCGTTCCAGAGATCCACCATGAGGATGAATCGATGCACATCAATAGCGCTGATTCCGTCAGCAAGGCCACGGCAAGTCTGCCGAGAGGGGACGTACTGTGGTTTGATGGCGTTGCCCAATTTGTCAAAGATGCGCAGCTGGATGATGGGTGGCGGTGATAACGGCCGTCGATCCTGACACAAGTCAGCTGCGCTCGGGAAATTCCAGCGCCACTCACTTTATCTCCGAATCCGCAGGCCCGTGCGCGTTGTGGCTGCTGAACAACCTCGAGGACATACACACTTCTCACGTCAGCGCTGATAGTCAAGCATCACCAACAGATCACTGCGCGACAATTGTTGATCAGGAGGTATTGTGACGCTGGAGGTGGACATGCCACGCTCATGCCTGGACTCGTCGTCGTCGAGCTCATCGCTGTCCTCATCGCTCGAACCGACAGAGTCTTCGGTGCTAGCAGTGGCGGTCGTCGTGCCTGTGGCATTTCGGCTCCGCTGTGGCCTGATTCTAGACTTGGCAGGAGGAACGTCCGAGGGCTGAACCTGAGACGAAGACGTCGCCCATTGGGCGAAACCGCCTTTGGAGGCCGACGACGAAGATGAGGGGCGGGGGGCAATCCGAGTAGAATCGCCGCTTGGACGCTCGTTGTCTGTTGTTGATGGTGGAGGGGAGGCGGGGAGCCGCTCCTCATCGTCAAGAGCAAGTGATGGGGAGGAGCGACTGTGCGACATGAGAGTAATGGTAATGGTAGGTTAGGTTGGGCGAGGGCCGGCGGGCTCGATGCCCGGGCCGCTCAGCGAATGAAGCCTTGAACGGTACCCGATACGGTGATCGTGTGACTGGGTGTTGAGACGTCGGAAGAAGAAAAGGGTGTCCATGGAAACGGACCCGAGTGTTAGGATGGAGTCGCGTTGGCACAGTGGCGGAAGGAATAGACGGACCTCGGAGCAAGGGTCAGCATACCACGAAGAGGTGAGAGGTGTATCTGGCGAGGGGCAGGATGCCAGTGAGAGAGTGGATATATCGACTGAGTGCGCTCCAGCCCCAGACTAGGGCATGCTGGAATTGCGCGGGTGGTCGTTTCGATGAAAGTAGAACTTGGCCCAGTAGCCTATCCGAAAGAAACGGGGCAGGGTCAGGTTGTGTGCGGAGGAGCCGCGGGTGATGAGGAAAGAGCGGACGAGGTCTTGGGGGACGCGGAGCAGGCTGGGAGACGCCAAGAGGATAGATGATGGGAGGGATCGAAGAGACAGTGAAAAGGTCGCACGGACTTGTTGAGAGGGATGAGAGGTGATAGTGGGAATGAAGAGGGAGTATGGCCAAATACTATACAGATGAGGAGAGGGGGAGTGGAGGCCAAGACGGAGCGAGAGCGAGAGCGAGAGCCAAAGCCAGAGCCAGAGAGCAGCGAGGTGACTGCGCGTGTCCACAAGGTGGTTTATGATCATGAGGATCAGCCACGGCCCGGAGCAGGGTTCGTTAATCTTGGTTGTTCAAGCTCAGGGACATTAATCCTGGTCCCTGCGAATGATGAGCGCTGCCGTTATACTAGCAGAAATGCTGGCAAATGTGGCATCTTGCCCGAGGCTCGACTTCTGCGGTTGGCTCAGCATGCCATGCCATGACAGACCACCATCGATGGCGTCAAGTCTCACCTCGTTGCCTCTGATCCGGTGCCCTCACACCCTGTCGCCCTCGGCTCCCATGCCGTCGCAGCACTTCAACCCTCCTTCTGCGGCGCGGCCACTCCCAGTCCCACACCTCTCGGCTCCTTGTGCATCCTCGTTGCCGAGGCCCGACAGCCACGGTGACGACCCCTCGGCGACACCTTGGCGCTCTCTGGAATTGAAGGATCGACAGGCAATCACACAGCCGCGTAAATCTCACACGGCTAAATGGGCGGCCGGCGCCACCATTCCGCAGGAATGGCCGACGATGGAACAGGAGGACGTGCGCGGCGTGCAGCGCGCTCTCACAAGTAGCTCCAGTGCTCGCCATCCACGCCAGCAAGGGAGACCGTCCCTGGTCGTAGCGCGAGCAGTCTTCTTCCGCGGTGAGGAGTGCGTAACCACTTTGAATGCCGCCTCTAAGCGGCCCGGGAGGGCTGCGACGGCACAAGTGGCACCCCAGTGGAACAAGCATCTCTTGGGTAACCTGAGGCCCTAAAGACTGTGCACCGCGCTGGGGCGACCCTCGCCATCCTCATCCATCCAGCCAGCAGGATCCCGAACCTTATGCCGCTCCCTCGTCATCCGCCTCCTGCGATAGACTCCGCATCCGCAAAACTGATGTGTGTGACAGCTGTGCGTGCACACACGAGGAACAACAGGTAGCCATGCAGTCGCACGAGCTTTGCTCCGTGAGAAAAGCGGGTGCTCCAACTACCACTGGTCTCGGACATTGACTTTCACGGCGTCCGATGCCCGCACATGAATTTTGCAGGCTCTGGCGTCCCGAGAAAAGGGGGTAGGTGGGCGGCCGGGGAGAGCGCCGATGGCAGCCCGCCGTCATCAAAACCTTCAGGCTTTGCGGGAGAGGAGAGAGGATTGAAGAAGGGCACGGGGGAAAGAGGAATGATGCCACTACTTGCTGAAACAGAGAACGGTGAACGCCATCAGGGCGCAGAAGGTTGCCAGACTCCCGTGATCCTCACTCACCCAGAGTTTGATGGTTGCGATGAGATTCCAAAGGCAGGCCAACCCTGTGTTTCACGTGCGGCCGTAGCGGGCGGCAGGCCGTCAAGTGGGAAGTGGGAGGGAGGGTGTTGGCCGTCGTGTCGAGGCTCGCGGCTTGAAGGGGGGACGAGGAACGAGGCTGCAATGTCGGCACGTCCTGCGGCCAGGGCCGGGAGGTGGGTCCTAGAATGGACTTGGGCCAGGGCGCTTGGTGTCTCGGTCGTGACGAGGTATGGGCGAGCCCGACAAAGTCGGTGTAGAACACGCGGATTGCAGGCGGAAGTCGATGTGGGTGCTCGAATTTGGCCTCGAATATCTTGTTCAGGTAGGCAACCGAAGCAATGCTTGTGCTTTTGGCGCACGAGGTACAAGTCAGGTTCCCGTACTCCCGCGCGATATGGTCCAACCTCGACAGGATGCCGTACCACAAGAGCAGGGCGAGCGATTCGCCGACTCCCCGAGCGACTAGTCACCCAGCTCGATACCTGTCCAGAGCAGGTTTGAAACGTTTGCGATCAAAGTGCACGCGTGCCGGGACTTTACGTTGTGCTCGCGGTAAAGCGCGGCTTGTCCACCTCCTGTACACCCAGCACCCGGATAGGAGGTACGAGAATGCCCTGGTCACTGGTGGCCGGACCGAGTGAGGCACCTGAGGCGTCGTAGGTTGTGAATGTCGTTGTACGGGAATGCTCCGGACCGTAAAGAACGGCCAGACGGTGCGGACTTGACAACCGATCCGACGGGGATATCGCAAGGCGGGGGGCGACGTGAGCGGAGCGAGGTAGCAGCGGGAGTGGTAGCTCGGTGTTGTTGGAATTGGACTGTGGAAACTCCCCTTGCGAATGACGTGAAGAACGTGAGGCACCTTGGGTCGACGCGTGCGCAGGTGCAGGAACACGCTACCGTGGGTTCCGTGGGCTGGCCGCGGGCTCGAGAACAGCAACGAGAGCCAAGCAGATCAAAGGCGAAGGAGGGGGGAGAGATTGGAGAAGTGGAAGGAAAGATGGAGGGGAGGTCGACAGCGGAAAGGGGCCAGCGGGCTGAAGTTGAAGATAGAGATGGTCGGGAAGACGGAAAGATGGCGTAAGTTGATGGCTGGCGTATAAAGCTGTGTTGTGGGCAATCTCCAAGTGGGCGGCTATAGCAGGAAATCAGCCCTCGCAATCGAAACTGGTGAACGACTCTGGGAAACTGGTGGAGAGGGGAGAGGAGTGACGGTCCGGGGCAAAAGGGCAACTGCAAAGTCGGGGTGGGATGGAGGGAGAAGGAGAGGCAGTAGAGACAGCGCGGGGCAAGTGGGGTAGAAAGCAAAAGAAATGCGGTTTGTGCAGGGTGTCGGAGTGTCGGATGCAACCAAGCAAACCATTCAGAATCCTGTTCTACCACCCATCGCGGGCGCTGCAAGCGTACGTGGTGCAGTAGGGGCAGCCTGGGACAGAACAAGGGATGCGAGTGGAATGGGCGGGGCATAATGCAGCAGGGGCCGGAATGGTTGGCAGTCACCCATCGTCCCGCCTGTGACGTGCCAAGCTCGGAGAGATCACGGGGCAACTCTGTCGGACTTTGACGGTGCGATAAAAGTCAAGTACCGCCGGGCCGCGGATGGCTCGGAGTGTTGCCCCACACACCATTCCGTGCATTTCGAGTCTCACGTTTTCATGTTTGATGATGAGAAGAGTGAGGGCGGGCACCAGATGAGTGAAAGGGGAGTGGCATGATTGCGGCGCAAAGCGATCAAATGCGGCATGGTGCAGATGACAGGAGAGCGAACAGCACAGTTGAACAGCGTGCAAGGACAGTGGAGAGGAAACGTCGTAACCTCGGGGATGGTCGGAGCATCCATGTCGAGTCTAAACGTTCACTCGCCCACCGGCCCTTTTCCTGCCGCGACCCTCGCTTCCCATTCTCTCATCCTCTCATCCTCCCAGCTTCATGCTGGCGGCGGTAGATCACGTCCGCCACACAACTCCGACTACCACCAGGGCCGGAGGCGCCGTCCCTTCCCTGGCTGCTCGGAGTGTGGCACCGCACACCGAGCAAAGCACACGCTGCTTCGCATACGAGTGGACTGGCGGCCCCAGTGACATATCGGTCTCGGCATCCGAAGGGCAAAGAAGCGATGGGATAACGACGCCGATGCACGTACTCCTTCTCCCTCACCCTGCAATTGGACCTGCAGGAGTGGATCTTGGTCTATTCCGACCCTTCATCTAATACGCCACAGCCAGGAGGACAGAATTGCTAATACGCGCCACAAGGAGACGCCGAGGCCATGACAAGTAGGAAGGCGGGCGCAGACTCGTGACGAGGTGATGCCGACGTTTGTCGGGTGGGGGAGGGGGAGGGGGAGGATGAGGGCGAGGGCGAGGGCGTGGTTGGTCGACGCAGGTGGAGCATATGCAACCATCCCAATAACAGGCCACCCCCTTCCTCACCTCCTGCAGATCGTTGCAATTGCAATCGGGCGTGCAGCGGGGCGCGGAGTGATACACGAAACGTCACTTCGGCGACGGAGATGACATCCGCGGGGATGGTGTTCTGATCATACTTACCAAGTGTTCTTGCCACAGGGGAGACCACACAGCGGTGATGATCAGGCGATCAGGCGAGCCGACGAAGAGGCAATCAGGCAATCAGGCGACAGGAGATGGAAAGTATTACATTCAGCACACTGCTGATCTTCATAGATAGCCTGTGTCAGGTTGTTTCGGGCTCTGGGTAGCAGTTGGACGCCGAAGCCCCAAGGATTAAGGTGTGAAGCTATCCAGCTCGGGATAGGAACAACCCAACTGGCCAGGTCCGACATCGGAGGGGGAGACGCGTGCATTGTAGCGATGGATGCTTGCGCGTCTCATTCCGCCGGGCTGGTCAGGTGGACTTGCGCCGACCGGGTCTCGTCCCAGAGAGAAACAATGTCGATTTAAGGTAAGGTCCCGAGGCTATTTCGCGTGTAGGCTGGTGCTTCCTACAAATCGCAGCTGGTGCGGTCTACAATGCGAGCGAGCGTCGCGTGATGTCCACATCTGACGATCGATCCTGTAGTGGGGTGATTGGGCACGGAACTGATGGCTGATTTTGGGGCTGTGTATCCCCAGCTTCGACTCGAGCAGTAGTACGAGATAACCTGAACTGCAAAAGAACTTGGTGGAACGCTGTGGTGATGGACCGTCAAAGCGCCTGAGCCAGCATCGACCCAAGATCATTGGAACCGGTTCCGAGCACGGGAATCGGCGATGGCAGGGGCGTCGGGCGGCGTTGGCAGTGCATCAGCAGCGAGCACGGAGCACGCAGGGCGGAAATATACGGATGCACTCGCACTCCGCGCCTTTACGTGGTTATACGGCACGGCGTGCCGGCACCGCGTCCCGCTGTCGTCAGGCGCGCGCGATTCGGGTCGGCCCGTCAAGCGGTGACAGCCCGTTCCGCCACAAGCGTGATTGTGGCGGATGGCGACTAGTCTGCCTCTGGCCAGCGCGCGCGTAGGCTCTCGGGTCGGAGGAGGTGCAACGGGGCTGGCAGGGTGTACCGATCGCGTACACGGCTCGACGGTGCTGCTAAGAGCAAGAGGCATAAATCCCCTTGCTTTGAGAGATTTCCGAAATCTTCGCACTATCTCGGCTAACTTCCAGGTCCTCTGGGACTGAGCGTTGGACGGACGGAGGCGTGGCAATATTCGTCTTCTCGACCCGAGTAGTTCTCTCTTGACGGACACCATGGTGAGCATGTCGATGGCGACATCGCACAGCCCTCCGCATCGCTCTTCGTATCGCCACTGCTTGTCTGAGGAACAGCGATACAGCGACAATGAGGCGGCGAACGCCGCTCTACAACGACACAGCGTGTGCCAGCTGTCCACATGATGTGGCGCGGCACGCTTCCCACATGATGTGGCGTCGGAGCACGAGTCCGCCTCGGCCTCCGGCAGTGGCTCGTCGTGGTCATCCGCCTTTCAAGCTCTCGATCGGGGTGTGATGACGTGGTGATCTGTATGTCGGCAGGATCGCCGATGCGCTCATCTGGAGAGGCGGAGAGAAGGGGGGTGGCGCCACAAGACGATGTCCTCCGCGCAGTTTCATCAGCAATCATCAGGTGAGCACCTCAGCGTTGTCGGCGATGGCTTGCAATTTTGACAGAGGCCAGCAGAGGTGTTCAAAGGGCAGAGAAAAGAACCCTCTTGGAGTCCACAACTACAACCTTCCTCGTCCATGTCAGCCTCAGTGAGTGGTGACAGATCCCCGGCGACATAATTCAGTAAAGACTGGAAAAACGTCCAGCTTCACGGCTAAAGCTGTCTCGCAGCACAAAGAGGGTGAGAGGACAGAGGGATAGCTTGGTTAATTCAAAAGGTGGCTTCAACCACGACGTTGGATTACGCGGTATCGCAGACGGCAGCCCATCGTGCCGCGCTTCGCTTGTTGCGAGCTTGCAACTCTCACAGCGCCACCTGCTCTTGCTGTACTAGACGCAGCTCAAATCGCTACCAAGTCGATATTTTGGGTGGTTTAGGAAGATTTGCGCGTGCAAATGCCATACGCGCCGCCACAAACGACAGAACTGTCTCAGCCGATGAAGTGTCAAGGTGCGCTTTGCCTCTTATGTCAGTCCTACCACTCCAGTCACTCTTAGCGCTCCCAGCGCTCTTACCGCTTTTAGCGCTCCTGCCGCTCCTGTCACGTGCCGCTCCTGTTACGTGCCGCTCCTGCCACTCTGACCACCACACTCGCTCCACTCACGTTTACCTCCTGCCACTGCTGTTATGCCTAACCGTCTTTCACTGACCATTCTACCACGCCTTTCTCCTGTACCGTCTGGCTACAACACCGCCTCCTCGACGCCGTTCCACGCCTCCAGCATCGGCACCTCACGGCACAAAGTGGTGCTACGATGGCCGCCATGTATTGTGGGATATCCCAGACGCATGTGGACCTCAACCCAGCATAATCCTAAATTCCGTGGTCAATCTTGGGCTCGTGCCGCGCTGAGCGAGTGAGGCCGGACAACGCTCGTTGTGCGCGCCGAACGCCACTTGAGATACCAGCCGCTGTATCGCCACGACGGAGACTGGCGACCACCACGCCTCGGACGAATGCCACAATGAGGGCGACAAGCGTCACAGCGTACGCTGGACGTCTGCCCGCGAGGCGGGCCGAGCGACGATTTTATAGCGTTGAAGTGGTACAAGCATTTGAGACAAGGGTGCCGATTGCCGTGGGTCACGCCACTTTTTCACCACCGACTGCGCGTCGTTGGCGCTGCAGTGACGATCGGCTCCACCGGGCGGTGTGCGGCACACGCACAACCAGCATGCCAGCGTTGCAATGCATATGTATCTCAGGCCTCTCGTATGGCCAGTGGCGAGCCGCGTCTCTAGCTCCATCCAGCCAATGTGTACAACATCTTCCCTGGGCAGCGCCGCCCCCACCCGCCTCGGCGCATGCATGCTAAAACCTACTCGCGTCGTCGCTGGGATCAGCCCCGCCCCTCCCTTCTCTTACTCACACTTGTCGCGAATTCTGCACGCGGATATACAGCCAATTGACCGCCTCGCGCACCCCCGTCCTGCCGTCAGCCCCGTCTTCCTTCCGTCCGTGACGCACCCCTCGAGCGCAGACACGCCGAGCACGTCGAGGCTTGCCATGCGCTGCGCTTTGTCCTCCTCTTCCAGCACGCCAGACTGCGGGCTGTCGGGCACGCGCGTGCGTGCGCGCTGCCAGGCATCGTAGGACTCGCGGACTTCTGCGACTGTGAGGGACGTGTCTTTGTCCTGCTTGTTCGCGAGGAGGAGCAGGGGGAGATTGAGGAGGCGCGGGGAGTTGAGGACTTCGTCTGGGGTTAGGCGGAAGCAAGAAGGAGGGAGGAGGACGCACCAAACACCTCCCATGTTTCACTCAGACGAGCTTGGTCACTCGCATCGAGGACAAAGACGACGGCATGGCATTCGTCATAGTATCGCGGCCAGATGGAGCGGATATCGCGCTGGCCGCCGAGATCGAAGAAGTGCATAGTAGTGGAGGGGAGGGAGATTTTGCCGACTGGGGTCAGCGGTGGGCGCGGCCATGGCGTGTGTCAAGTGTGACGGCACAGCCGCCGCGCGAGACGACCCAAAGACGGCGCGACGCCGCTCGAACACCCACTGTTCTGCCCAACCGTCGGGCCGATCTTATCTGGTGGCATGCCGGGCGTGGGGTTGTACAGCGTCTTGATCTTCTCGAGCGTTGTCTGGGGTAAGAGTAGAGGGCGGGATACACACCGTCTTGCCGGCCTAGTGTCAGCGATGCCTGCTCTGGTCGTACATTGTCTAGCCCGATGATGACGATGGAGTACTCATCCTTGCGGGTGAGATATGTATGCAGCCCCTTGAAGAGGTGGTACATTGTCGAGAAATGGTGAGACGATGAGATCGAAGTGGACGCGACCAGCCTTGACAGCTTCATGTTGCTCGCAAGGCGATCGGGCCCCACACGGGACCTAATTCGTCTATCACCGCAGCCAAGCACATCACGCAGTTGCTATCAATGCATCCCTTGACATTGACAGGCTCAACTCATCTTACTCGAACAGAGATACTTCTTACCACTACAAGACTTCTTACCCGTTCTTCTCCTACAAACCATACCGCTCGCCCGCGGTGCGTGCCATAATGTCCTTGGCAGGACCCAGCAGACGCGTGAATGCCTGCTCGCCGAGCGCCGCGACGCGCAGCTTCTCCGTCGCACGCACAGTAGCGGCACGGGTCTGACGATTGAGAAGCGCCAGCTCTGTCACAGTTAGCAATCTGGCGCGGCGATCAGGGATGGAGATAATACGCACCACCAAAGTAGTCGCCCTTGCCCATCTGCTTGACAACAGTCTCACGACCGTCGATCGGCTTGATAGCCGCAGCCGAACCGCTCTCGATGAGGAAGAACTCATCGCCCATATCACCGTGACGGATAACATCCTGTCCGGCCTCAAACGTGCGAGACTCAAGGACATCGGCGATCTTGGCACGCTCGCTAGGCTTGAGCGACGACAGGATAGGCACCGCAGCAAGGAATGCCTCGTACTGACGGCGCTTGCGGGAAGTGTGCTGTTACGTTAGCTCTGGTAGGTGGTCGGCTGGTCTCACGTCAAGGAGAATGGTGCGGAATGAGACACGGTCAAGAGCCCAAAGAGTGCAGGGCGTTGTGGAAACGATGGACGCCGCACGAGGAGCACTGTCTGGTCAGCTCAATGTGCGCACAATATGACGTACTTGTGCATCAAAGCCAGTTCACCGAACGAGGCACCCTCGTGGTAGACAACGACCCGCTTGCCCAAAGTCTCCGAGTCACCGGCTGCGAGGTCGAGAGACTGGCCATCCTTCTTGACGAAGACTTCGAGCTCACCTCGCTCGACAATGTAGAAGTAGTCACCGGCGTCACCCTGCTGAATGATAATGTCCTTGGCGGGAATGTTGACCTCGCGCATGGCTGTGAGCACATCCATTTCCTGCTCTTCGTCGAGGTTCTTGAACAGGAAGTTGTCCTTGATTGCAAAACGAATGCGTTCGATCTGCTCAGGAGTCTTGGGGAAGGTGGGTATGGCGTTGGCGCTCGACGTGTCGTCCTCGTCTTCCTCCTCGATAAATGCATTTGCTCCGGGGTCGTACTTCTTCGAGTGCGATGGCTGGAGAGACTCGGCCGACACAGAGGTACGACGGCCCAGAGCATACTGAGGAATGGGAGGAGCTTCCTCATCGCTGTCCTCCTCCTCCTCATCGTCAGGGGAAGGTGGGCGGGGGACGCCTACTGGCGCCGATGGCGTCTGGGCGCTTGGTCCGAACGGCGAGTTGCTGTTAAAGTCCTTGTCCGTTGGCTCTCCGAACGGAGACGAGTCATTCTGGGCCCTATCGGGGACGTCATGGTTGGCGAAGGAAGACCCAAACAGTCCAGCGGCAGCGGCCCCTCCTCCTAGCGCAGCACCACCCATAGCAGCGGCTCCGATACCACGGTTAGACCCACGGTCAGTGGGGTCGAGGAGCTCGGTACGTGGAGAGGTTTCACCGGGGCCCTTGGCAAAGTTGGCAATGCCGCCACGAGATGAGGTTGAGCGCTGAGATATCAGTTGTGCGCAGGTCGGTGGAGGGAGGGGGGAGGAAGGGAGAAGGTCGATTGTTAAGACTTTGCGTTTACATACCTCTTCACGGAGTTTGTCCTGGAACCAATCGGCGCAGAACTGGAGAATGTCAGATGGTTGCTGCCTAGCAACGTCGCGGTTGAGGTCGTTGAGAATGTTCTGGTACTGGGCGCTGGCACCCGACATGGTCGGTGAATTGGGTGGGAAAGAGGAGAGGGGGTGGGGCGATTAAAGGCCGGGGTGGTAAAAGGTGATGGGGTGATGGGAGGTGAGGCCGAGGAGAGTGACGGCGAAAGAGGAGATTGGGAGAGTATGGGACTGTTGATGGGGTTGACCGGGGTTGAGGTGAGGGGTGGTGAGGAGAAAGGATGTGATGGGTGGTGAGTAAGGAGTTAGGATGAAGGCGGGAAGGAGGAGATGACTGGACCTGGACGGAGAGCAGAAGGGGGTCTGAGGAGTCTGAGAGTACGGAGAGAGTGAGAGAGTGAGAGAGGGATGGGATGGAATGGATTGGGGAGGATGAGAACGAGGATGAGGATGTGGATGGAGATGGAGATGGGGAGGATGGCGAGTAACAAAGTGGGGGGAGGGGGGGCCGAGGGTTGGACGGAGACGACGAGAGGGAGGGAGGGAGTGAGTGATGAATGAGAGACGGGGGAGGGCATGTCCAGGGAGGGTGGGGATGTGCAAGGATTGAGGATTGGCAGGGGCTCTCTCTGTCTTGCCATCTCGCTACGGTGCACGCAGTGTGCAGAGTGGGCAGCGTGGATTATGACGCAATCTCCTTCCTCCCCCTCTGCGCCCTCCCAATTCACTCTCTCTCTCTCCCTTGCTCCCCCTCACTCCCATTCCCCACCTACTCCTCCAGCCATTATCATCTCCACGTCGTTAATATAGCCAGGCAGGCTGTAATCAACCTGCAACTCCATTAGCTCTGCTTATTAGAATATTGGCTTCCCTATTCACCCCGCCTTTCCCCACACATGCACCGCTCCTCTGTTCCACTAACAACTGCACCTGCACACGCTGCACTCTCTTCCGCACCCATCATCACGATCGCTCGCGTCTCCACCAGACTGGCTCCACCCACTGTTCCCCTCATCTCAGCCTCCTCTCGACGTCTCATACCCCCTCTCCCCAACAGTCTTCCGCCCAGCCGCCGAGTGCGGCGACTGCCCAAACCGGTCCCTCGGCGTGCCTGCCCATCCAGGTGCCTCGTCCTCTTCACCGTGTGCCCTCCGGCCTTGGGCCCCTCCAAGCGCGGCACTAGGTTGTCCGGATCACTTACGCGGCACCAGGTCAACAAACGGACCAACTAAACAGTTCGGACGCCATCTCTGCTTCATCTATACTTTACATCAAAGGTCCATCAAGTCCAACTGGTTCGTATCTATCCAGCTCCGACATTGCCCTGTCCTCCACTGTCCCCAATCCCTCCGGCAGTCGTTCGCACGCTGCCCACACTCCGACCCCTCCCTCTTCTCATTCCCGGAGCTCATCGCTAAACAGCCCACAGTCAACCCAACACGCGCCCTCCAGCTATGGTAACCTATTCCGGCGCGGTTTAAGCTTTGCTCTTTCCCAAAAGTCATACGCTACCGCCAACTTTGACGCGTCCTTTGCCATCATCTTATCAAAAGTTCCGCCCGCGTCACCCACAGCACAGCCTTCATGACAACCGCCCTCGAGTTGTCCCCACGGATAGCCGAGCTGGCCACAGACTTTGTCGACCTTCGACTCTCTCAGCCTGATCTTGCAGAGGACCAGGATCGCCGCAGGCTGGATTCCACCACCCCCACAGCCTCAATGACCTCGTCGCCAGCAGCGCCAGCATCGCTTCCTGTCATGCCCGAACACTCGCGCGAGGCATCTTCCTCGTCTGCTTCCACTGGGCTGCACTCTGATGAGTCGCCGCCGCGGCCATCGCGTTCCGCCCTGCGCAAGGCGCGGGGCGCTAACCTCACGTGCGTACCGTGACCGTGCGGTCCAAGTTAACAAACAGGGTGTTGTTACATGAAGCCGAGAACCTTCACTCCGAGGTCGCCACCCTTCTCGACAAGATATACGAGATTGAAGAGCTGCGTCACTCGCCGTCCGCACGCTCAGGTCATGCGACAAGATTGGACGGACTCCTGTCAGAGCTCAACGACTCTATTCAAGCTCTCAGCCAGCGCATGACAACGTTCGAGGTCGCGCCGGAAAGCGACCCGTCGGGAATGCTTGGGCCTCTCAGAGCGGACTGGGCTAAGGTGCTCTCACAGCACGCGCAGCTCAAGCAGGAATTGCAAGAAGACCCATGGCTGGTCCGCTTCCGCACGTACGTTATCCTTCACTACATTGGGCGCCCTTCTCTCTAACCCCAGGACTGCCGATCAGGCGCAAGACATGATGGACCCATTGCAGAACAGTCTCCTCGAAGTGACAGTGAGAGCCCACCCCCCTCCTGCTCGTGTCACCAACTGACGGACAGTCATATGTCGGTCGCATTCTCTCGTCGTTGGCACCAGTGCCGATGTCTGCACCGGAGGGCAAACTGAGCATTGAGCGATTGCGGAGGCTCGTCGCTGGGCATGCGAGACTGAAAGTGTGAGTGGGGATCCAGGAGGGAGGTTGACGATCAGCGCGTACGTCCCGAGTGTGATCAAGATTCTACGTATCATGGACAAAAGCGTCTCGGAGCGCGCAGTGAAGAACGGCGAGGCTTTACGGCGCGTTGCCGACATGCAGCAACGCTGGGTTATGCTGCAGCGCCAGCTGAGTCACCTGGATGACAAGGTCAGGCTAGTGCTTTCGCAAAACGATCCGGATCACCCCCACTTTGAGGACAACGTCGAGTTGCTGGAGGATGACAGGTCACACCACACGTCCCCGCTGCACTCGCCACCCCTCTTCCAGTCCGATACGCCACCACACTACAGCTTGCAGCGTGTGCTGAGCGCCGGATCAGCCATACCAGATGCTAGACAGTCCTTGGCGCCTCCCAGCGTGCCAAGGACCGGTTCAATCACCCCGAATGCCCAACGTTCAGTGAGGCGGATTCAGTCCCGTCCCTCTCTGCCTGTGGCCTCCCCTTTGGATCGCCCAAGGTGGAATGCTTCGACGCGGCCCTTCGAGCCCCCTCCCACGCCCCCGGCTCTCAGACGCCCGAGCCAGGGGAGTCAGAACTCGTTGGGCATGTCTGCGTCGGCAATCGGTAGACGCCCGAGCCAGGCCAGCATCGGATCAGCCTTTGGGACACAGTCGCTACGCCGCGCGGGAAGCCCGACGTTCTCATCGCCTCCTGGGTCAACGGCGCCACGCATGCCGCACACAGCACCCCGCAAAAATATTCCGAGCACGCCAACAAGGCCGAGAGCCATGGGCCGTCAGTCATTCGGTGGTTCGCTAGGTCGGCCACCGCCATCCGCTTTCCGTGTAATTTCACCGGCGCCGTCGATGCCACATCGACCATCGTCTCGCGTGTCCATTGCATCTGCGGCGTCTTCGCATATTCCAGCCGCAGGAAAGCTTTTCACGCCCAGCAAGTACGATCTGCTGGACCAGGAGGTGCAAAAGGTCATCGACGAAGTGCAGCCAAACATCCTGATTACGCGGCTTGATCAGCCACTACGCCGCGGTCAGAGGAAGGCGGAGGGCGAGTCATGGACGGGCGAATTTGTGTTCGGAGGAGGAGAGAGGAGCTCGAGCGTCAAGTTGCTCGAGCTCCCGGGCCGCGGACCGCCTGGTGCGCCGAAGCGGGTCAAGGTCATGGTGCGGGTCGGAGGTGGTGAGTTGGCCTGGCCGTATGAAAAGCTAATGACAGCGTGGGGTGACCTGAAGGTCCATCTGCAGAAGAAGAAGGAGGACGCCGTGAGCATCGCGACGAGCTAGAGATGAGGAGAGGGCGAGGAAGTCGACGGGAAGAATTACATTACCTCGCGCCTGCGGTCAACTCTGGCAGTACTGTTACCTTACTATATGTATGCATTTGATCTGATATATTCTGAAGTACTAGATGACCTCGTCTTCCGGCGGCGTCTGCCGGTCCAGCTCCTCCAGTATCCCCTTCCACATATCCACAATCTGCCTCTCCCACCCCGTCCGCTCCTGCTCGGTGTGGACCTCGCCCTCGTCGCCGTCAGGCCCCATCGCCGTCCCCCCGAAATCCCCATACGGCCGGGCCCACAAGAGCATCTTCTCGCGCGCGAGCTCCACAATCGACCGCAACCGGACTTTGGCCGTCTGCTCCACCCCGCTCCCGCCCTCGACGCGGACCGCCTCGCCCGGGCCCTCCACCCCCGCCCTCCACCCCTCCCCCCTCAACACCGCGACCCACCCCCGCTCGATCTCCCCCACCAAATCCAGGAGGGCGAGCATAACCTCCCCCGCGCGCTGCGCGAGTGTCTCCTCGTCCTCGTCCGCGTCCTCGTCCACGCTCAACAGTGGTAGCTGGGGGATATACCGCGCCGCGTTCGCCGTATATGCGAGGAGGTAGGCGGCGCGCGCCGACGCCCACGGCTCGCGCGCCGGTATTTGCAGAATGGCTTGTAAGAGCGGCGCGAGGCGCGCGAGCAGCGCCGAGAGCGGGCCCAGCCGGCTGGGGTTAGCGGGACGGCGGGGACGCACTGCTTGCGCTCGTCGCGCTCCAGGCCGAGCTGCGCCGCGTCGAGGTATGCGCGCAGCGCGGCTTCCTGGGCCGCGCTCAACGAGAGGTACGAGGACGGCGGGGCGCGCGACCACGCGCCGGTGTCCTTTGTCATGCTGAGAGACCGAGAGGGCGATCGCTAGGACACCCCGAGAGCTGAGCGCTGAGAGATGGAGACAGCGGGTGGAGGGCGGGAGCAAATGGCGTCACAGAAGTGGAGGTGGTTGATTGTACCGACTTTGGTCGCCACCATCTCCGCGTCACTCAGCTCGATCGGAGCAGGTATAGACACGACATCGGCGGCGCTACCCAGACTCGCCATGAAGTTCATGATCGACGACCTCCCGGTCCTCTTCCCCTACGACCGGTGCGTGCCCCGCCGGCCTTGCTGACTCCAGGGTGTATCCCGGTACGCTTCCCTCGCGGGCTCTCTAACGCCCAGAACAGTACTCGTACATGTGTGATCTGAAGAAGACGCTCGATGCCGGCGTGAGCTGCCCGCCGTTCGCGCTCACCGCAGGGGCACTGCGTGCTCGAAATGCCCTCGGGGACAGGCAAGACCGTCTCCCTCCTCAGCCTCATCGTCTCGTACATGCAAGTGAGACGCCTCCCGTGCGTCGCTAACCCAGTTCTACCCGCAAAAGCGCAAGCTCATCTACTGCTCGCGCACGGTCCCCGAGATCGAGAAGGCGCTGGCCGAGCTCAAGCGGCTCATGGAGTATCGCGAAGAGCAGGGGGCGAACGAGCGCGAGTTCCGCGGCCTCGGGCTGACGTCGCGCAAGAACCTGTGTCTCAACCCCGAGGTGAGGCGCGTGTGGGCGCGCTGACGCCAGGTGAACAAGCAGAAGAAGGGCAAGGTCGTCGACAGCATGTGCCGCGACCTCACGTCGTCGTATGCGTGCGAGCGCGGGCGCGCCGAGCCGGGCAGCGTGCCCCTGTGCAGCTGGCATGAGGTGCGGACGGTGGTGGCACAGCTGATTCCAGGAACTGAACAATTACGAGACGGGAAACCTCATCCCGCCCGGGGTGTGGACGCTCGACGACGTCAAGAAGTACGGGCAGGACAAGGGCGTGTGTCCGTACTTCACCATTCGCCGGATGGTGAGCCGGGAGATGGCGCGGCTGATGCCAGATGCCGTTCGTCGACGTGATCATCTACTCGTTTCACTACCTCCTCGATCCCAAGGTCGCTGAGCAAGTCTCGGCGGAGCTCAGTGCGGAGAGCATTGTCGTGTTTGACGAAGCGCACAATATTGGTGAGGCTGATAGTTGGGCGGGCTGACGTCAGATAACGTCTGTATTGAGTCGCTGTCTATCGACCTCACGCGGCCAATGCTCGAGTCGGCGGCACGCAGTGTCGCCAAGATCGGCGACAAGGTCGACGAGTAAGCGAAGGCTCAGGGCGCTACTGATCCCAGAATCAAGAAGACGGATGCGGCCAAGTTGCAGGAGGAGTACGACAAGCTGGTCGAGGGACTGCGCTCCTCCAACGACCGGCACGATCCCGAGGACGATATGCTCGCAAATCCCGTGCTCACCGACGACATGATCCAGGGCGCCATCCCCGGCAACATCCGCAAGGCGGAGCACTTTATCGCCTTCCTCAAGCGCTTCATCGAGTATTTGAAGACGCGCATGCGCGTCCTTCACGTCGTCGCCGAGACACCGGTGTCCTTCCTGGCTCATTTGAAGGAGATCACGTTCATCGAGAAGCGGCCGCTGCAGTTTTGCGCTGAGCGCCTCACAAACCTCATCCGTACACTCGAGCTCACCAACATCGAGGAGCACGCAGCGTTGCAGAAGATTGCCTCGTTTGGGACTCTGGTGTCAACGTACGAGAAGGGTAAGCACCAGTCTAGCTCTGGCCCCGGTCTCGCTGACGGCTAGGCTTCTTGCTCATCCTCGAGCCGTACGAGACAGAGCACGCCACCGTTCCCAACCCCATCTTCCGCTTCACGTGAGTCCATGCTGGTGCCCCGGCTAATCGTCGCAGCTGCCTTGACCCCTCTCTCGCCATTGCCCCCATCTTCGAACGTTTCGGGAGCGTCATCATTACATCAGGAACAATCTCTCCACTCGACATGTACCCCAAGATCCTACAGTTCCAGCCCGTTATCCAGGAATCATACCCGATGACGCTCACGCGCAACGCCTTCTTGCCGATGGTCATCACGCGTGGCTCAGACCAAGTGCCCATCTCATCGCGCTTCGAGGTCCGTAACGACCCGGCGGTGGTGCGCAACTTTGGGAGTATCCTCATCGAGTTGTCCAAGACGGTACCGGACGGCGTCGTCGCCTTCTTCCCGTCCTACCTCTACATGGAGTCGATCGTGAGCGCGTGGTACGACATGGGTATTCTCAGCGAGGTTTGGAAGCACAAGCTGCTGTTCGTCGAGACGCCAGATGCCATGGAAACGTCCATTGCGCTCAAGAATTATCGCGAGGTGAGTATGCGCCAGTCCTCATCCTGACCCCAGGCATGCAACAACGGGCGCGGAGCTGTGCTGCTCTCCGTTGCGCGAGGAAAAGTGTCTGAAGGTATCGACTTCGATCAGTAGGTCAAGCCGTTGAGTAAGCTGACGCCCTCAGCAACTACGGCCGCGCCGTCATCATGTTCGGCATTCCGTACCAGTACACGGAAAGCCGTATCCTGAAGGCTCGCCTCGAGTTCCTGCGCGACAACCACAGGGTGCGCGAGAACGACTATCTCACTTTCGACGCCATGCGTCACGCCGCGCAATGTGTCGGGCGTGTCCTGCGCGGAAAGACTGACTGGGGTCTCATGGTTTTCGCTGACAAGGTAGGAAGGAACGGGAGGCACAACTGACGACAGCGTTTCGCGCGCCAAGACAAGCGATCCAAGCTGCCGCGCTGGATCAACCAGTATATCACGGACGCGCACTCGAACCTGTCGACCGACATGGCCGTGGTGCTCGCCAAGAAGTTTATTCGCCAGATCTCGCAGCCGTTCGACCACACACAGACGGGCATCTCACTCTGGACGCTGGAGGACATCGAAGAGCGCCAGCGGCAGGACAAGGAGGAGGCGGAGCGCGCGGGCGCCGAGATCGACCGCGCGTTCGGGCCGCAGGTGAACGGCCGCGTCGACGACGCCGATGTGGAAATGGACCAGCACTTCGAAATTGACGACGCGGTGCTGGCTGAGGTGGACTGGCCGGAGGATGTGTGAGGGAGAAGACGATCTGTTGTAGCCATAGCCGCGCCACTATCCTGCTGATATCTATGCATTGCTAACCGATTTAGAACGAGCCGACCTGCTTGGGGTCGTCGCGTCCTGCCAGGAACCTGGGCGTTAGTGTGTGTCGTGAAGAGATTGCGAGGGGAGGGTGAAAGTGGAGGTATCCGGAACGTCTGGCGCCACATCTGCGAGTATCGTCGCAAAAGCTAGAAATGCTGGCCGCGCGTGGCTTCTGAACAACGCAGAGCACTTCCACATTTAGGCAGGTGCTGTCGCACTGCTGTCTCCGCGCGTGCAGTGACCGGCGTCTCGCAACTGCGACCGATCTTCGTTGCCCATGTCCACATGGGCACGCCCACCGCCTGTACTCACTTGTCCATGAAAGTCTCGGGCTTTGCAGGCTGCTCCAGCGGCCTGAACCAGTGCATGAGGTGGGGCTAGCATCAGCACAACTCTCGCCCTCCCTCCGACACCACCTCCCCTGCCTCCACTCCAGCACCCACCTCCTGCTTCCAGCAGTTCATCGTCTCCTGGTACTCGACCCAGTTCTTGTGCAGCAGCATGTTGATGACCTTGAGGTCCTGGACGCTGCGCGCCTTCTCAAAGTCCTCGCGGATCTTGAGCCGGATAGCGCTCGGGCTCACGTTGAGCGCGTACAACGCGCAGATCTCGGGCGCGCTCCTGTACCAGTGCCGGTATGCCGAGAGGACGCGGGTGCGGGCCTCGTCGTGCGTGCGCGCGATCTTGACGGCCTGCGCGAGGCGCGACGGGATAGTCGGGGTCTGCATGGCCATGGCGGGCGGCGTGAGCGGAGTAGCGAGTCGAGTGGAATGAGCCCGATGTGGTTGGCAGGGCCGAGGGCGGCTGATGGATTTGATCCCGCCGCCCACCGTACGGCGCGCGCATGGCCGGGAATAAACCCTCGCGGGTGTGTGGCAGTCGCGCGATTTGCCACCTAAACCTCGAATTCGACGTCACTCACCACCACCCACAACCATGAGCCGACGCGACGACGGGCCGCCTCCGGCCAAAAAGCCTGCGCTTGACATCGCCGCCATCCGCGCACAGGTTGCGGCGCGCAAAGCAGCGATCGAGGGACGCTCGGGGAGCGGGACGCCGGCCGCGAGCCGCGGCGCATCACCCGCCCGTTCCACCGCTGCACCCCGCCCCGCGCCCGCAGCGAGCATCGACCCTAACATCCACGACAAGATCGCGGCGGCGCGC